AAATACATTTTTTGCCAGGTTTTGGTGAAAATTCATAATTTTGATGCGGAAGGATACAAGAGTTGAGAGGTTGGTTAGGTTGAAATGTAGTGCCTGAAATTGCATGTTTACTTGTCTCTACTTCCAGCTTGTGTATCTCAAGTTTTTCATGAAGAACCTTATACGTGCTATTGGGCAAGTGGTTGCCACATGTTGCTCCATCTGTGGTAGAAAGCGTTCTACCCAACGAAAATTTGGGAAAAGGTTAGAGCCGGTCTAAAATACGAGAATTAACATTGGAGTCAATGGGGAAATCTTTAGTGATCTGTGGCCTGTCTGTGTGTGATAAGGCTGTCACTGATATGCCTTAGTTTTGAAAATATGAAGATTAAATTCTCAGAAAATATGAATAAAATAGTTACAGAAAAACTAAAAAAAGTTAATTGAAAAAAGTTTTGAAGAAAAATTGTGATTTTACTGCAAATTTCTCAATTTTCAATTTTTATTGAATTTTTAACAGTAAGTAAAATATTCTAATGCCCAATGTTGGCTTATTCAGTCTCAGAAAGCACAGATAAAGTGAACAGTATTGAAATTTCACCAAATTTTGTCTAAAAATCAGAAATATTCACAAAAAATCTCGAGATTCCCCCCATTTCGATGTAAAAATTAATATTTTCATGACTACTAAAATGAGTCAAAATGTCTAGAAATGCCCTTATTTTCATTGCTAATATAACTTAGATGGGATCTACATGTTTGTCAGGTTTAGAAAAAGCTCCAGCTTTCCTGCAGAAAATTGAAAATTGGTAACACTGAGTTAATAATGTACAGCAGATGGGTTTGTACAAAATGTTCAAAACAGGGGTTGGCTCAATTTTGCCACTATTTTACCCAGAATAAGCTTTTTTTTCTTGTTTGAAACATTAAATTCTTGCATTTCCTTCATGTAGGAAGCAATGTCCCAGCCTTTCTAGACATTTTTTACTCCATCATTCTGTTTAGAGAGGCTATAAATGCCCCACCCCACCCTTTTTTTATTAATGTGTTTTGAAAGATTTAAATGCACCTGTGTTGACATTTAAATGATTGTAATTGGAATTTGTGGTTGAATTTTAGCTAAGAATGTTATTTTTCACCCAAAAATATTTTTTTTTGTGCATTTCAAGGATTTCTAACCCTTTTTGTTCAGAGTCAAACGTAGAACCCTGAGGCATTTCAGGCCAATGAGACCACACCCAGATATAAAACTGGTGTAGATGTGTAAATGTCAGTTTAATGTTCAATATTTTCTTATCAAAATCCAGCATTTGTGGTGTTTGTTGCATTTATGTTGCCTATAGAACAATAAAATGTTAATTTTTCTCCTCTTTAGGCCTCTTTTTATGTTGTCAACTCTGTCATGACTACTTTTTTGACTTCATTTTTTCAGGAAATTAATGTAAAGTTCAAGACATCTTGCTTCAGCACAAGGATTGCAATACAAATTTGTAACATGCCTCTGAGGTTTGAGATGTTGGAAACATTGAAATATTCCCAAATTTGTGAAAATTGTGTATTCTGTGACCCTTCTGTTAGAGAGGGGTGATCATAGACCAAATATGGCATTTTATTCATTCATCAAGGCCTATTTTTAACCATAATTCATATTTATTGCACCTATTTTAGTTTATATGTGCATATGTTAGCCAGGGATGGTAAAACATAGCTGTTAGACAGATTCCTTTGGTAATGTTAGTTCTGCAACCATAGATTAGATTAATTCAATCATTGGCATGTTCAGGGGGTAGGGATACATGTTTCAGTATAGATCTCTAATATTACAATCATTGCAACTGGTTTGCATTTTTTCTGTTTGCATATTGTCCACAGATTCTAAAAATATATTTCTTGTCCGTCCGGATATTTAAAAAAGTGGAAAATTATTGGTATTTTGAGAGATGCTACATGTAAATTTTGTACATTTTTCATCACATGGCAGTAAAAAATTATATTTTTGAAAAAAATTCCAAATTATGAGTGTTTTCTATGTAGTTTCTTTGTAACTTGTCTAATTTTTTCACAGAACTCAGATACTGCCTTTCATAAGAAAGATTTTTAAATTTTAGCACAAAAGGCCTATGGACCTGAGATGCACCAGTGTACATAAAGCAGCATGTGTACTTAAAGGGCCATCATTTTTACAGTTATTCTTTGATTTTGATTTTCTTTCACCGGCATGTTGCCAGAACACATGGGAAGGAAATAAAAAAGGCCTTTTGGTGATACCTGAAGTTTCACCCCTATATAGGACACAGATCACCAAATATTCCTACGCCGTCACCCACGAAACAAGGGTCAAAGTTATTTTTAGTCTTCCTCTCCCTTTTCCTTTTTCCCCCTTTTGCATGGCGATTTTTGTTGACTTTTTGGTGTAGAATCGAAGAAAAGGGTTTGAAAATACATTTTCTGCCAGGTTTTGGTGAAAATTCATAATTTTGAAGCGGAAGGATACAAGAGTTGAGAGGTTGGTTAGGTTGAAATGTAGGGCCTGAAATTGCATGTTTACTTGTCTCTACTTCCAGCTTGTGTATCTCAAGTTTTTCATGAAGAACCTCATACGTGCTTTTGGGCAAGTGGTTGCCACATGTTGCTCCATCTGTGGTAGAAAGCGTTCTACCCAACGAAAATTTGGGAAAAGGTTAGAGCCGGTCTAAGATACGAGAATTAACATTGGAGTCAATGGGGAAATCTTTAGTGATTTGTGGCCATATATAGTCATTCATTTATTTCTAAGTATATCCTAATCTCTAAAATGCATGTATATATTCACAAAGTAAGTGAGGTAGATACAGCCAACAGAAAAATAAATAACTTTATCAAGTCTCTGCATGTCCTATATCTAGTATTTACTTTTCAGTTAACGTCTATTTCAGTTTATGATTTTCTTGGAAATTTTATTGACATGACCTGAGTTTATCTTCCTATTTTCACTCATCCAGCTAGCAATACAATATGGTATTCTCAGAATTGACAGTAAAATGTATTGTGTAACCTAGTTTTGAAAAGAAAGTGACTTTTGGGGAAATACATTTACATAAAGCTATGCACGATGTATTATAATACTTGACAAATCTCATTGAATGTGTAACTAATTGACATGTATTTTATTGTATTAAATTTTCCTTTTTCTACATCAAGGTTCACGCACATTAAATATCTTGTGTATTAATGTATTTTTTCTACAAATATTCTGCTGTGAAGTATTTTTTGGGATGATAAACTGCTTTTGTAAATCTTCTTCCACAGGCCATCTGTAGTTAAAGTTATTGCACTATGACCCAGGTATCATTTAAACTTGGGTATTTAGCCCTAATTTCTATCACATTAATTCAATATCTATTCTTTGTTTAAAAATTCATAAAAAATGTCTAAAATCACCCAAAATAATCTTATTTGTAATTGATTATTGATGTATAATGATTATCCTAATTATGCAATATTAAATGATACACAGGTTACAGAGTGAGTGGCCAAGTAGTCTAACGCATACACTAAGGTTTGTCATTGAGTCAGGTTTGGTTTTATTCCAAGGCTTGTAGTGTAAATCTGCTCACCTGCTTATATTAGGTTTTCCCAGGATCCCTCCCACTACTAAAGACCTATGCATGCAAGTGATCATGACTTATTGAAACAAAATATGTCAGTCCCAAAATGACCTAGTTTGTGTTGTTGAGTGGATGTTAAACCCCATTTCGATCTACATGTATCTTTAATATAGAAAACTAGTTTCAAAGAAGGAAGATATTTATATAGTGTTTATTCATAAGCTTCAGTTATTACATCAATGAATCAATGTTTCATTCAAATTGAGAATGACTCAAAATAAGATGCATATAAATCAAATAATTGAATAAATGAGAGAGAGAGAGAGAGAGGGAGAGAGAGATGTCCATTTGATACAAACTAAGACATTTCAGTACTATGCTATAATGTTACTTCAATAATTCATTTGCACCCAGTGATCTTTAGCAGTGAGAGAAAACCAAAGGATACAGAGAAAACCCACAAGGTTGGACACAGACATCCATTTACTTTTCATACTTACAGAATAGATCTCTGCCCCAAATGGCCCCATGTCCAACAATTAGCATTCTGTTCTGTAATACGGTCCTAGTGTGGTTCACATCTGTGATACACAAAGAGACTAATTAAATTTTTTCAAAGCAGAATATATACTTCTCAAAATATACTTAAGTGTTTTGGCTAAAATATTCGATTTAGGACTTAAAATGTCGATCAACTAGCTTAGTGTCTGTTCTCAAGCAGAGCGAACTGTAGACGGACAACTTAAGTTTAGTATGCCAACTTCTGGGATCAAAGGACAAGCCTTCTGTAACCTGATGTAAAGTGCAGGTTAAACCACTAGTACACCCCCAGCCACAGTCAGTATAAGTGAGAAACAGGTGACTGGATGACATATGATGAAAGCAACTGCCTTTGAAATAATCTCAAATGCTCCTGCTGTTACTTTAAACAACTGTACTCACTACTGAGCTTCACCTTTGATGCATGCAAAGAAAGCATCCATAAATGATTGCTAAATCCTCAGCTGTAATTTCAATATAATTATTTTAAACTTTTATCAGTTTAGTCCATGTACATACTTATTAAATATTAAACTAAACTAACATCAGAGAATATACCAGTAAACATTTTTACATTTTTCTTCGAAAAGTAATTAGTCCGCAACATTATCATTTATTATTCTGCCCCTCACATTATTCTGAATGTATGGACACTGTAAAATTTGTAGACCAATGTTTCTGCAACATAGGTTAAATATGTTTCTGCAACATAGGTTAAATATGTTTCTGCAACATAGGTTAAATATGTTTCTGCAACATAGATTAAATAAGTGCTAACTGGATCTCATAGAAGCTAACTGGTTACGGTTAAAAACCTCTCTTGCCGAAATGTTCTTGTAGCGCCAATCTTTAGATGTATATAGTTTACTTAACTTTATATTGTTGTCTTTTCAGGTCACAGCAACTAACAGGCTGCCTCAACATCATCTGAGGGGCTGTTAGGAGGATGGAAAGTACATATTACTTAGAAAGACAGTAATCCTAAAATGGCTACCAAAGATATTGGTGAGATGGGAGACAACTCTCCACAACCTCCTGACCTACCTCCTAAATCCAGGAAGTCTTCCATTAAGGAGAATGAGGATTTATTTCACAAGAAAATACCAGATACAACCACAAAACCTGTGCCTAAACCACGTAATAAAAGCTTTTTGAAAGTGTCAACCAGTCCTACAAAACCTACACCAATACCACGGCTTAGAACCAGTTCATCTAAATCTAACATCAGCGTTAATAGTGCGAGTTCCTCATTAACTGAAGCAGATCAATCTTTTCTTAATATAAGTACGGACAAATCAACTTCACTTTATGCTAATGAATCCTTTAATGACTTTGAGAGACCAGAATCGTTAACAGGCCAATCAACTTATGCTAATGAACCCGTTGCTGACACAGCTGAGAGACCAGGGTTGATAACAGACCATTCAACTTCAATTTATGCTAATGAACCCGTTACTGACACAGCTGAGAGACTAGGGTCGATAACAGGCCAGTCAACTTCAATTTATGCTAATGAACCCGTTACTGACACAGCTGAGGGACCAGGGTCGATAACAGACCAATCAACCTCAATTTATGCTAACGAACCAGTTCCTGACATTCTGAGACCCGAGTCGATAACAGAAATAATCAAAGGGTTAAAAGTAGATCTTGAATCAGAAAATAAAACCGATTTGAATTCATCTTCTGCATCAAAAACTTCCTATACCAAACCATTTCCTTCAATCAAACCATTTACTCCAATTAAAACTACCAGTGAGAAGTTTGATTGGAATGACAATAAAAGTTTACCAGAAGGAAAGGCAGTTCTTTCTCTGTTTGACCCATTAAGTCCGGTCAAAGCAAATCCAAATAAAAGTGTATCAGAAAAAAAGGGCTTTGATTCCTTTTTTGATCCTTTAACTCCTACAAAAGCTGTCACAGAGACACCAAAGCTTGATCAAAGTGTATCAGAAGAAAAGAGCTTTAATTCCCCATGTGATCCCATAAAAACTTCCACAGGAACACCAAAGGTTGACTGGAATGATACTAAAAGTGAAGCCAGTTTTGATTCTGTTGTTGACCCCTTTTCTTCTCCACAACAAAGTACTGAGGGAAAAAAACTGGTATGGAGTGATAGTAAACATTTATCACAAGAAAGGAGGTTTGAATCTTTCCCAGATGCCGATTCCGTTGAGCAAATGATAGACTGGAGTCTGAAGCAGAAGAATGAAGCCGTTCCAGAGAGCAAGCCCACTAGACCATTATTAGAAAGAGTCAATGCTTTAGATGAACAAAATGGAAAACTTTCAAAGTCTTCAATCAAGGATCCAATAAGAATAACCAACACAGAAACAAGCCACTGTGAGGAAGTGGTCAATGAAGATCAGATTTATGAAACCTTGTGGGTGAGCAAGAAGCAAGTATTGGGGAGAAAAGAAAGTTCTACAGATGATTTTTCTGTGACAGATGAATGGGATAATGACACAAGTCTAACAATTGTTAATCATAGAACAGTTGAACCGGATCCAGACACTAACATACCAACCATACCAAAACAAAGTATTAGTGGTCGGGAAAGTTGGGGTGAATACGCTTATCTTGATCCTAATTCTGATTATGTTTCTCCCCCTCCCCATTACCCCCCTCCCCCCTTACCTTCATCATCAGATTACATTGGAATGCCTTCAGCGCTTCCACCTCCATTACCCACTATGCCACCACCACCACCATCGTCTCATAAAACTGTGACTTCACCAGATCTGACCCCTGTAAACGCTCCTCCTGTTCCACCTCGCCCCAAAGCTGAAGGTAGTAGCAGTAAATCTAGCAGCCCAGTTCCTCCCCCTATAAAACGTGATCGACCAGTACCACAATCCAAAAAACTTGAAACAAACACTGTAAACAAGCGAAGCAGTCCAATACCCCCGCCTTTAACGTTAGCAGGCAACAGTGACAGCCCCCCACCCCAGGCCTGCCAAGCAACTTCTGGAGAGGATTATATTGCGCATGATCCAATCGAAAGACAAGAGTCGGATGTGTTCAAAGGTTTACCGACTCCTAAACAGGATCTGTTTCAAGATGATCCTTTTAAATATTCCGATTTTGCTACAGAATGTTATCAGTTTAATAAATTTGAGGGACCACAAGCATCCACAGGAATGACAGATTTGCCTTTAGAGACAGACATAGATGCAAATGGGGACAATAATGTATATTTAGTTTGTGACAAAGGCACAGAAAGAAACGATAGTGATAATGTGTCAGATCAATCAGCAGAATGGTTCAACAGAGTCTCATTAAGTAATATCCCCCCACCTCCCACTACCAGTAGAAAGAGGAATGTCCAGTCCAACGATGATGAATCAGATTATGTCAAAGCGAAAGCTTTTGCTCAAGGTAGGTAACATTACAAATGTTTTATTACTTTTTTCTCTAGAGATTTTGTTGTTTTGTTAAAAATTAATATTGTAAGAATTCACACATTTTCTAATGCTGTACAGGGTGATTGGGTAATCCAGTGGTCTAACATGCACTTTAGATCATAAGATCTGTCATATTGAGTCAAGTGGAATGCTTTTTATCCCACACTTGTACAAGCTAAGGGAGTAGTGTCTCCTTCCCAACCTCGTGGGTTTTCTGCAGGTGTTCAGCTTTCCACCTACTGATAAAGACCCCTACATGTACATGAACAATGCAAACAAATTCTTTTAAATGAAATTGTGTCATATTTTAGTCCCAAAATAACCTGGTTTGTGTTGAGTGGATGTTAAACCCTATTTTCCCCTCTCTTATGTTGATGTATTGAGTTTCAAGTGGCTAAATTCTTTATGCTGTGACTGGTAATCTTGAACTTACATGTACATGTAGGGGGTGGGGTGGGGCTGAATTGTTTAACATGTGCACGTTAAATCATAAGGTCTGTCATTGAGTCAGGTGGTGTGGTTTCGATTCCCTGCTGGGGGGTTGGATGGCCGAATGGTTAGCACGTGTGTGCTATATCATAAGGCCTGTCATTGAGTCAACTGGCGTGGTTTCGAATTCCCGGTTGTACGTGACAAGGAGTAGGGTCGCCTGTCCAACCTCGTGGGTTTTCTCCGGGTCCTCCGGTTTCCTCCCACTGCTAAAAACCATATGTTAGTCCCGAAATGACCTAGTTTGTGTCTAGTGGACGTTAAACCCCATCTCTCTCTCTCTCTCATATCGATTCCCTGCTTGTACGTGACAAGGAGTAGGGTCACCTGTCCAATTTCATAGGTTTTCTCTGGGTCCTCTGTTCCCCGCCAACCCCCCCCCCCCCACACCACTATGAGACCCATACACTCAAACAACTAATTGAAATAGAATTGAATGTTAGTCCTGACATAACATAGTTTGTGTCCAGTGGATGTTAAACTCAATTACTCTCTGCCACATAAGAGGATGACTTTTAGACCAATGTCCCTATTTGTAGCCTACTACATGTATAGCAGTAGCACGTAGGGGTCTTTAGCAGTGGGGGGAAACTGGAGGACCCAGAGAAAACCCAAGAGGTTGGACAGGTTAGGTATTGATTTTCAGCGATTTCCGATAATTACTGCCAGAGTTATGGCCCTTGACCACTTCAAAAAATCTTGTGGACGCTCTAGAGGTCAAAGTTAATATTCGATTGACTTTAAATTTATACACAGTGTTTAAGGTCATGAAAGGAAGAAGTCTATTGATTTTCATCGATTTCCAATAATTACTGCCAGAGTTATGGCCCTTGATCACTTTGAAAAATCTTGTGGACACTCTAGAGGTCAAAGTTTATATCCGATTGACTTTAAATTTATACACAGTGTTTAAGGTCATGAGACGAAGAATCCTTTTGATTTTCAGAAATTTCCGATAATTACTGCCCGAGTTATGGCCCATTATCACTTCAAAAAATCTTGTGGACGCTCTAGAGGCCAAAGTTAATATCCGATTGACTTTAAATTTATACACAGTGTTTAAGGTCATGAAACGAAGAAGTCTATTGATTTTCATTGATTTCCAATAATTACTGCCAGAGTTATGGCCCTTGATCACTTCAAAAAATCTTGTGGACGCTCTAGAGGCTAAAGTTAATATCTGATTGACTTTAAATTTATACAAAGTGTTTTAAGGTCTTGAGACAAACAAGGAAATTGATTTTCAATGAATTTTTATGACTTGAACAGCTAAATCCATGATATTAAAAGTTTCGTATACTAAACGTTAGCATGGGGCAAACTTTATAAAAAACAAACAAATTCTAATGGTTTTTTGAAATTACTTAATGAGTTGTTACTCTCAATCAGATTTCAGTGTATTATAAATGTTTCAATACCGAAAAAAATAAAAAAATGCGAAAACTCTTGTTGACTGCCCGGACGATTTAGCTGCTGTGGACTTATGTTTCAACTTTCATTATGGCAACTTATATTTCTATTAGTTGTCCAGTATTAGGTGAAAAGTGATTCAGACATTAGTGTTTGTATAATTATTCTTATTCTAACCCAGTGGTTGTATATTGTTGTTGCTCCCGTCCATCTGTCCATCGTCCCTAATTTCAATTGAATACTCTACAGACTACATTTATCATCTGATCTTTTTGAAATTTACGTATGCTGTTTACATTAATGACATGAAGAAGTCTATTGAATTTCAATTTTGTACTTCTTGTTTCTAGATTAACACTTTGTATAACCTTCTGAACACTCTAGTTATCATCCGATCAGTATTAAATTTATATGAATTATTTAAATTTTCTGTAAATTACTTCTAGAATTTTACAAATAGTAACATTACTGTAGAAAATATTATTTTTATGCTAAACAAATATATCAGTACTTGCCTGTGAAAATGAAAAGAACTGGAAGCAGAAATCTCATTCAATTATATCTCCATCTGTATACCACACATGTACATAGAGGTAGTCTTTTTTCAATTCCTATTATACTGCAATATAGGTACATATACCCTAGTGAAAATAATCATAACTGGTCCTAAGTATTTGATGAATCAACTTTATTGTAATCTTTTGTAAAGATTTTTAACATATAGTGATACATGTATACATGTAGTGCCAATATTCTTTTATTGTTATCAGTTACATGTACTGACTGGCATTTGTTCAAAATTATATTCAAAAGACTTTATTTTATTATTAAAAGAAACTTTGGCATTGATTTGACTCAGAGCTTTGTAAAGTTTTCTTTAGTGCATTTATATGTTCAATACATTATGTACGATATACAATTATACAGGTAGACTTTGATATGTTTTGATTTTGCTAAGCCCTCCCAAAATACCTGTTTGAAGAAGCTTGTAAAATATTGGGATAACGTAGATATGGGATTTGTTTTGTCTATGTGAAGCAGGTTTCCGTGAATATAATCTGTTTTTAACATAAAAAAGACTACAAATTGGATTTTTTAGTTCTTTTCGAGGTGATTTAATTGTGATGAAGTAGAACTTACTGTCATTTAGTGAATTGACTGACCATTAGAATTCTCAGATAGATGTTTAATTAAAGTTAAAAAAAAGTTAAACCTCGATCAATTGTCCAAAATAAACCAATATGTATTTGATGTGTCCATTGCAACTCCTTCAATTGCATTGGTATGAGACTTTATGAGATATGTCTGGTATTGTTACGTATCAGGTTTACATATAGGTATGATATATATATACATGTATATAAGGATCATGTATTTATCAGTTATTTACATGTACATGTAAGTAGACTCATGTTTAAGATTAAACAACTAGTGAAGAAGGAAGTACTTATTATTGTTATCAAGTACAATGTACAATTGATGTTATAGATATACTGCACAATATATAAGTAAATTGTCATCACGCCAAGTATTTTAATACCAATCAATTTAGGTGGAGAGAAATTTTTAACCTGTTTCAACTTTCTCCGTTATGCGACCCATCTTGATATTGACATTGTGATGGTCTTAACTATACATGGTTAAATGCCAAGTGCTTTGTACACACAGGAAATCAACAGGATATTGAATATTGATCTTTAAATTTTGGGAGAAGAACATGGATGTCGATCAATATATGAAACTGTTGATAATGGCAGAATAAGTATTAGAATTCAGGATTTCTAAATATGAATCAGGATTCGGGATCAGATTAGTGGAAATATGTGGAGGTGGATTTAAAATTTGTTTTGGAGTCTTGAATTATTTTTTTAGTTGGGAATGTGCAAATATGGATAATAGATTGTTGTACTGCTCAGAGAACTGTTCGTACAGGTGTTTATTCTATTAGAAAAGTTATGGAAAGTTTTATTGTTTGACGGCTGTTATAAAGTTACTTATTCATTACCTGTAAACAGTTGTGTACGGATATATTTGAAGGCCTACATGATATTAAGACTTATTAATCATGTCTACTAGTGAAAGTGTGTCAAGTTTTAACACTAGAAGCTCTAGTCTACATTCAGGTAAAAAAAAAAGATGTTTTGTTTATCCAAAATAATGAAATTAAAACCACCTTTTAGAAATTTAGAATTGTTTTCAACTTTGACTTTGACAGTGACACTGATTGTAGCATGACAATTTTGTGTCTATGTGACAGAAGAACATTTTATAGATCATGTCCATGTGACACAACTTTCTATAGACCATGTACATGTATCCTGAACCAAGCCCAAACCTAGAAATTTATAGGTACATGTAATGGGTGTCGCATCTGCAAAATGTTTTGTTGTGCTGAGATTTTTTCCCATGTAAAGAAACAACTCAATCTTCCAGCCTGTTTTAAAATAATTTTATTTTTCATCACAAATTATCTATGCTCGTTATCTAACATATAAACAGCAGGTCACAAGTTACTGAATATTTTTTTGCCAATGATATCACCTTTCCAATTTACTATTATCAGTAGGCCCTACTATTAGACATTAATTAACTTATCCAGATCATAATCAACTCTCGATGCCATCGGATGCCTGGATTCAAATACGTTTTGTGCTGAATGCACTTATCGTAAGAATGGATAATCGAGACAAATGTATATAGCACAAACTGTCAGCTCTTTATCTAATTCACCATCATATCAATTCCATGTTTTGGCCATTTTGATAAACATATCTTTGTCAACATTCAATTAAGAAAACAAGAACAAAATACTATAACGCTAGATTATGTCTAGCTTGGATTCAATCGGATTTAATAAAGGCATACCAACAAATTTTTCCCTGACAACAAAATTGTGGACCGCTTTTTACATTAAAAAACAGCATACATATACATCAATAAAATTTTAATTCCATGACTCTTTGTAAATACTGCATAGAACTGAAACATATTTGGACTGATATACCTATTAGAGATTCACAATATTGTAGTTTACAAGTGATTCATATTGTTTAAAATGGTGCATCAGGACTTTGATAAATTTAAAATCTATTTCATTTATCTAATTAATTCTCCTGAATTAAACTAAATGACATTGGCATGAGTGACATATTGTCCTTGTAAAAACATACATGAACAGTTAAAACTCATTTTTAATCAAATAACAATGACCCCCTGTACAGAACTTTCTTTTGAAAGTTTAGGATTCTTATTAATCCAACCTATAGTTATAATTTAGACTGTACATTGAAATCTAAATCTAGAGGGATTAACGACAGATCATTAATCATTCAATGCAACTCAACTATTGTTTTAGACCTCAACAAGGAAGCACTATTTTATATTTTAATTGTCAATGTGTCACTTAATTTTTTATTATTATATTTTGTAAAATTGTAGATTGAAATCACAGTGAGCTGTGATTTAAAACAGATCGGGACTCTCTTTATTCTTGTAAATATTTGTAAAATTATCGATCTATGTTTAATAAATCACATAACGGTACTTTGACTCCATCTTAATTTAATATGACCAAATTTTATGTGATCAAACAAATGACACCAAAATGAATTAGTATGTGTAGCTGTTTTCTATAAGTATTTGTTATTACTCTATCCAGTTACTACATATGCCTCTAAAAGATTGATCACTGGTTTATTATACACAGACACAAGATTTTGATAAGTATTTTCTTATAGAGTCAACCTGATCAATAAATATTCCCTTGTCCGGCTTCTACTATAACTGAAATGGATGACATCGGGACTTGTTAATTAGCTTACAATATTAACTTTTTTTCATACATCCACATTTTCATGTGGACCTATTGTCGTCGCACCTAGCTGTTCGTCCGTCTGTTCACATTTTACTTGTGGACACTCTACAAGTCACAATTTGTATTCAATTTTGACAAAACTTGAAATATAGGTTTGTCTCCAAAAGATCTTGGCATGTATCGGATTATGGCTCCTGATTGTACAAATAATCTCCTTTTCTCTGTCCATCTCTTGCAAAATGTGGGCATGTCTTGCATTACAACTACTTGTTTGAATTAATAAGGAAAAAAAAGTGTTGGAAGTATATATCGGGATAAAAAATATTTCCTAATAAGTGTAAATGGGTATGTAAAATAGTATGTCAGGTTGTGTTACCACATCCGATGTAAACAATGCACATGTTATAATGTGACATCATACATAGACCTACATGTACATGTTTACCGGTAATGCACATGAACTTAAAGGTCACTCATCTTGCACAGAGTTAAAAGACAGCTTGCGCATTATCACTGTGAATTAGATGGTGTCTGAGTTTTTGTCAGGTACATTTGTACATGTACATGTACAACTAGTTTTATTAATTCCAGACAGAATAATACTATAGTTAATCTTGTAAATATTTTGACATTTTAATCTGACAAATAACAGGGTTGTCATATATTCATCAACTTTAAGTTAATTCTCATCAACTTTTAAATGACATGCACATATTCTTATTAAAAAATTATTTTATGCCTGGGGTGATTTTAAGTTATAATTTTAGTTTAGATAATTTGGTTACATGTAGTAGACTGCATATAACAAGGAGACAGGAGTTATGTGTTTACCTGCATATATTAAGTGTTAATTTGAGTTTTACATAATTTAAAAGTACCAGTATTGGACAGATATTTAAAGATCTGAGTGATACAAGAAGTGAATGAATTACTAATAGTGTTGATGTGATGATAATTTGAGTTTTACATAATTTAATCAGTGTTATAAGTACTGGACAGATAATTAAAGATGCATATATATGTGGTACAAGAAGTAAACAAAGTACTATTGTAGTGTGTACTTGATGGTAATTTGAGTTTTACATAATTTATTTTTGTAAGTAAAGGACAGATAATTGATACAAGAAGTAATACAAGAAGTCAATGAAATTACTAGCAGTGTTTACTTTAGTTGAAGGTAATTCAAGGTTAATGATTGACTAATTTCTGCTCAATCACAGCATGATGGCTATAGAAACAGATTGGACTCTGGGTAAATAATTTTTGTCAGTTAACTGTAGTTAGAGTCTAACCTTACAAGTTACATACATAGTTCTGGCCACGACCTGTCTCGGAGGAAGACATTTATCATCTACCAGTGTTGTTCAGTTGATCAATGAAAATAAAACAAAAAGAAAAACACAACACAATTTCTATGGAAAACAATCGTTGGTTTATACACATATAATAGCATGACGTTTCAACAAGTATTCTCTTATCGTTTTCAAGCACATTTTTTGAAATGTCATGCTATATGTGTATAAACCAGTGATTATTTTCCACATCAATTGTGTTGTGTTTTTTAATGTGCTCAATCGCTAAATGCCACACAAGGATTATAAAATAGAACAATATCGCAGATAGATTCTATATTTAAGTGTCATATTATACTTTGTGAGAGGTAATGGGATTACGATGTCTGCACATGTACGCCGATGACTTCTGCTTGAAACACACAAGGGTTTTAAACAATTTTATTGATTTAAGAAGTACCGAAGGACAGATAGAAACAATGAAACGATTTTGTTGATTTATTAAGACGTAATAAGAACATTGTGAAATTCAAGCCAATTAAATTTTTGACAAGATTATCACTGAAGGATATTTTAATTTTTAACAGGATAAGCTTTAACTGTGTATGAAGATATGAACTACTTGTAATCATGTTACCTTCCTGTATAGGGTGGTGTGCTATATTCAATCAGACACAGTTGAGTGGAATAGAACGTCTAATTAACCGAATAATTATTTTATTTTTTTAATTTGTTATTTTTGTGTTGTGTTATTACAAGAAATATTTCTAGTGAAATGTTTATGAAATCTACGCAAGGAGTGAATAGTGATATTAAGAATTGTGAAAAGTCCTTCACTTAATTTTGTTGATTTGTTATTTTTGTGTTGTGCTGTTTTGTTACTGGAAATATTTTCTGAGTGGATTATTTATGGTTAATGTGAAGGTCTGCAAGGAGTGAATATAGTGAGTGATATTAAGGATTGTAAAAAGCACTTCACCATATTTTTTTGATTTGTTATTTTTGTTTGGTTGTATAACTGCCTTCTATTTTGTTACTTGAGATATTTCAGCTATCTGAGTGGATTATTTATAGTTAATGTGGACATCTACACGAAGGGAATAGTGATATTATTGAAGATAGAAAGAAGCACTTCATTTTCAAGTTGATCTAATTTGAATTTTTTTTAGTAACTTTTGCATACCAAAAATATAGACTTTGAAAACCTTAGGGAAAACAGTATTATGTTAATATTATTAAGCTGTTGATTACCATTTTAAGAGTTTTTAAATCCCTTGCAACTACGGTATTGTGAAAGTTGATTCTCTCAAAGGATAGGATAAAATTGACAATTTCAAATTCTCTATACAGAAAAAATAAACAAGACAATATCAACTATAAAGTTTAGGTAAAGTAATTTTAATCCAATTGATTCCAAGCCAAGAGATATTTTGGTTTTATTTTCATAATTAAATGTTAAATAATTAATTTGAGTACCAGTATCGGTACATGATAGTGTGGATTTAGCCTTGGAAAAAAAAAAAGATATTGTCGGAAAAAAGCATGATTTGAATCGGTGACTTTAGTGGTTTCGTGCCAGTTTTAATTATTTTTATAGTGACATATTGCCCTAAACAAATTCTCCTTAAATCTGAAGCACAGGAACATGAAATCAGCGTATTTTAGTCTCAAATTACATTGATTAAGTGTTAATAAAACCCTGATAATTTATATCAGTGCAGCTTAAAATACATTACTCAAATCTCATAGCAGGAAATTGTAAATGATTAACTTAATATTTGACATTTCATTCTATAAATTGGAATGTCATGTTATTAGTATCATGTCTATTGAACATACTGGCCGTGATGGATATAGGGAAAGAGTCCTGAACTTCATGTTGTAGTGGATTATATTTTCAAATGAATGTTTTTCCAGTGGGCACATTATATTCTCTACAATTTCCCATCTTATGACATTTGAGGTTTGATCAGAAGCTTTTTTTTTTTGAAACTTTGGTGCAAATAAGACACTTTCCTGGCCATGTCTGGGAAAACCAGATTGGAGAATCACATTAAACTTTATGAGCCAACACCGGGATCACACCCAGGACCTCCTTGTAGTTGTCAATGAGCCAAGCACCATATTCTTAGAAAGACTGTAGCTCCAGAATTTAAAAGACAAATATTGAATTATACATGTTGAAATATCACTGTTTGAATAAAATAATAACGTCGAATTGTCCTTACCTAGATCGCTAACAAAACACCTTAACCATACATATACATTTAATTCTTTTCTTTTTTAATCACATATAAACAAAAGTAGCTTCTTTTAATCAAACTAGAAAAAAAATCAAATGGCGTGGTTTCGATTCTCCTGCTTGTACGTGACATGGAGTAGGGTTGCCTGTCCAACCGGGTCCTCCAGTTTCCTCCCATAGCTAAAGACCTCTACACGTAAACAAGTTATTGAAATAAAATTGACCACATGTTAGTTCCGTCATGACATAGTTTGTGCTGGGTGGATCTTTTAATTAAATAAACACTGGTATTAGCAGGAATGCTTGAGGTTGTATGATGATTGAGAGATAAAGATAGTCTGTGTTTATATTATACTAATGTTCAAATGAAAGTCTACACTGTGCATTTCATCCTGCTTCAAACAAAGTCGTTTTTCAATTGTATGCAGGATTTGGGTACGATCTCCATTTGTTTTGCCTTTTATTTGCTTAGAAATATTGAGTTTGGATGCACAAGACATGTTCAGAGTAGTTTTATCACATTTTGTTGATTTAAATAAAACTTAGTCATATTTTTAGTGTGTATACTTTCTTTTGGACATTAGTATATATTTTGATATTTATTGTTCATTTATTTAAATGTCTGTGTAGTTTGCCTTGTCCACAGGTTTGTCTTAATGTTTTTGTTTGTGTGTAGTGTGGTCCTCCTGTAATTACTATTATATCTGTTTTTGTATTTCAGAAACAAGTTTTTCTGATTTAAGTGATACTGATTCAGAAGAACCATACAATAATACTAGTAATGCTAGTAATAATCAGAGAGTTCCAATTATAACAAGAAGTCTTTCAGTAAGTATATTTATTACATTTAAAAGATTGATATGTGATTGATTGGCTGTAGTTAAATTGTGTATTAAAAGAGTATTAAATTTATATGTGACATACATGCTTATGCAATTATCTTTAAAATATACATGACATATTTAACTTTGAAATTGGTGCGGTTTGCACCATAAGACAATTTTCAGAGAAGTATGATTGAAAATTATTAAAGCATCAAAAAAGGGCAATTTTCAAGCATTTTTGCTAAGTTTTCAAATTTGAGATTTGGACAGAATAATGTCATTTTTGAAGACAAATACAGTTAAACTTGTTTTATTTTTACGTTTCTGGCTGTAATTTGATTTTAGGGACCTATTTGATGTTTCTTATTTAGTCAGATATGATCACACTTATACATCTTTCAAAAAAAAAACAACTTATACATGTACATCCTTCAAAAATACATTCAGCTTTCAAAATTTAGAGATCATTTCATTTATTTTATTGCTTAAACTAAATGGGTTTAGGGTATTACAAACTCTCAATGAATAATGACGACTTCTTATTTTCTCTAGCCATATTTGGTGGGAACTGAACAATGCGTTGTTTGTTTATGAATTTGGTTATTAATGACCAAGTGTTTTCTGCACAGCTCTTATTTCTCAAAACAAAACTTAAGACTAAATTACTGTAAATATTCTAAAATATTACCGAAATCTTGCTTTAGTTAAAGTCATTTAATACAGATATTATCATTTTAATTTTTATTCTTTAATCATTGTCGACAGTACATTTATAATTTTTTTTTTTTTTTAATTTTTGCTTGCAAAAATGTTTTATTCCATCTATGTCATTGTCAAGTACATATATGCTTTATATTTATCCTGAAAGATGGAGAAGCAAAGATTAACATCTGTGTAGAAAACTAAGGTTATTTTTTACTGGGGGTGGGGGGGGGAGGTGGTTGATATGTCTATTGTTTGCCCTTTATATAATAAGGTGATCAGATGGTGTTTAAACGTCCTATTGTTGTGCACTGATTGGGCTATTAAAGACGGGAAGGTCAAGTGACATGGTATCAATCCTAATCTTGTACGTGACCATGAGTTGGATGCATGCCCTACCTCTTGGGTTTTCTCTGGGTCCTCCTGTTTGTGTCTAAGGGACGTGTCTCTCTCTATTTATCTATAATAGTGAAGCATGTAAGATATTGATAGGTTTACAGTATTGGCCGTAATTAATAAATTCCATATTAAACTGCGTCCTACTAATTAACATGTCATAATTATACTGTTGATACATTCATCATTCACCATCTTATGATCATAGCAATGAAGTGATGAATTCAAAATGGCTACTTCTTTCTTGTATAAACTATAATTTGTGATTATTTGTGTGTGAAAATGGAGTATCTCAACTGTTTGCATTCGCCGGAACCGGAGAAAAAAGCGAAGAAATATACGTCGCTAGTGCGGATGTGTTATTTACCGTATTGTTTGCCTACGAATGACATAGTAAGTGAATGAATGTAGATTTGTTTTGATGTGGTCAGTTATTCAGGAATCCTAGGTACATGTACATGTATTATACTAATGGACAGTTGCTGATAATGTGTATAGGAGATCGGTCATATTGTGTTGGATATTTAGCAGTTCGGGTTTCTATTTCTGATATCACTCTGAACACAGTGAAACATCTTTGCGTTTGTTCTCAGATGACAGCAAATAATTTGCTCTGGAAAATCAAGTCTATAGTCGTTGCTGTTTCTTTTGTTTAAGATTGAATGTTATGGATAGTATGTGTTGAAATATATATTTTGTCAATCAGAATATGGAGCGATTGTCCTGCAGTGGAAATATTGTTGACAGTGCCTGTTATGGATAAAAGAACAATTCAATTAGAAGATTCAAGCATGGATACCCAATTACAAAGTTTTACATCTTAAAGTTATCACTGTTTATGATGACAAAGGATATATAAGGCTGTGTATTTCATTCCAAATCATATTGCGATACATTGAAATATATTGCTAACAACTTTTATACACCCACATTTTCATGTGGACGTATATTGTCGTTGCCCATGTCCGTCCGTCCATCCACAATTGTTTGTGAAAACTCTACAGGTCACAATTTTTATTCGATTTCAATGAATATAGGTTTATCACCCTAAGATCTTGGCTCCTTTTGATATGGGCATGTATCGGAGTGTAACTTCATGGATTATGGCCCCTGATTGTACGAAAAATCACGTTTTTAGCTTGTGAACACTAGAGGTCACAATTTTTATCCGATTTGGTTTAAACTTGAAATATATGTTTATAACCCACAGATCTCAGTTCCTTTAATATTCACGTATATCGGACCATAACTTCCTGAATTATGGCTCCTGATTGTACGAAAAATCGCGTTTTTAGCTTGTGGACCCCATAGAGGTAACAATTTTTATCCGATTGAAAAAAACGTGTGAATATATCACCGTTACACCCTAAGAATGGTTGAGTTCGAACTTTGTAAAAATCGGACCAAAATGGCCTTAGCTCGTTTGCAAATAGTGTCAAAATATTGCGTATCAGGGTTGTGGACCCGCTGGAGGTCACAATTTTCATCTGATTTTGATGAAACTTGAAATGCATGTTTATAACCCACAGATCTCAGTTCCTTTCGATATTCGCGCATATAGGACCATAACTTTCTGAATTATGGCCCCTGATTGTACGAAAAATTGTGTTTTTAGCTTGTGGACCCCATAGAGGTCACAATTTTTATCTGATTTACAAAACCGTTTGAATATATCACCGTTACACCCTAAGGATGGTTGAGTTCGAATTTCGTAAAAATCGGACCGAAACTGACTGACAAAATCGCCGTCCCTCGTTTGCAAATAGTGAAAAAATAGTGTGTATTGGGGTTGTGGATCCTCTGGAGTGCACAATTTTCATCTGATTTTGATGAAATTTGAAATGCATGTGTATAACCCAAATATCTTGGTTCCTCTATATTTTCATGCATATCAAATCGTAACTTCCTGAATTATGGCACCTCATTGTACAAAAAATCGCGTTTTTAGCTTGTGGTCCCTTTATAGATGAACACTTTGGAAGCCATATAGGAGATAAAACAATAACAACAAATTGATTAACAAGATGAAAGATATAATATATAAACAACAGGTAGAAACCATTTAGCAGATAACACAATAACAACAATTAATTAACCAGATCAAAGATAACAATTAGAAACCATTTTGCAGATAATCACTTGCGGTCCATGTAGAGGTCACAATTTTTATCTGATTTAAAAAAAACTTGTGAATATATAACCATTACACACTAAGATCTTGGTTCCTTTTGATATATGCATATATCCGAACATAACTTCCTGGATTATGGCTCCTGATTGTTCGAAAAATTGCATTTTTAGCATGCAGATTCTCTAAAAGTCACAATTTTTTTTTCCGATTTTAAAAACCGTTTAAATATATCACCATTCCACCATAAGGAAGCTTAAATTCGAATTTCGAGAAAATCGAAATGTAACTGACCGACAAAATGGCGGCACTTTGTAAAAGTAAGCTACAAAGGTTGTGGACCCTCTAAAAATCACAATTTTTATCCGATTTTGATGAAACTTAAAACATATTTTTATATCCTAAAGATCTCAGTCCCTTTTGATATTTGTGCATTCCAGACCATAACTTTCTGGATTATTGCCCCTGATTGTACAAAAAATCCTGTTTGTTTTTAGCTTGTTCTCTATCCATCTCTTGCAAAATGTGGGCGTATCCTGCCTGACAGCCGCTGGTATATGAATTTATGGACTTTTTAAGTAAAACTTTAGAATGAGAACCATGAATATTTTTTCGTTAAAAATGTCTAAAATTATCAATATTGTACATCTTCTTAACAAGCAATATGTGAAGTATAATTGTAAATTGTGTGATGATTGTTATTTATTAAGGAATAGTATTGTTCAGGGGCTACAGGTTCAAAAGGGGTTATTAGTTTTATTCATCTAAAAAAAATGTTTTCTTTTTTTTTCTTTCAGTCACCCAAGAATGATCGATTTGGATATTTATATAAACAAGGGGGGTAAGTAAGATCCATATTACAAATTTCTTCTTCTTTACCATCTTCAGTTTCGAGTGGAAAATAGAGCATGCACAAGTAGATTTCCATTAAATACTATCAATAGTTATTTTCTTATATTCTCCCCAAAAGATACCTGCAATTGGCTTTAATTCAGTGTTCAGGTTTCTTCTCCAGAGTGTCATTGGACAATCCATACTTTCGCTTCTCTAATTGTTTCTGAAGCAGTGAGTTATGCTATTGTAAATTTTCTAGTCCAACACATAGCTTACCAGAAATTTACTTCCTTCGATCTCCAGGAGCTGTTGTGACTCAGTAAGAAGACATTGGCTTGCTAACCTGGAGGTGCCGTGTTGTTATTCGGATGGGACAAAAAAAGCCTGAAGTCACAGGTACTCATCGGCGTGCACATAAAATAACCCTTGACATCTTCTGTTGGGTTGGACTTTGGGATCCCTAACAAATTTACAAACTTTGTTAGGAATTGAACTGGAAAGAAAAGAGTCTTATTTTTTTCCTCATAGTTTACACCATGGACCTTGTGTTGTCTTTTCATTATCGATTCTGTTGTTAAAGATGTGTAGAAAAAGTTAGCCATCGCTACCATATATTTTCTATAAAGATACAAATTTAAGGAATAACGGGGAATGAAGGTTGATTGAGAAGTAAGCATGTCCATTTAGGGAATGACGGGGAATGGAGGTTGATTGAGAATAACAGAAGTTCATTTAGGAACTTTATTTTTTAAAAGAAGTATTCCATATCCGAGTTGGTCTATCTTCAGACATATTTAAGTAAATTCCGTCTCTCCAAGCCTGAATTATCCTTGACCTACCTGATAACATTTCTCTTGGTCACAGGGGGTGGGGGGTTCCCCAAGTGTACATGACAAGGACTAGGGTCGCCTGTCGAGCCTCATGGGTTTTCTCTGGGTCCTTCAGGTCCTCTAGGTCCTACATTTTTCATCCCACTGCTAAAGACCCCCTACGCGTAAGTGAATTATTGAGAAAAAAAATATATGTTAGTCCCGAACTGACCTAGTTTGTGCAGAGTGGACATTACTCTCTCTATCTCTCTCTCTCTCTCTCTCTCTCCCTCTCTCTCTCTCTCTTGGTCACCTTGTTATGTATACTATTAAAATATTATTTCACACATACATATTATATTAGTTTGTCATATTTTATAAACTTTATGACAGGGAAACCGATTTTATTATCCCTATTTGTTCTTGTTAACCCTTGACTCATCTAAATCATAATGATCTCAACATTTAATTCTCTAGTGTCATGTCATTTATACTATTGTCATTAACTTACATAATAATTAGATTAGAAATTATAAAGGAGTTCAAGAATGTGAATCATTTAATCTTTAAATCTTTTTATATGGACCTGTTTATATGGAACAATATATGTAACTAGGACCAGTGTGTGTTAATATGTAATAATGTAACTTGGAACATTGTTTGTTTATATGGAATAATCTAACTGGTACCTGTTTATATGGAACAATGTAACTAACACCTTTTTATATGAAACAGTGTAACTAGGAATTTATATAGAACAATGTACTTAGGACCTGTTATATGGAGCAATGTAACTAGGACCTGTTTATATGGAACAATGTATTACTATGACCTGTTTTAGCTGTTTATATGGAATAATGTAACCAGCACCTGTTTGTACAGAACAATGTAACTAGAACCAGTTCATCTTTATATAGAATAATGCAAATAGGACCTGTTTGTACAGAACAATGTAACTAGAACCGGTTTATGTTTATATAGAATAATGTAACTAGAACCGGTTTATGTTTATATAGAATAATGTAACTACGACCAGTTTTTATGGAACAATGTAACTAGGACCTATTTTTATGGAACAATGTAACTAGGACCTGTTTATATAGAACAATGTAACTAAGCCCAGTTTGTGTTTATATGGAACAATGTTACTAGGACTTGTTTATATGGAACAATGTAACCCACTTTATATTATACATACACAACAAAACAGTTAAAACTATACTGTATATATTAAAGTTAAAAAATGTGAATCCCTCGGGCCTGTTTATATGGAGCACCGAAACCCAACTGGATCGACAAAATTTGGAAATTTAACACTTGTCTGCAGATTTAGACAAATAAATTACTTAGACTATCCAAGATTCCAATCATAGTTAAAGGACAATATTGGTGCCAGTCATTATCACATATGTGTTAGAGCTGGTTAAACACATTCCAAATATATTTTTAACACAGAGATCATTGCTACGATAGCTGAGTAATACAGGTTTCCCGTATCGGAAGTGACGAACGTCAAAGGAAAACACGAGTTGCTACTCTATATAACTGACTGAAGCGACGAGTGATAACAGATACACGGCCGAATTTCTACTCACTAATAATTCCCCCCAAGACCAAAAGTTGTTATATGGGACTGTAAGAGGATATCTGACAATTCAATAAAGTAATTGAATGTCATTAGATAAGAGAACACTAGAAAAATAGAAATAGTCTGTACATTTTCTTGTTTATATTCATTCTATACCTTATAAAAACATGGTAATGCACGGACTTTTTCTGTTTTTATTACGTGTTCTCTTATCTAGTGGCAGTCAATTCTTTTTATGAATTGTCAGATATCCTCTCGCAGTTTCACACAACAACTTTAACAAGGTGCAATATTTTCTCCTCAAGAACAATTTTTGTAACTCGAAGATGTGTGTCCTCTTGCATTAAACTTTCTGCACTGTAGACAGTTCATATTTCCTGATATTACCATGTGTATCTGTATGTTATATATTATTTGATTGTAGAGTGAAGGCTAACAAGGGTTGGAGAAAACGTTGGGTTGTGTTCAATGGAAGAGATTTAAGATACTATGTTAATAATAAGGTAGATTTGGTTTCATGTTCATACCGCCTTTTCTTTTATATGTATCCAATAGTGATGATCAAAATCTATTTTTAGACTTATTTTTGTTACATAATGGTTTATGAATAAAAGTGCAAAAACTATTATGGATTTTATTTCACCTAAATATTTAATCAAGAAACATATATATCTGAACATATTTGTTTTTTGTTTAATTTTTTCAGAGTCAGATATCTAAGCGGATCATACCATTAGCCTGTATGACAGATGTTGTCAATGATGTTAAGGTATGTGCTGAATAAATTGTATTTGATACACCTACATATAATGTACATGTATATTGTTATTACCTTTCCCATTGGACAATCCACAATTTCTAGTCTGGAATTCTTCAGTGAGTACTAAAGAATACTTTGTAAACCCCATTTCTCCCTCACTTCCAATATCTATAAAAAATATCATTATACTGTATGTATCTATAACACATGTTATTATACAGTAACATGTATAACACATGGTATATAACATGTATCTATAACACAAGGTATATAACATGTATCTAAAAAGTATAATGTGTGTTACTATACAGCATGTATCTATAACACATGGTATATAACATGTATCTATAATGTGTGTTACTATACAATATGTATCTATAACACATGACATTTAACATGTATCAATAATGTGTGTTACTATACAGTATGTATCTATAACACGTTATATAACATGTATTTATAACACATTATTATACAGTACATGTATGTATTTATAACATGATATGCTGTCTATTTCTGTTTAATATACAACCGCTCAAAAATTAAGCACCACCAGATTTTTTTAATATGATTGAAATGACCCCCACTGTGTATCAATAACTGCTGCAAAACTTTCCTTGAATATGTCATCTCTGTGTTTGTATGACAGCAAACTTGTATTACACATGATAAATGACTACATAAATTGACAAAGAAATGTTTAATGAACAATATTTCAATACATGAATATTTCAGCAAATTTGATAGCCAATAAAGTATCCCTGTTTTTCATCCGAAAGGTCTTGAAATAACTTGTTAATTGTCTCACTTCCTTCACCCAAATTGCAGTTAATATCGGGTGTAACCTCCTCTGACACCGATGCAATTTTCAACATGCCTCCTCATGCTGGAAATGAGTCATCTGATTTGATTTTGTGGAATATTATTCCATTCCTCTTGAAGAGCCTGTGTAAGTTCAGCAAGATTTTGCACACCAGATACCCGTGCTCGCACCCTGCGACCCAAAATGTCCCATAAATGTTTAATCGGATTGAGGTCAGGGGTTCCTGACGGCCAAGGGAGGGTGTCAATGGCATTACGTCGAAGATATTCCCTCACCACATTGGCTCGGTGGGGCCGGGCATTATCGTCCATAAAGATTGGTCGACTTCCCAACGGGAGGATTTGATTTTGATATCTGTCGCCATTGAGGTTGCCATGAACTTGAATCAGCTCCAGTTTGCAGTCATATGAACAGTATCCCCAGACCATCACAGAACCACCACCGAATGGAATCTCTGGCTGGATGTTATGCTGTTGGTAAGCAGTGCCTCGACGCCAAATCCGGGCTCTCCCGTCAGTTACATGTAACAGAAACCGACTTTCGTCCGACTAATGGACACGTCTCCAAGACCGGATGTTCCAACCACTCCTTGCGTAGCACCACTGTTATCGTTCTTGGATATGTCTCTGAGTAAGGAGAGGACGTCTGATAAGTCTACGTGCTGCCAGTCCACCTGCTTTTAGTCGTTTCACCGTACTAAGGGACAATCGGGTGTTGATTAGCCACCTGTCTCTGAGACTCCGACTTGTCGATCTTGGGTCCTGCCTGGCATGTCTTACAAGGAGACGGTCATTACGAGGTGTGGTATTTCGTGGTGTTCAAACTTCTTTGACGATCTTTGACATCCCCCGTAGCTCTGTGCTTCCTTACAAGACGACTGATGACGCTGTGGTTTATGTTACGTTGCCGTCCAATTTCCCTACATGACATGCCAGCATTTCGCATTCCGATGATTTGCCACCTCTCATTGTTATTAATAGGCCGTCGAGGCATAGGTCCAATGCGTTTTTCAATCGCTTTACGACTCTGAAACCTCTTAGCAATGACAGGACTAAACTTCAATTTTTACAGTTGTAGGGTCACCTTGGTACAGTGACTTTCACCGGGCACGTGCATGTCATGCAAAGTTGTTTTTGCATGTTACCTTTCTATAACGTAACCTAGTTTTAAACTTCATTGACCGTTTTCTTCTATGCTTCAAAATTTATTATTGAAGTTGGTGGTGCTTAATTTTTGAGCGGATGTATATAATATGTATCTATAGTAGATGTTGCTATATTGTCTTGGTTTATATCTATAATAGATGTTATTATATCTGTTTAATGTAATTGTTTTTATTGTACAGACAGAGGATACATCCAGATTTAAATTTAAACTGATCACAACTTTAAAAGACAGAGTTTTCCATTTTGCAGCTGATGAATTAGGTAATTTGCTTCATTTAAGTCAAGCTATTTAAGTCAAATTATTTTGTGAATGTTCATAATTAGTTGTTGCTGTTTTTTTTTATTTAAGTCAGTAAAACTCTATTCCTACTAACAAATAGATCTAGACAATTATTAAAAAAGTGGTTTACCAGTTTTAATCTTTTCTTGAGTGTGTCGACAGCATGGACAAATATGAAAAAGATTATAATTTAATCAACAAAATCAATTTATGTGAATACAAAATGTTATTGTTGTGACCTAATTTATTTGCATCTTGTAGTAAATTTGATGTTGTTTTCCCTTATTTTTGTGTTTGTTTATTTTTTGTTGTTGTTTATTTCCCCCGTTTGCTTGTATTTTAATTTAGATGATTGTTTGACTTGGAGTCAAACTATTATGGCAGCCATTTATCAGAAAAATGGAGGGGTATGTAATTTTAGTCTCAATTTTTGAAACATTGTATGTATGGTTATTTTATTATCCATATTTGAATAAGTTTGAAATGAAATGTGAATGAAATTATATTCCTTGATGAGGCACAATGTTTATTGCTTATCAAGCACTAAATCATAGTTAGTAATTATAAATTAAAAGGTATGGCCATACAAACCAAATATTCTGGTTCCTCGACGATCCTTACCAAAAACGTGATGCGAAAGTGAGGTTTATATTATTCTGTTTTATATTATCAATGGATTATTGATGAGTCTGTTTTTAATTTTATTTTTTGAAATAAAAAACGGTCATGACTTGGAGTATCTGAGAACCAAAATATTTTTTATTGGGCCTAATATATATAGTTATATAATAAAAGGAAGCCACACAATCGATGTTGTTACAATCTGTAGCAAACTGACCAAATGCACTGTTAGATAAATGCTTGTTGTGAGTAAAATTCTTTTGCAATTTGTGACACACACTGTTAAAATGCAAAACAAAATATCTCGGGAGTTCAAAGGTCAACAAACAACCCACTAAATAATTATGATGACTGAGTGAATATAGACAACTGATAACTATACTTAAATTTGGAAATATTTAATAATTTAATATCCTTAAAAGAGGCAGTCCCAAATTTTACAGAATATTGTAAATAAAAGTAGTTTTAAGTATGTAAATCAAACACAAGAATGCTATGATATTAGGGTATTTATCTTAAGAAGTTTTAATCAAAATATGGAGCCAATCTGGAAATCATCGCTAGATTTGCTTAATAGGGTTAATAACAACAATCAGTTAACTTGATCATCACAATGCCCATATAATTTCATTATACAATGTGGCTAACCCCATATGAAAACATAAAGTTTATTTTTTTGAAAAAAAAAATCAGAGAGCCACAGGTTTTTGTATAGGAATACGATAAATCAGTTTTATTCACTAAAATATACATTATCTGGGACTTCTTCTTTAAATCAGTTTTATTTACCAAATTTATCTAGGACTGCTCCTTTTAATCAGTTATATTTACTAAAATATATCTGGGACTTCCCCCTTTTTTTCACAAGAATATACCTGGCACGGCTCCTTTATAAGTTATATTCACCAAAATAGTACATAAATACTTGGATGTCACCAGACATTTCTATATTTGGTTTTATTATCTGAACAATTTATAAGCATGTTATAAAATAGCACTTCCTTTATAGTGTATATATCTTATTTACTTTATATGATTAGTCTCCATTATATTATATATGCATAGCAGATCTGTTTAGTATACGTTTTGTATTCCTTGTAAGAGGAGATGGGTGATATAGGCTATGCCTGTTCCCTGATCATTTGCCCTTGTCAGTGATACAGGATGGAGGGCCTGACAAGGACAGCTGTCTAATCGTTCAGATGGGACCAAAAATCCCTTGGCAGTTGGAATTCAATATAAGAGTAGAATGTAGTGCCGCTGTCCGGACAAAATGTCCCTCATAGCACACTGCATTGTATATGTCCCTCTTCATTATCCCAGTTCGGAACGGAACAGTAGAACGTTAAACCCCATTTCATTTCATTTCATTTCATTTCTTTTCCCTAGTCCATTTTCATGCATTGTTTACTAAAAAAGAAATTATCTGATGCTGCTTTTTTAAATGTTTCTATGTTGTATTATTATTAATGTTATTTTTGAATTTTGATGTTTTTCCTAACAGATTTACACCTGTTTCTGTATTGATGCATGACAAACAATTTAACCTGTTTACATATAGACATGTAATGATTTATAGATAACAGATATCCTGTATACCTACATTTGACCTACTTAACAAAACTATCATAATGAAGCAAATTAATCTTGAAGTGTAAATATATATTGAATTGATCAGGCTTGAATTGATAGCTTGGAAATTGATAGTTGATAGTATAGGTGTAAATAATATTTATATACATAAAGTAAATTTCTGTGTCATATTTAGGATTTCAAAAGGGGGCAGAGGTGTCACAAAAATGTACTTTAACAACTACCTTTAGATTAATATGGATTCTTTAAATACCTCTAGATCAATATGGATACTTATCTAGTCTTAGTTCACTACTTAACTAACTCTAGATCAATATGGATACTTGAAGTACCCTTACTACACGATGGGTACCTTAATTACCCTTAATACACTATGGGTACTTTAACTACCCTTAAAGGGTCAATCCCGATAATATGTTGGAGAATAAAACTGCTTAATTTTGTGTTAAAATCCCTGAAAATCCTCTACCTCAGGGCTGAACAACTAACTCAATATATGTGATACGCTTTCAAACAATTGAAACCTGTCAGTCTTCATCTGGAAAAGGAGACTGGCGTCACAAGCTGTATTATGCGGTGTCTGGATAAAACTAGACTTTTATTTCATAAAAATAATGTGTAAGTGAAATTACCCTAAATATTTAGTTTATTATATGAGAGGAGAGCCTGATACAGCTATACATGTAGTAGACATATTGTGAGGAAATAACTATATGAGTTTGTAATAATTGAGCCTACAAGAATTTATGTCAAGTGTAATAGGAAATTGTTTAAAATAAATCTTTCCTTTTATCAAGCTGCACTGATTTCACTCATTTAAATTACACTCACTTCTAATTTAATCAGAATTCAACAGTTGTGTTTTACACTTAATTAAAAATTTATGTTGGTCTATTGTGTGTGTGTGTGGAGGGGGAGTTGGTCTTAATTCATCATTACTATCAAATTTACAGAGTTTAAATGAAATATATTACACACATGAGTCCTACTTTTACTGCAGAGCAATTGTAATTTTGTTATCCTAAATGTAATTGCAGGAGGAAAGCACTAAACACAAACAAAGACAAACATTCGACAAGACACAAACTACACTAACACTGCAAGCAATAATTAGTTTGATTTGTTCAGATTTGTAAATGCGTTAATTAAATATCTAAAGTCGTTCTAAAGAACCCAAGTTAAAAATAAACTGTTTTTTGTTACAATGATTTAAATACTCTACAATGTCCTTGTTATTAAACCTTTTTCTTTCACATTTATAAATATACACCATCTTTTTCAGACCAGTATTTAAGTAGGTTATATGTATATATACTAAATCAATATGGCTGCAACCTGTCTGAGGTTGTGCAGAAATATACTTGTAAAATGTACACTACAACTCATGCAGGTATCATATTTTTATGCTGTTTCAGTGGAAGCTACTGTATTTAATGTTAAGTTTTAAACCATTATCGGGAAAGTGAAAAGTTGTAAACCCAACACTGTCTAATGTAGTCTAACTCAAATTTTTCGATGATTAACATAATATTTATTAGCCCAGTCGGGGCAGAACAGTAGGACATTAAACCCCATTTCATTTCGATGATTTTCAACAAATTTTAAACATTTACCAACAATAAATTAACATTAAACGTTAAATACAGAAACTCCCGCTACAACAGCACAACTGAACAATACCTGAGTTGTAGTCATATAGATGTGAAGAGGTTTAAAGGATTAAATGAGAGTTTATACAGTATGTCTGTGAAGTTATACTTATTGTATTTTTTGTTAATTACAGACTAATTCAAGTGAAGATCTTGGAATACGAAAATCTGATAAAGAAGTAAGTTATTGATATGTCTACAGATTATACTATTATACCAATATAGTTTACGTTTTCTTGCTATTCCTTTCTTATAAAGTTTATTCACATCCACAGCTGAATAGGAAAGAAGTTTAATATCTCTTCAACAAAGTATTTTAGTCATTTTGAGATAGAGTTCATTTTCTATGTTCATGTGTGTAATGCATATAGAATAGACTATAAGAATAGAGCTCAGTATCTCATTAACCCAATATTTTGTTCATTTTCTATAGTAATGTGTGCTATACATAAGGAAAGATTTTGCTCAGACAGCAGTAAAGGGTTCTTTTTTGTTTACTCCAACATGCACATGGATGGACCTCAGTTTTTTGTACCATCCGAAGGACTAGGCAATGTTTTCATTGTCAGTCTGACAGGATTTAACAAGGAAATTCTAACCTGGTGTATTACATCTTCTTGTTTTGACATTGTAAGAAATTTGGAAAATTATTTATAGAGAATAATTATTAGTTGCATTAATTGAAATTGCTCTACTCACAGTATAATAATATATTTGTTTTCTCTGATTACAGGGATTTATCAAGTTTGAAAATGGAGGTGGTAGAAAATATTTTGTATCTATCAGTGATAGCAGGTTGTGTTATTTCCATAATAGAGATGTAAGTTCTGTGACAAAAATTATAATTACTCATTTCTTTTTGACATATTCATTGAGTCTTTGCCATTGATCACTTTGAAGAATCTTTAGAACGCTCTGGTGACAAACATTCTCATCTAATTGGCCTTAAATTTAAATGTGTTATTCAAATTAGAAAGACAAAGAAGAGTATCAAATTTTGACAGTTTTTTGCATATTACTGCAAGCATTATTGCCCTTGATCACTTTGGCTCAAACAACAAAAGGCATTGTTTGGCAATCGATCTTTAAAAATTACTGATATTATTAATTATGTATTATTACTTTCTATTAATACAGAGACCTACATATATAACCTTTTGTATTATTGAGAAATTATTTTCTGTTATTTCAGGATTATTTATTGAATTCTCCAATACATGAGATAATGATGGAGTTGGCGTCTGTTAAAAATGCCTCCGTCGGTAAAAATAGATTACAGTTATCAACACATTACGGACATTTCATGTAAGTACCAAGGGTAGAGCAATCAGTTTTGTGGGGGGGTTTTGTAATCACTTTGTGGGGTTGGATGGCCGAATGGTCTAATGCATGCGCTTTAGATAAGGTGAAGTGACGTGATTTCGATTAGCTGCTTGTACATGACAGGGATTGGGGTCGGCTGTCCAACATTAAATTGAAGTATGTTAGTCCCGAAATGACCTAGTTTCTGTTGAGTGGGAGTTCAACTCTCTCTCTCTCTCTCTCTCTCTCTCTCTCTCTCTCTCTAATGCTGCAGTGATGTTTTTTATTTACCTATCTATTTCAGAGCATGATGAGATATTGTTAAACATTATTAATTTCATTTACAGATTATCATTTGAAAATGCTACAGAGTGCCAACAGTGGAAAATGGCTATGGAGGAAGCTATAGCAGAAGGTTTAGCTGATGATAGTGTAAGATTCTTATTGTTATATATTCTTCTTTAGGAATCATGGGGGTTCAGTGGGAATAGTACTTGCTCCAGTAGGTCCATGGGATTTTTCAGTTTGGTTTCTCCTTTCCCATGTTGTCCATGCTATTTGCTACACTGCTTTCATGTAAACTCAATTCTACATAAATATGTATAGAATATATTTCCAGGGATGTTTGTTAGGTCAAACTAAATTGATGTAGACAATTTGATTAGATTGTGTCCTATTGATGTCAAAACATCAAACGATGAAAAAACTTTATGATACATAAAGTTTCTTTAAAGTAATTTCTGGAGATTTATGAAAATGAAAGTAATAAAATTATCCTTACATATTACAGGTTTTAGTGAAGGTTAATGAAAATGAAAGTAATAAAATTATCATTAGATATCACAGGTTTTAGAGAAAGTTTATGAAAATGAAAGTAGTAAAATTATCATTAGATATTGCAGGTTTTAGAGAGGGTTAATGAAAGTAATAAAATTATCATTGAATATTATAGGTTTTAGAGAAAGTTTATGAAAATGAAAGTAATAAAATCTGTGCTGATTGTGAAGCTGAAGGTGAGATTTAATTGTTAAAAAATTAAACAAAACTTGTCAATATGTTAATAGTTAGAAAGTTGTCTCCCTAAAAGTATTCAGTGAAATTAAATAGATTTTACCAAAGGTTATAGGTGGTGCTGGCTTGTTTTGACTATATCCCCTTTATACATGTATTGTCTGCAGAATATGCTGAATGTTGACAGATTTTCAATTCATATATCGTTGTAAAAACTGTACAGAACAGAACAGAACTATTCACTATATTGCAGTTTACAAGATATTGAAAATGCTGATCAGTTACTTTTAGCCGAAAGTAAATTTCAGTAAATAGGCTTCATGCATAGACTTTTGGTTTAATTTTGATTGTTATCTATATAAATAAAATCAAAGATGTCTGTATGTATGTATGTATATTCACCTGTCACGCTTCGACGCCGTGCCCCACCCCCACATAAGTGGTATCAAATTAACCAGCATGACTCCATGAATGTTTTAGGCCATCAAAATTGGACCTCCGGCAAATTTTGGCCCCGGATTGATCCAGGTATCCAGCTAGTAAAAAATAAAAGCGCTTTGAAAGCTTTTATTTTTTATAATCTTTTAAATTTTTCTTAAATATTTCAGAACCACACTGGGCATCTATAAATTTGGGCATCGTTGTTTGTAAAAATTGTGCAGGTAGAATCAATTTATTGAACTTAAGATATTCATCATTAATAATTTTGTGTTAACTTACAATATTCATTTTTATTGCTCTGAAGTTTACTTAAAATATTCATTGTTTATTGCTCTGAATTTAGTGCAAAATATTCATCAAGCTTTATCATTTATTACTCTAAAGTTAACTTAAAAAACTCATTAAGTGGTATTCATCATTCATTACTGTGAGCTAGAACTGAACCAGAATAAGGCTGAAAAATATACGACTCCCATGTTTTTACCTGCTATTACTTTCACAAAGTCAGCTCATGACACCAACTTTTGTCAACATGGCAAATTTGAATCATTTGCATTATCTCTTTAAATGTATAGATTCTCTTTGCTTTCGTATCTAAGTTAGTAAAACAATCTTATACACAGGTTTTAATTCTATTTAAAACAATTACTGCTTATTACTGAGCGACGTTTCAACAAGGCAACTCTAGTATCAAACAAATGATAAAATATAAAATGTAATGAGAGAATATATACTTGTACACAACAATATTTGTGACCTGTGTACTAAATGCCATTGAATCAGTTTACAAAACAGTTTTAATTTGATTATTATTATTTATCACCAGGTATACACAGAATGTTTGACGTTGCGATCTCTAAAATACGATCTTTACGAATGGACACAAGAGTGTGGACACCTAGTCTTATAGAGGTAATTATCATATAACATATATTGTAATGTTAGGAATGCAACTTTTCTTTAATGGATCGGAGAAGTCACACTTTTTTCTGTTTTTCTGAAAACATCTCATTTAAGAATGCAAATCAAGCATTGTAATTTAAAGAATTAGTATCTTGCCTCCATTTTCTTAATGAGGGGTGGGGGCTGGGTGGTCAGGTGGTCAACAGATTCAGATCATAAGATCTGCCATTGGTCAAGTGGCATAGTTTCGATGTTAAGCTTGTTTTGGCTTTTCTCCAGGTCCTCCAGTTTCCTCCAACTGTGTTGAGCGGACGTTAAACCCCATTTCTCTGTCTCTCTTGCTGTATGATGTAAAGCATACACATTATACCACTCTTATCAACCACCCATTTACCATTCATTAAAAATTCACAGATAGTTGTGTTGATGAAGAATAATGGGTGTTAAGAGTCAATAACCTGTTATATTCACTTATTTTACTAGGAAAAATTCTATTGTGACATATAAATGACAATAATGTTTCCTTGACATACAGTTTAATACTCAATAATTGAAAGACTAAATTGTTTCTCACAAATTACCTTGGCATATATTGTGCAATGCAAATGGTTTCCAAAATAATTTGAATATGTCTTTTATTTTATACAGCTAATGAAAGCTATTGGAAATGCTAATGCCAACAGTTTTTGGGAAAGTGATCTTTTACCTGAACAAAAAATAGACAAAGATTCATCTACAGAACAGCGGAAACATTTTATACAAAATAAATATAGACATAAACGCCATTGTCAACTTCATCAAGCACATCAAGATGTTGACATACTTAATCAGGTAAGTGTAGATTACATATTGTTTATGTCATTTATTCATTCTTTCAGTTAATGTCATTCTACCATCAAGCTTAGAAATCAGGCACCTGTTGCTACAACTCTGGTATCAGGCTGTTTCTGTGGGAGTTGCTGTATTTAATGTTTAAAACCATTGTAGGCAAATTATTCCAATTCGTTGAGAATCATGGGGAAAATGGTCGAGTTTACCACATTTCTTTCTATGAAAATCTATTAATCATTTCCTTAACACCTCAGTATTTTGACATGAAACTTTCAGACGGTCTAGCATTTTATACTTAAAAACCCTGTGAATCTCACAATGCTCCTTTCAGTTCATGTTGTTTCTGTGGTAATCAGGATTGAGTCATATTTTTTAACCATTTTGACCATATATTAAGTTTGATTGAATAATTTTTCCAGGAATTATTAAAATCGGCTGGATCTGATAATGTGCTGGATACCATGGCAATCGTTTTTTCAGGGGCAGATGTGAGTATTTTATCGTAACTTTATTAATATAATCATTGAGTCATTGTCTTAAAGATCCGTAGTGTGAATATGCTATTATGGTTGAGTGCTGGTACGATATATCGTTGAGTCGATGTATCGTGATTTACCTTCTCATGATTCACGTATTGAATCGTGAGACACTGAATCAATTTTTTACGATTCTTTTTTTGTCACTTCAGTAAGTAACCTGTCACTCTTAATTATCCAAGTCACACATTTTCCATAGATGCACAAATACTTTTAAATTGTTTTGACCCTTATTTTGATCCACATCTATATTGTGATATAAAACAATCAAATTTCATCAAGATCGCCAGGACTAAATATATCGATTATTCATTTATCTTGTTGTTTTCTTGGTAAATATTGACCTGTTTATGAATCGTATCGTAGTACCTGAATCGCAATACGTATCGTATTATGACTGCAGTGGCAATATCCAGCACTAACATAGATCAAACATCGTAATGATCAGCAAAAATATTGTCTGTCAGACTGACTAACATAATTTAACAAAAGGAAGGGAGTCCTTTAAACCTTCCCACTCCTTTAAAATTGTTGTTTGTGCACACACAGTGACCTAGTAACTCCAAAGGCTATGACCTAGAATTTATGCTGGCCAGAATTCATCCATTGTACATTAATTTTTTGTTTTGAAAATTTACAGGTGTTATATCATCTACCTGGACATGAAGATACAGGTAAGATTCAACATGTAAAGTTTTAATTAGACCAAAAAAGATAATACCCGTGTTTATCTACTGAAAAGCATGCCAAGTCCAATTTATATGACTAGTTAAATGAGGAGCTAAAGTTTAGAATCATTGTGTTATGTTAGGTAACCATAAACACAGGACATTCTGGTTGTGAGGCCAGTGTCCTAAACACACAACCTTACACAAAGTAAAGCAAATACTTTACTCCATTGTCAACTTGTCATCAGAAGATTTAAACAATGTTACTAGTCAGTTTGAAACTATCACAATTTATTAGCACATGCCAAATGAAGGAATATTGAAATGGGCTCTGTATGTCCTTCCATCTGAGTTTTGTTTCCAGGACATATCTCATTAATTGGGTTTAACATCCACTTGACACAACCAAGTACATTTCGGGACTAACATATGGTTCAATTTTCTTTCAATGATTCGCTTGCGTGTATGGGTGTTTAGCATTAGGATGAAACTAGTGGACCCAGAGAAAACCCACGAGGTTGGGCAGGCAACTCTAATCCTTGTCACGTGCAATCAGGGAATCAAAACTACATCACTTGACTCAATGACTGACCGCTCCCCCATGAACACGTAAGTCATGATTAATGACACACCTTGTGAATTCACACACACGTGCTAAACTGCTAGACCACCCAACCCCCCCATCTCAAAAACCATTGACAATATCTTTATGAAACTTTGTATACATATCCACCTATTATAGTAGTTATGCCCTTTGCTAAGGCTGACCTTAAAAATATCTTTGTTTCGCCTAACGCGACCGACTAACTAAAACCACCCCCGACTTAAATTATTTTATTGCACTTTTCCACGATCTTTTTATTTTATTTTGTGTGTCAACCTGAAATATATCATGAGAGTTATTTCCCTATACTATGGCTATGGTTTGATTCATTATTGAAACTGGTTGATCAAGACGAAAGCGTCATAGGTGTCGCTTCTCAACAAAATGGTTGCAGACGAATACACGTCCATTCCCACAAAATAATTCTGCCTCTATGTCTGTGGTGCGTAGTTTTAAACATGACGACGATATTTTCAATATCCGTTTTCGAGAAAAATGAAAGCACAACGCGCACTATCGTTAAAAACGTGTTGAAGGAGTTTCACACTTCAAGTTCGTGGCTAATCGTGTGCGAGTCGGGCATCACGAAAAATCCCGATGTCATTGATTTGTTTGCCAATAAAGAAGACGAATGTTTCCACCCGGAAAATTATTAAGCTGTCAAATTAGCTCTTAAGTTTAATAAAAACTTTCAGTTCGTTACTTTTTACGTCAGACCCCAAATTCATTAAACAAAATTAATGAATCTGTAGTATACAGCTAATAAGTTTTCTGTATTGATTTCTCTGACTTTAAAAAAAAATCTGAAAAAAAAACCGACCTACCGACCCTTCTCCTCGATTGTGGGTCGGGTTTGGTGAAACAAAGATATTTTTAAGGTCAGCCTAATTTGTAATTTCTCAGATTTAAAAATTTTTTGTGTTTCCATGGAAACATATTTGACTTAGTTTACAAGTCTTCTTGTTATGTTTCATTTCTGTAACTTTTTTTCTGTATGGTAAATATTTTAAGAATTGACATGTGTAAATAGAAATATTATTTTATACTTTAGCTTATGTGATAGCCAAGCGAGCAGGTGAAAGATTACAAGTGGAATTTCTTTATCAGAATTTTGGTGATGGTAAGTTTTTATTTAATTCAAAAATGAAAATTAATGAAATGTAACATAGAAATTTTGGCAAATCAGGAACTTTTGATTCTAATGCCAATAAGTCAAGGTTTGGTCAAGACTAGCAAATGAGATTAAGATGAGAGGCCATGCTCCAACCTAATTTTAATTCAGTAGATTGAACTAATTTCATGTCATTTTCTGTGTTTACAGTATTTCAAGCGCATGTTTCGAGTGCACCACTATGGTGCAAGTCTGCGAAATAGGCCAAACGGAGGGGAGGTGGTCTATGTGTGTTATTTAGGAAAGCCTTGAACAATAGTAAATGTGTGTCACGCAAAGTACAAACTTTTGAACTAATAGAAAATAATAATAATGAACTCATTTAGACTATACAGACCATCTGCGTCAAAGATAAATGAATGCTGATTGGATGATTTTCTTTGTGACTTTTTATTTGTGATGATTTTAACATTTGACTTGATTATTTGTTATTATTATCATCATTATTAATTATTATTAATTAATATTATTATCATCATCATTATTAAATATATTTATATAGTGCATCGTTCATCTAAGTGTTCAGATTAACAATAACAAAGTAAATTACAATTTATGATAAAAAGAAAAGTTATAAAAAAAAACCAACATTTCTCTAAAAACAGTAAGAGAAAAGACAATGTAAAATTAACTACACATAAAACAGTAAAATGTATAAAATAAGTAAAAGCACTTTTAAATAAATGAGTTTTTAAATGTGATTTGAATATAATAATAAAAGGTTATTTCCGAATAGAGTAAGGTAATTTGTTCCAAAGTAATGGTGCATAAAATGAAACGTCACTCTCGCCTCAGTAAATCCTAACTGGAAGACCTTGTATTTCTGACTGGAGTGCGAATTTGTATTTAATTCGGACATGTATGGAGGATCTAAAGCATTAAGACATTTGCACTATACGACTGGTACCGTGGAATCTCGGGTAAATAGCGTTATTATCTAATCTATGTAGAATTATTCATAAATATCATTGAATTTGGCCTAATAGCATTCAATTTGTCCTTGTATACATCTTAAATCTCAACGTGCAATTTTGATTACCAAGCGTTAATTGACTAGTGTTTAGTTTGTCGACACGTGTGTAATTATAAGCGTCCCGCTTAATTTTGACGACTGTTCAATAATTAGTTGGACTGTTCAATTTCCCGAGTTGTGATTAAAATTAGTCAAGGTGTCCAATTACGCCAGGTATTCAATTCTGTTGCCGAACATCCAATTTCATATGCGTTGTTCAGATTTTAACGAAATGTTTATATTGAAGGAGTTGTAATATAGTAATGCTGCCGTGAAAACGTGTACATGTATAATGTACAGGCCAGTTTGAATAACAACAAAATGAGTTCGGTAATCTCGGGAAAACATTTACCGGCATTCTGTATCGGTTAGGATTTTTTTCTAACGCACTGTACATGCATATAACATCGGCCAAAATGTATGCAACAATGAACAACTTACAATTTTTTTTTACAACGTATCATTACATCTTCGTCTATAACTTAGATGTAATCCATCAATTATTGGCTGCTATAAAATCCAAACTTTAAATTGTCGCCTTCACTCCGTTATTTTGAGTAGCCTACACTTTCTGAATGATTCCATTCTTTTGTACGAATGCATGACCACTTGGACCAACTAATAGACCACTCGGACGAAACAAAAAAGATTACTCGGACCATACAAAAAGACCACTCGGACAAATAATAAAGTGTTGTTTTAATACGTTTATATTTGTGTTTGTATTAATATGACTACTCGAATCAATAATAAAGTGTTGTTTTAATTGTTGTTTTAATAATTGATAATAGTGTTTGTTTTAATATGCATATGTTTTCTTTGAAATAATAAAGTGTTATGTACTTACCCGTCGCATTGTTTCATCATGAAGCACATCAAAGAAAAACAATTAAATTGTTGATGTAATAAAGATATATATTTGCTAATATGTACTTACCGGCAGCGGATATTCTAAAGTTATGTATATACTCACCTATAAATTGTTCGCCTCTTTGTATTATGATACAATATGTTGTTAATGATTAAAATCATTAATAACATATTGTCTGTATTATATTTTTAAAATGAATAAGTCAAGCCTTATAATGTAATTTAATTGGCCCGTGTGGTCCTTTGGGTTGGTCCCAATAGCAAGGATAAATATGGGTCCGATATTATGCAATATAGACGCAGGTTTATTTATTTTTTTTTTTCTCCTTTTTTTCTAACAATATTTATTCAATATTTACATATTATAAAGATATAATGTTCAATTATGGGATCTGAAAACAAGCCGTACAGTTATATAAATACATTGTTTATAATTATAATCACGATTTACATACAGTTATAATTACAAAAGCAAATGCAGGTTCAATCAAGAAACTTGCGTGTTCACCGTCTAGTATAACTTTCGAGCTTCTGATATCTAGATTTTAAACGTAAACATTTTTGTATAAACTTATAGATTGCAGTTACACAGGGTACATGTATATGCAGTAGGAATTCGGGAAGTTGTACGTACAAAAGAATGGAATCATTCAGAAATTGTACTCAAAATAAGAAAATTATAACGGAGTGAAGGCGAGAATTACATGTAGGCCAACACACACGTGGACATTGTATAAATATATGACACGCGCATGTATAAACTTATAGATTGCAGTTACACAGGGTACATGTATATGCAGTAGGAATTCGGGAAGTTGGACGTACAAAAGAATGGAATCATTCAGAAATTGTACTCAAAATAAGAAAATTATAACGGAGTGAAGGCGAGAATTACATGTAGGCCAACACATCGTGGACATTGTATAAATATATGACATCCGCATGTAATGTACACGTGTGTGAAATGGCTTTATTCAATATCCGCTTCCACCGAAATGAATTGGGCGACATTTAAAGTAGATGTATATTGTCATAGCGGGTTGTCTGCGATATCACCTCGGTGGAAGCGGACGTAAAATACAACTAACTAACAACAACGTCATAGCGGAGATTTGTCGCCGATTAACACAGACAGACTAAGAAAATAGTCCCAATATTGGCGCGTTTCTGACCATGTGACTTACCGTTAAGCGCCCCGTGGAGTGGATCGAGTGCTCTATGAATTATTGATTTAGATTAACTGAAGCTGCAAGCTAATCGTATGACGTATATAATTTAAAGTTTGGATTTTATAGCAGCCAATAATTGATGGATTACATCTAAGTTATAGACGAAGATGTAATGATACGTTGTAAAAAAATTGTAAGTTGTTCATTGTTGCATACATTTTGGCCGACGTTATATGCATGTACAGTGCGTTAGAAAAAAATCCTAACCGATACAGAATGCCGGTAAATGTTTTCCCGAGATTACCGAACTCATTTTGTTGTTATTCAAACCGGCCTGTACATTATACATGTACACGTTTTCACGGCAGCATTACTATATTACAACTCCTTCAATATAAACATTTCGTTAAAATCTGAACAACGCATGTGAAATTGGATGTTCGGCAACAGAATTGAATACCTGGCGTAATTGGACACCTTGACTAATTATAATCACAACTCGGGAAATTGAACGGTCCAACTAATTATTGAACAGTCGTCAAAATTAAGCGGAACGCTTATAATTACACACGTGTCGACAAACTAAACACTAGTCAATTAACGCTTGGTAATCAAAATTGCACGTTGAGATTTAAGTTGTATACAAGGACAAATTGAATGCTATTAGGCCAAATTCAATGATATTTATGGATAATTCTACATAGATTAGATAATAACGCTATTTACCCGAGATTCCACGGTACCAGTCGTATAGTGTTGTGTGTGATTAACAATATTTTAAAATCAATTCTGAATGATACAGGAAGCCAATGAAGAATTGGAGTTAGACGATCTTAGAGATATTTTTCATGGATTTTAACTTCTTTTATGTTTACCCAACATGTAAAGTATCCTACACATAAAAGGGGACACATTCTAGGCCTGGTTCTTGAAAGGAAACCTGACCAATGATTGAGTGATCTGTCAGTTGTTGGTCACAACATTTCTGATTATCTTCAAACATAAAATTCCTAACATAAATTGTATTGTGAAACATGTTACCTTTAGAAACTCCAAGAAAATTCATGTCTCGGCCACATCTGATGTTTCTGAACAGATAGACCATTTTAACAGATACTTTAACATCATTGTTTGATCAACATGCTCCTTTACGAACCAAAAGAGTGTCCAGCAATCCAAACAGAAACTGGTTCAATGGCTCCCTTCTAAAGCTCAAACATGAAAAACGAACCATCGAAATTGAAATTTTTTTGAGAAAATCTGCATTTGAAATAAAAAGACAAATTGATGAATCTATTCGGAACCTATTTAATAAAGAAACTAAAGTGGCAAAACTGCATTATATATCTGATATGATTATCTAAAACAGGGACAACTCAAGACAGGTTTATTCAATCGTTGATGGATTTATAAAACCAACCAGAAACAAGAATGTTACTTCTCACATTGATAGTCAAACGAAAACTAATCAGTTTTCCCATTTCATCCACAACAAAATATTAGAAATTCAAAATGATTTGGAATTGAAATGTAGTGATAAATGTGAAAATGGCTTTTCTGATAATCAGAGATTAAACGTATTATAAATCGTTCAATTTGAACAAGATCCCAACGTGGTTGTTGAAATTGTGTTTGAAGGAACTACGGAAACCAATAACACATATTTTGAACTGAACACTTCGCTTCAAACTGGCAATGTGTGTAGTTCTCTGAAAGACGGGTTATTTATTCCAATAATAATGGATCCTAACTATCAGGTGCTAATGAAAATTTTCAATCTGTTTTACAAAAAGAGACAAGAGTATCGAGACAGCACTTTCAAAAGTAAACAATGACATTCATTAACTGGATAAGTAACGGTGAGTGCTGCTTGACTTGGGCACTGCATTCGATACCATTGACCAACAAATTCTACTGAACAGATTGTGTCGGAGATTTGCAATTATAGATGCAACATTAAGATGGTTCGAATTTTATCTCTCTGTACGTACTCAAAGAATACATTGAACTAAAATATGGTGTCCCTCAGGGATTAGTGTTAGGACCCTTACTGTGTATACAACTCCTATAGGGATATAAACTGTAGCCATGGGATTGACTTTCATCTTTATGCAGATGATTTGCAATGATATATCTATCTTTAAAGCCATCTGCTGAGGATAGTAATGTGAATAAACTTGGAAACTTTGTCAGTGATATAGAAATTGGATGACAAAGCTTAATGATTACAAAAAGAAAGTCATCAAATGTGTTTGTAATAATCAACGTAGTAAATTAGAGACTAAATCAATTAAAACTGTTAATTCTGACACTCCTTGTGTTCAATCTGTAAGAAGTCCTGACGTTCAATTCGATTCAAACATGTCTATGCTTGATCACATTGCTGATATTAGTAAATCATGTAACTATCATCTCTATAAGATAGGTAAAGGTAAAATTTGTCCATATACCGATTTAAAAGCTTTCATAATAGTAATTAAAGATGCATTATGTAAGAGCTAAATCTGGCAATTGCAGGTATTTATTTTGATTTCAAATGTTATATAAACTATTATTTAAACATTTATTAACATTACAAGCCTATAATCAACTCTCTAGGGCATCGGATGACCATTAAATGATAAACAATCAATGCGACATATTGTCAAAACTCCAAAGGTTGGAGTCCAAACAGTGATCACCTCACTTAGAATAAAGTAATTTGTATGAAATTTTCAATATATTCATTTTGCATTATCTATATTTGAACTATTATAGCAAGAATGGCCAGTTCTGTATCTATTTATTAAATAATGCATCTTTAATACTTTTGTGACATCAAAACTGGACTACTGCAATCACTCCAAATTATGCAGAAGATCCAAAGCTGCCTGTAACATCATCCCATGAGCCCATCACCCTTGTCTTAAAGCATTTGCATTGCTTACCAGTCTTTGTACGAATAGACTTTGAAATATTGTGCCTAACTTACGTGTTTAAATGATCCCACTAGCCCTAAGTACCTGTCTGAGTTTATCTGTGTTTAAATGATCCCACTAGCCCTAAGTACCAGTCCTGTCTGAGTTTATCTGTGTTTAAATGATTCCACTAGCCCTAAGTACCTGTCTGAGTTTATCTGTGTTTAAATGATTCCACTAGCCCTAAGTACCTGTCTGAGCTTATCTGTGTTTAAATGATCCCACTAGACCTAAGTAACTGTCTGAGCTTATCTGTGTTTAAATGATACCTGTCTGAGCTTATCCACCCATATATACCTCTAGTTCTTTAAAGCTGCTGAGTACTCTAAAATGCACATTTTAAACCTAGCACTGTAAGTTTTCTTCATAAGATATAACCTTTTTTGTAATTTGGGGTTATAAACTACATTTTGATAACCAAAAAAATACCAATAAAGGGTGCTGATGACAACGAAAGTCGAATTTCTGCATGAACTTTCAGGAAATTTGTCATGAAGAATGCTAAATGCAAGTTGAAAAAACCAAAGGGAAATTTTTTGTCGGGTATTCATGAAAATGCCAAAAACTTCTATAAAATATAAGTTCATGCTAAAAAGAGATATTGATAATCCCTCCCTTAGATTGAAAGTAGAGGTTATGAACAACATTTCGACATCAAAAACATTAAAAAAACATTAAAAAAATATCTACTCAATGTCAATCTGATTAAAACACAGATCCTATTTATAGTTCAAAATTTCATTTTACTTGTCTTAACTACAATAGGATCTGGAAGAGTTGTTATATAATAGGCGTTCTTATTGATGTGAGGAATTAGCTAATGAAACGGTCAGTTACAGCGACTTTTTGGCGTTCTCTGCGAGGAACTGTGGGTAAACCCCTAGAAACATCAACGCTGATTGATTAATCAATTAATGTCTGACGTCATAGGGTCAAAAGCCGCTCGTTTGACCCCTGACGTGAACTCCCACTTTAACTTGTCAGATCTTCATGTAGTGTAGGGCCATCGAAAGTATAAAAAATTGAAACAAAATAAAGATCTGTATTTTAATCATATTGACTCAAAGTATTTTAAAATCTATGTTTATTATTTACCTTCAAATGAGATTTTGTGATTTTTGGTTAATTCTTTGAATACATGCACAACAAGTTTTAAAATACAACAATTCGGATGTAAAAAGTAAATATTTACTTAGTGCACTACTCCGCTGCTCTCAGCTGAATGTATAAAATGATAGTCGGCGACCATCAAAAAAGGAATTTTGGCGATGTTGCAGTCGTGGTAGATGGTAGACCAAGATAATTGCATCTTAAGAGGGAATTCCTTCTGACGTCATTATGTAGATAGATGTCAATGGTCCAGTGTGAAACTGTTTCTGGAGGTAGCCATGATTGTTTGCTGCGTATGACTTGACCAATGTGTACGATATCATAATTTATTCAAGAACTGATCTAGGCCAGGGAAACCTTCTATAAATAGTTGATTTCTTTACGCTGGTATCTCCATTATTACACAACAAGAGGTCGGACTGTTACTTTACACATGGAACGAGTATGCAAAGTCTTAATAAAATTGATGTTGAAAAGTTAGTGCGTTTCATAGACTACTCAACGCTCTTTAAGATCTGCTTCCAATAATTTGCTTGTAACACCACGAACTTCATTAGCAATTGCTCATAGGCCTTTCGCTTCCACAGACCAAAAAATAGTTCTACCTTGGAAATTTTTAAACATAAACTTAAAAGTAATAAAACAGAACTTTTTATAGTAATAATAATTTTTTATCATTAATAACTTTTAATTATTGTTTTATGTGTATTTATCAAAACTTAATACTGAACTTCTTAGTAATTTTTATTGTTTTGTTCGTTTCATTTCATTTTATTTTATGTGTACTTTTTCATTTGTTAGTGTATAGCACTATCAAGCAGCTTTTAGCTGGATTTTGGGCACCTTATAAATGAATAAATTATTATTATTTAAAGAATTATTTTAATTAAAGTTAAAGCTGGATTTTCCTGAAACAAAATTCACAAGATATTAATTTTTATTTTATATTTTTTTCAGAATCCACATCAGCATCAGAAGATGATGTAAGTCCATTTCTTTGTTCGTTCTATTTCCGATTATTATTATTAAACCCTATTGTTTTTCATTTGACTTCTAGGTTTCTCCCACTGCCAGGGGGTGGATGGCCGAATGGTTAGCACGTTTGCGCTGTATCATAAGGTTTTCATTGAGTTAACTGGCTTGGTTTCAATTCCTTGGTTGTACATGACAAGGAGTAGGGTCGTTTGTCCAACCTTGTGGGTTTTCTCTGGGTCCACCAGTATCCTCCCACTGCTAAAGACCCTTACGTGCAAGCGAATTATTCTCTCTCTGTCTTTCTATTTCTGAGATCTCATTCATCAAATTTGAAGACAAAAAATTCATTCTGGGTTTTTACAAAATATGAATTTGCTCACTTTCTAATCATCCCAGCAAGAATAAAAACATGATCTACACTTTACTTGTTAATTTTTGTTTTTAGACTCTGGTTTATTTACATATTGAAAGAGAAGGAAATACAAGCATAGCCTATCTCACCTCTCTCCTTAATAAAACAATAAATATGGATATTATATGAAAGAAATGAAATGGGCTTAATGTCCTACAATTCTGCTCCAACTGGGCTAATGAAGACAGGCTTATATGAAAGAAATAGGATAATAACAGAAATGAAATGGGGTTTAACATCCTACTTTCCTGCACCAATTGGGCTGATTAAAGCCAAGGCATACTCTGCAATGTGCTATGAAGTAAATTTTATCAAGACAACAGCACTATGGCCTACGATTTTTACGTGAACGCCAATTTGTACCTGGGACCTCAGTTTCTGTGCCAATCAAACAAATAGAAACTTTTCCTTGCAAGTCCTTCATCCGGCACAACTGACAATGGGAAACATTGGTAATCTGCCAACACTGGGATCAAACCTCGGATCTCCAGCTTATAGAGCCAGCGTCTTACTCATTGAGCCACTGTGGCTAAGATAGGTGAATAAACACCAAACAGTAAACTGAATATTTAATCAACATCATACGTTTATATACATACATATTCCTGAAGTAACGACTGCAAGTTTTAAAAAAATAGCCATTGCTAGATTAGTCTGAATTTCTCAAACTTTTAGGTGCATTATCTCACTTTACCAGATACACGTGATACAAACACATAAAGGTATAGATTCGTTTGCAGCCATTGAACAAACCTTGAACTTTGCAACTCGATTATAACAGCTAGACATTTCAGTTGGAAAGCACAGTACTTGGTATTTGCGATGATATTTTCAATTAAAGAATCTGATAGGTCCCCAGCTTTGTCAGTAACCAATCGAAATTAGTGACGAAAAAATGTGGAGTATTGCGTGAAGGTCTTGATAAGAAGTATGGCGTTAAAGCTTCTATTATTAATATGTACACTGTGGCTATATGCCATTATTAGAAATTAGACAAATAACTTCTATAATTAATATTCCAGGGAAGATTACGAGAGGATGTACGACATCAGGGATATTTACTAAAAACAGGTCCCAATTTTAAAGGTAAGATTTTACATAGTTTTAGATCTTTAGTTTTTTCATAATTACAACTCTTGATAAAACAGTTATAGTTTTTACATATATTTGATTTTCATTTTCTGGGGATAGGGGTTTGTAGGGATGCAGGACTCTTGACTTCAGAGTTCCCCAGAGCCCCCCCCCCCCCCAAAAAAAACATACAAGTGTTCTCTTGTCATCTTGAAGCTTAAAGAAGACGTACAAAATTTCTTTTTACAACTTTTTTCAGAAGAGTTTAGGTCATGCCCTAGCCAAATGTTTGTTTATTAGAATATCTTATAAATGAATGAATAAATGAAATGGGGTTTAACGTCCTTCTGATCTGCTCCGAACTGGGCTAATGAAGACAGGCATACGCCATACAGTGTGGTATGAGAGAGATTTTGCCCGGACAGCGGCACTATGGCCTACTCTTATATCGAATTCCAACTGTCAAGGGATCTTTTACGTGCACGCCAATGTGTACACAGGTTCTGGTTTTTTTTGTCCCATCCGAAGGACTAGATAGTTGTTCTTGTCAGGTCCTCCTTCCTGCATCACTGACCTTATAAAAGTCAATCTTGTATTTTATAGGTTTTGATAAACGATGGTGTATTTTAGAACATGGAGCTTTAACTTATTATGATGCAGAAAAGGTACAAGACTATATATTTTAAAAATATTTCAAAATTCATTTCATTTTTTTCACTGACCACATTTTTATTATGAGTTGCTTTTTATAAAGTTTTGTCACAGTAGGCTATTTAATCAGTCACATTTATTTTCACTATATTAATCTTTAGCAATCATGTAGATTATGAAAATCATATATCATCGAATCTTCCCAAGGCAAACGATTCTATTGCTGTGATTCAATCTGATTAAAACACAGATCCTATTTCGTTTTTATACGCCCACATTGAAATGTGGTCGTATATTGTCGTCGCCCGCGTCCGTCCGTCCGGCGTCCACAATTGCTTGTGGACGCTCTGGAGGCTAAAGTTAATATCAGATTGACTTTAAATTTATATACAGTGTTTAAGGCCATGAGACGAAGAAGCCTATTGATTTTCAGCGATTTCCGATAATTACTGCCAGAGTTATGGCCCTTGTCACTTCAAAAAATCTTGTGGACGCTCTAGAGGCCAAAGTTAATATCCGATTGACTTCAAATTTATACACAGTGTTTAAGGTCATGAGACGAGGAAGCTTATTGATTTTCAGCGATTTCCGATAATTACTGCCAGAGTTATGGCCCTTGATCACTTCAAAAAATCTTGTGGACGCTCTAGAGGCCAAAGTTAATATCCGATTGACTTTAAATTTATACACAGTGTTTAAGGTCATGAGACGAAGAAGCCTATTGATTTTCAGCGATTTCCGATATTTACTGCCAGAGTTATGGCCCTTGATCACTTCAAAAAATCTTGTGGACGCTCTAGAGGCCAAAGTTAATATTCGATTGACTTTTAATTTATACACAGTGTTTAAGGTCATGAGACGAAGAAACCTATTGATTTTCAGCGATTTCCGATAATTACTGCCAGAGATTTGCCCCTTGATCACTTCAAAAAATCTTGTGGACGCTCTTAGAGTCTAAAGTTAATATCCGATTGACTTTAAATTTATACACAGTGTTTAAGGTCATGAGACAAAGAAGTCTATTCATTTTCAGTGATTTTCGATAATTACTGCCAGAGTTATGGCCCTTGATCACTTCAAAAAACCTTGTGGATGCTCTAAAGGCTAAAGTTAATATCTGATTGACTTTAAATTTATACACAGTGTTTGAAGTCACGAGGCGAAGAATCCTATTGATTTTCAAAGATTTCTGATAATTACTGCCAAAGTTATGGACCTTGATCACTTTGAAAAATCTTGTGGAGACTCTAGAGGCCAAAGTTAATATCCGATTGACTTCAGATTGATACACAGTTTAAGATTTTGAGACAAACAAGTATATTGATTTTCAATGAATTTTTATGACTTGGAACAGCTAAATCCATGATACAGTATTAAAAGTTTTGTATACATAACTTTAGCATGGTTTTCTGAATTGTTGCTCTTAATCAGATTTTAGTGTATTATAAATGTTTCATTACCGAAAAAAGTAAAAATATGCGACAACTCTTGTTGACTGCTCGGACGATTTAGCTGCTGTGGGCGTATGTTTCGTTGCCTGGCAACCTATCTTGTTTTTTATAGTTCAAAATTTCGTTTTACTTGTCATTACTACACTAGGATCTGGAAGAGTTGTTATATAACAGTTTTTCTACTTGATGTGAGGAATTAGCCAATGAAACGGTCTGTTACGGCGCGTTCTTGGCCTTTTTATGCACGGAACTGTTAGTAAACCACTGGAAAAGTCAATGCTGATTGATTAATCAATGTCTGACATCATAGGGTCAAAAGCTGCTCGTTTGACCCCAGACGTGAACTCCCACTATAACTTGTCAGATCTTCGTGTAGTGTAGGCCATCGAAAATATAAAAAAACGAAACGAAATATATATCTGTATTTAAATCAGATTGGCTGTGATTGTTACTCGTCATGATTAAATTAAACATCACTTGTTCCTGGCCAAGCCTTCCATTCTGCACAAATGACGAGGAGAAATCGCAACGGAAAATCTTGATCAACTTTCTCAGCTAACACTGGGTTAGAACCCCAGACCTTTTAGATAATGAGCCAGACTGTGCTGGATGTCACAAAAATAACCTTAGCACTGAAAATACTCACATATTCTATAAGTATACACAATATCTACCTGCAGTAACAATTACAGCATGGAAGGAGGGTGTTGCCATGACGTTTATTTTGCATCTCAATTTTTTGTTACAGCATCAAGTATTCAATGTATGTAAAATCTAAATATGAGAATTGTATTTTTATTAGAAATATGAGAATATTGTAAATACTAAAATTACTAACATTTCACTTTTCTCACTACTGTGTGTTCTTATTGATTTAGGCCATATAAAGAAAATTTTACGTTTCTCATCGGATACTCCTGTGTGTTAAAAAAGGGCTGCATTATTTGTTTTTATTTCAAATATGGAAATTAAAAATAGTCTCTTTAATTACTGCACATAAATATTTGCCCCTGATTACAGGAAGTAATTTTATAAAAAAAAATTTAGTAAAATCAGCGGTGTAACATAGGATCAATTATCTAGTACGCAACCCAGATAAATGTTATTAATCTTCATAAATTATACTGGATAATCATGCATTTCAATAAACAACATGAGATAGATATATAGTGCCTTGATATATGATGTTTATGAGAAGTCATTTAGAACATACTAGTGATTCTTTGCCAAAATAAAAACACAAAAATAAAAACCACATTTAAACAACCCCACATTCTCACTTTAATAGGAATAATGGATGGTGTTTCTTAACGGTCCCAAAAAACATAACTTTGTGGAGTTTGGTGCTAATACCCCAAAAAATATCTCACCTGAATCTCACATGTACTGCCTTCTCCCAACACTTTAATCTTCTATTTCACATTTTAATGTGTTGAGGAACTGATTCCTACCCTCTGGTTTCAAGGTAAACATTATCAGCCTTTTGTTCTCTCTAACGAGTTTTCACATTTAGAAAATCTGTGACATGCTCTGATAATATATTAAATGTTGGTAATTAAACATACATTATGTAAGAGCTAAATCTGCCTATTGCAGGTCTTTCTTTAAGGCTGAAATGTTATCTGAACTATTAATTAGACATTAATTAACTTATCCAGGCCATAATCAACTCTCGATGCCATCGTTAGCCTTCGATATTTACTGGATTTAATTACATTTTGTGATGGACAATTTAACGTAAAAATGGATAATCAAGACTTTGTTTGTTATCATACCAACGTCAGTAATGACAACCGAGACTAGCCTAGACTTCAATGACTAATATCTCGGTTGAGAGTGAAGCATATTGACTGAAATTTTCAGCATATTTTGTTCTCATTACTCTCAGCTCTTTATCTAACCTTACCTAAACACCCCTTTAAAAGAGACTTATTTATGAATAATAGCACAAGTAGTGAGAGAAATAAGCCATTTCAAAGAAGATGTTTTTAGCTTGCTTCGTCACATGATTCCCATGATATTCGGGTCAACTTTTGACTAATACACTGCATGTTTATTTTGACAAGTTGAAACTAAAAAGCTGTTATATTGTAATATAGATGCATTACAAATCAATTTTAAAAGTTATAAAATAAATGCTCTAAATAGTTATTTAGTGACATGGATTCCGTGTTCATGATGTCATATTGTCATGTGACGTTTCAAATGAAAACTTTTTTCTCCAAAATGCTGTATTGATGTAGAAATGCACGATGAATATAAATACATATATAGCATGTTTAGCATGCCACCAGAATTACAGATGATGTATCAATTCTCTCTACCCCTCTTCCTAGATAATCATTTTTTCCATGAAATTATAGTATTAAAAGAATAAACCTTCCTTTCGTCGGTGTGGGGGGTGGGGGTTGTACAATATATTTAGCTACATGATCTCCACAAAAAACAATGGATTTTTTTTTGTCCAATTTACATATCATTTCAAGGATTTCCCCCCATTATAGTTTGTAGTTAAAGATCCAATGCTTTTCTGTCCAATTTATCATATCATTCTTGATTTTAGATGAAACTTTTTGCTTGTTCGTCAAGGATTTTCCCCATTATAATTTGTACTTTGTAGTTAAAGATCCAATGCTTGGTTGAAAGGTCATTAAACTTTTGGCTGCAATATCACCTAAGGTAGAAGGAGTCATTCCCCCTCTCCCCCCAATGACCAAATGAACGAAAGGATATTCGCATTGAATCATCCATATTTAATGAATATAAATGAAAATAATTGTTGTTTCAAAGATCTAATAGTTTCCTTGATCATTATATAACAGAACTGTATATTTGCATAAATAGATGTATTATATATATATATATATGTGTGTGTATGTTGCATTCAGTGAATATTTGATTGTTGTATCTGTTTGTTCTGCATGCATTATAATTTCATTGGTGTCAGAACTGAAATCCCTTAGAAAAATCACTGACTGTGATATTTCAAGTCCATTCATAATCAATCTGACTAAAACACAGATCCTATTTCGTTTCATTTTTTATAGTTAAAAATTTTGTTTTATTTGTCTGTACTACATTACAATCTGGAAAAGTTGTTATATAACAAGCGTTCTGGATGGCGTGAGGGATTAGCCAATGAAATCATCTATTACGGCGACTTCTTAGCGTCCCATTCACGGAACTGTGGGTAAACCACTAGAAACGTCAACGCTGATTGATTAATCAATGTCTGGCTTCGTAGGGTCAAAAGACACCTGACGCAACCTCCCAGTACAACTGGTCAGATCTTCATGTAGTGTAGCCCATCGAAAGATAAATAAACAAAATAGAATATAGATCTGTATTTTAATCAGATTGATTCATAATAATACCACTTTATGGATTTTACTACTTTATGGATTTTACTACTTTATTGTTTAGTACACACAACATGTATACCTGTAAGATTCTTGAAACGTTACATTTTTAATAAACAGAGAAGTAGTAGTAAATCCACCAGTTTTTATTATTATGAATGTTTTACCTCCACTTTGAAATGTTATTCAAGGATAACATTGCCCCCAGAATTACTTTTAATTTGAATTTAGACAATTTCTTCATTTCATCATTATCATAAATCATCCATAAATCTTTTTATTACATACCAACAGTAGATAATCTCCTAGCCTACATTCATTTGGATTACAAAGCGGCTCATCAAAAGTTTTTCCCGTTAACAGTTGGTGCTTGCTTGGTTATATCATCTACAGGGGCTATTGAATGTTGTAAAATTTTCATTTTGAACTTACATTTCTTTTAGAGATTCAACTTATACAATATTATAATTTGCAAGGAATTCAAAATCCCACAAATGACGATCATCGGCTTTCATATATTGATAGTTTGTTTATGTTTTTTATTCTGTATTCCAGAGTACGACAGCTAAAGACAGTATTGAAAGAAAATCTATTTATTGTTTACGTACTACAGTAATGGAAAAGTAAGTTTATTTTACAACACTTATTTGTTAAAGAGGTATATGGAATATATATAGACATTTATTTAGATGACAAGCCCATAATCAGCTCTCTAGACCATCAGATGGATTAGATATTGAGAGGGTTAGACGATGCCCACCATATCTTCGATATGTGGCCGGTCATGGATGACGTCGCTGACAGAGACTGTTGATAAAAGGAGTTTGAATCAAGACTTTGTTTATACAAAGTTAAAAATGAACTGTAGCTTTTCCCTTCCATATGATTTACCTGTCTATTCCAATCATGCTGCTAATCCTGGTATTTTTTTATATTCTAGACAACCAGCAGCGTTTGAAATAAGTACAAGTAAAAACAACCAGAGAATTTATTTATTTGCTGCTGACAATGAAAGAGAACGGATCTTCTGGTTACAAGCTTTATCGAAGGTTAGTTCTCCACTTTACACTGTATGAAACAAATAAATGTAAAAAATCTGAATCGAAATAATACCTGAGCAACAAACTTAAAGATACATTATGGGAGATTTTAATAGAGAGTTGGCCATTTTTGCTATAACAGTTCAAAAATAGATGATGAAAGAAGAATATATTGAAAATTTCAGTCAAATACTTTATTCCGAACAAAGTTATCACCATTGTAATTTTTGACTAGAAATAGGAGTCAACTCTCTCTTCACCGTCTCGGAGAATGGCAGATTGTTTGATTGACAGGCGTTAACTCCACCTACATAATCTCGATTATCAAGTAACGTTTTCAATGGATGTGGTCCCGTTACCCTATTCGGTTTGAGACGGGGTTACAATTCAATTCGTATCACATTTAGTTTTACTACAAATTAAAAATAAGACATTTAATATATAGATAAGAAGCGAAAGTTTGAAAGGAATGGACCAAATCAATAAGGCATAATTATAGCCGACTTCTTGTTAGCCTGCGTGTACTCTTGTACTGTAACTGGTAGGTCTACGTAACTCCCGAAGCAGACAAATAGGAAACAGTGATCCAATGGGGCTGAAATTCAACTGGGGTGATGTTAGCTGCGATGTTTATCAATTTCCGAAATTTTTCTGTAAACGCAAGTGACAAAAGAGCATATAATACCAACATCCAAACTCTCATTTTAACCACAACTAAACATAATATCGAGGCCGTATATATCGAACTTTCAATCAAATTGACTGACATGCGGCCTCACTCAGCAGCGGCCTCGCTTCATTCATTCTATCATTTAGCCTCGATCTAAAATTTCCAGGAGTATGACGTCAACGTAACGGTTAATCTCCACTTACGATGCCATTTAAAAATTTAATCAATGAATGAAATCCTGTTTAAATCCAAGCCGAATCCAAGCCATCTGTGGGTCTACAGAGTTGATTTTGTGCTTGTTGTGTAAATAAAGATCTAATTTATAATTTCTATGACATCTAAAGCCTAAATAAAGACTTGCAATAATTAGATTTAGCTCTTGCATAATGTATGTTTAACTTTACTGTGAAATAGTAGAGTGGTTTAATCCAGGATGCAATTTGGGGGAAAGGCCTTCATCAACTGAAGAATTATATGTAAAAACTGAATTCTCTAGAATAATGAATCATTAAAATTGAAAATTATACAGATGTAAAAAAATGGATACTCTGGAATAATGAATTGGTATTTTTAAGAATTATAAATAAGGTTCTTGTGAACACATCTCAAATCATACATTCAAATTACAGTGAAAAAATATCTGTAGAAAAAAGATTTATCTTAAAATATATTTCGAGACTCAGATAGCAGTGGCAGAAACTGTGGTTGACAATCTGTAATAGTTGTTGGCTTTTTCAGCAATATGAGTCTATATTTCCCTGGTCATTAGAAATATACGTTCACAAGTTTTGTGGGTCATTTAGGTAACTAAGTTATGCTTAAAGGAACTTATTTTTAATATAGTTGTTGTTTTTTTTTTAAAGCTGATATGTCCTGTAGTTGTTATGGATCATGTTGGTATGATGGAGTTCAGTTTAGCTGGTAATTTCTATATGAAAGATTCAGTAGCAGAAGTAAGTTAGACAAGAACGTAAATATTATTCTATTTAGTTTCTAAGCAACTTAAAACAAATAGAACATTGATTCCAAGGCATTATATATTCAGGCCGATCTAACTTCGTGACTGTAATTCCTCTTCTATAGTTTTAAATGTCATATTCTATTAATAAATGTAACTTGCTGTCATTCCTCTCCTGTAGTTTTAAATGTCATATTTTGTATGTAACTTGTCAAATCTCCTTATGTAGTTTTACATGTCTTATTCTATCATATGTAACTTTCTGCATGTCATATTCTATTAATATATGTAACTTGCTGACTCTTGTAGTTTTACACGTCATTCCTCTCTTGTAGTTTTACACATTATTTTGATATATGTAACTTTCTGACTCTGTATTCCTCTCCTGTAGTTTTACATATCATATTCTATAAATATAAGTTACTTGTTCACTCTGTCATTCATCTCCTCAAGTTTGACACATCATATTCTATTAATATTTTTTTTTTAAATTTATTTTGACAAGGAATGGAGAAAAACTTGGGTTATGTTGAATGGAAGAAATTTTTTTTATTTAACTAAGGTAATAAAGATTTATTTTTATCATTGCATATGTTTTTTAATCCAAAGATTATGGATATTTTGAAAGAGATGTAAGTAAATGGGATACATGAAACTTGGATTCAATTGAATTTACAAAGTTAATTTAAATGAAAAAAATCTGATTTTGATTCAATTCAATTTACTTAATTGGAAAAAAACTGATTTGATATTTTTGTGTATTTTAGGAAACAAAGTTAGAGAGTGTAGATCTCCGAAAAGCCAGTAGTATCAGTAAGTGACTTTTCACGTTAAATATAAAATAAGCCAGATCAGTATTAAAAAGAGAGAAATGGGGTTTAATGTCCACTCAACACAAATTAGGTTATTCCGGGAGTTACATGGTATAATTTTTATTTCAATAACTTGCTTGTGCAAAGAGGTCTTTATCAATGGGAAGAAACTGGAAGACCCAGATAAAACATATGAGGTTGCACATGAACTATGCACAGAGTCTCAATGTTATGTAATTTATAGCCCCCTTCAGGTGCTTAGGTTGAACTGGTTTAAAAACCCTGGAGATCGTTAAACCAGTTTAACTTTGATATCTGAACGCAAATGTGGGGCAAATAAATCAGCTCGTGACCTGTCTTCGAGAAGCCTTTTTTTTTAAACTGGTTCATCTTGGCCATCAAAATGGGTTGGCTTAGAAACCCTGGCTGGAAAAATAGTGGCGTAATGCAAAACCAGTGTTATCGAAAGCATGCAAGAACCAAATAAAGAAGATGAAACTACCCAGGCGTAGTTAACTCTAACCTCCAACCGAAGAGGTCAGAATAGTTAAACTGTTTTGGCTTATGGTACGTGTGAACGCAACACAATCTTAAAAACTCTGGCGATTTAGAACTAGTTTGAAAATAAGTGAACAGGGTATAAGTAAAAACATATATTTAAAAAATTTCGTAAAAAATGGTCTGGCTTTTACAAAAAATAGAGTAATTATTACTTTATTTGCCTAAAAGATATAAAGTTGGTAGCGTGAAATCCATAGAAACCAATGTAAACTTTGAACATCCATATTTTAAGTCAAGTTAAATGGTTAATTAGTTTTTACTGTAATCATATTTTTTCACCAACTACGGTCATTTGGGAAAGATTTTTACCAGCTTCTTGCATAAGTTTGTGGTGGCTGCTGTCATTTTTCAGTAGACACTAGAATTCCCTTTGTTTACATTATATTAAATGTTTTTGTAGAACATCAGAGTAGTGAGACAGGTTGTAGTAAATGTACAGAAGTCGGCTACCACTTTGTTGTCAATGCGCCTGGCAGGTGAGTAAAAAATAAAATGTGGAAATTTGAGTATAATAATTTCTCCACATAATTACATTAATTAATCATCATTTTGATAACACAATCAAGTTATACACAAAACACAATTCTATGGAATACAAGTAATTCCACTAGACATACACAGAACACAATCCTATACATTACAAGTAATTCCACTAGACATACACAGGACACAATTCTATGGAATACAAGTAATTCCACTAGACATACACCAGACACAATTGTATGAAATACAAGTAATTCCACTAGACACAATTCTATGGAATACAAGTAATTCCACTGGACATACACCAGACACTATTGTATGAAATACAAGTAATTCCACTAGACACACACAGGACACAATTCTATTGAATAGAAGTAATTCCACTAGACATACACAGGACACAATTCTATGGAATACAAGTAATTCCACTAGACATACACAGGACACAATTCTATGGAATACATGTAATTCCACTAGACATACACAGGATGCAATTCTATGGAATACAAGTAATTCCACTAGACATACACCAGACACAATTGTATGAAATACAAGTAATTCCACTAGACACACACATGACACAATTCTATAGAATAGAAGTAATTCCACTAGACATACACAGGACACAATTATATGGAATATAAGTAATTACTGTTTATTACTGAGCCACATTCTAGCTTGGCTTCTCTAGTCTTTGCCACATTCTAGCTTGGCTTCTCTAGTCTTTATCAACAGGAAATACATCTTTAGATCTCGATCTTTAGGTTACCATATTATAAACAATAATCTAGTTTAAATGGCGAATTTCATTTAATACAGGAAATTAGCGTGGTAAATAAGTCAACGTAATCTGCCTTCGATTTAATTTTGCTATAATCATAATATCTATTAACAAACTTCTGGTGTATATCATTATCTTTCTAAGATAATTTTTGTCCCCCGCCTTTCGAAGAAAGCAGGGGACTATTAAAATGGGTTCGTCTGTCTGTCTGTCTGTCTGTCTGTCTGTCTGTCAGTCTGTCTGTCCGTCCGTCCGTCCGTCCGTCCGTCCGTCCGTCCGTCCGTCCGTCCGTCTGTCCGTCACACTTTTTGGGACACAATAACTCTCTTCCTAATTGAGCTAGAATGTTCAAACTTGGTGTATGTGTTTATTAGGTCAATGCCTTGATGGAGTTCGAAGATGAGCATTTTCCGCTTAGGGTAAGCAGAGATAAGCAATTTGATTGGTTGATGCTTTGGGACACGATAACTCTCTTCCTAATTGGGCTAGAATGTTCAAACTTGGTGTATGTGTTGATTAGGTCAATGCCTTGATGGAGTTCGAAGATGAGCATTTTCCGCTTAGGGTAAGCAGAGATAAGCAATTTGATTGGTTGATGCTTTGGGACACGATAACTTTTAATTGAGCTAGAATGTTCAAACTTGGTGTATGTGTTTATTAGGTCAATGCCTTGATGGAGTTCGAAGATGAGCATTTTCCGCTTAGGGTAAGCAGAGATAAGCAATTTGATTGGTTGATACTTTGGGGCACGATAACTCTCTTCCTAATTGAGCTAGAATGTTCAAACTTGGTGTATGTGTTGATTAGGTCAATGCCTTGATGGAGTTCGAAGATGAGCATTTTCCGCTTAGGGTAAGCAGAGATAAGCAATTTGATTGGTTGATGCTTTGGGACACGATAACTTTAGTTCTAATTAAGTGAGATTGATGAAACTTGGTGTATAGATTTATTATATGAATACCTTAACTAAGTTCGATAATGAACATTTTTTGCTGAGGGTAAGCAGAGTGATAAGCAATTTGATTGGTAGAAACTTTGGAACACAATAACTCTCCTTCTAATTGAGGTAGAATGTTCAAACTTGGCATAGGTGTCTATTAGGTGAATGTTTAAACTTGATGTATATGTAGATGTTCATTAGGTGAATGTCTTGACTGAGTTCAATAATTAACATTTCGAGCTGAAGCTAAGCAGAGCTAATCGATTTCATTTGTCGATGGTTTGGGACAAGATAATCTTGATTCTATCTGATAGAGAGTGATGAAACTTAGTGAAAAAAATAAATGTGCGATTAATTAATATGTGTCATCTATTTATTTTGCAATTTCGGCGGGGGACATCAGCCTCACTGTTGGCTTGTTAAATTTTACTTCAAATCGATTTCAGGGCATTATATATACAGGCCGATTTAAGTCGTGATACAGAGAAATTAAGGAATATTATTGAGAATGCCATAAAGGTAGGTGTAAACTGTGAGTGAAATGTTGGAAGTTCATTCAATTAGGCTACATGCAGAATGTTGGTCAAATTTTAACAGTGGGAAGGAGGATGGGGAGTGGTACTGGCCTCTTGACATGAACATGCTGGGGTGTGAAAAACCCTTCAGGATTTTTGGAATCTGGTTCACGCTTTTCAGGGTTATGACAGATAAAGAAAGTGTGTCTAGTCTTTTGGATTGTATGAAAAAGCCGAGGTTCCATGTACACATTAGCATTGTTGGCATACATGTAAAAGAATCCTTAGCCGATGGAATCTGATTAATAAGAGTAGGTAAAAATGCCATGAAATTAAGAATTACATTGTGTGTTAGTCTCAAAATAATTGTAGGCAACATTAAACCATCTTCCATTCCACAATACATTTCAATTCAAGTTTATCAAATTTCCTCTACATTTGTATTTATAGATAATGTTTTATGACTGACTGACTCAACCTGGTCGGTTTTGAAATAAAGATAACCTGTAGGTGTTTAAATGCTTCAATCTAGAATTTATTTGTTTTTCAGGGAAGTGGCATAACATTAGAAGATCAGCAGTTAACGTCTGATAATGTTCCGGTTATTGTTGATAGATGTATAAATTATATAACAAATAATGGTACATACCACACTCAGTATAAATTTTATAACACATAATGATCCGCACCACACTCAGTATAGATTTTATAACACATAATGATACGTACCACACTCAGTATAAATTTTATAACACATAATGATACGTACCACACTCAGTATAAATTTTTTAACACATAATGATACGTACTACACTCAGTATAAATTTTTTAACACATAATGATACGTACCACACTCGGTATAAATTTTATAACACATAATGGTACGTAATACACTCAGTATAAATTATATAACAAATAATGGTACGTAATACACTCAGTATAAATTATATAACAAATAATGGTACGTAATAAAATCAGTATAGGCAGGTATTATCTCCTTTAAATTACCTTTATTCAATTGTTGGATCTAATTTAAGTTTTAGTTCTTTGAGGTTTGGGGGTTTTTTGCCAGATACTATATTTATGTAGAATACAGTTTCTATTTTCCAACGTGGTTTCCCCTTGTCAGTGGTGCAGTAGGACGTTAAACCCCATTTCATTTCATTTCTGTCTCTATCTATGTTTCAGGGTTAAGAACAAGAGGTATTTATAGAGAAAGTGCTACAAATTCTAGAGTTCAGTTATTATTACAAGAACTTAGAAATGGTTTGTATTAGTTTTTATTCATTAGGCAACATCACTTGTCTTCCATAGGCTCAGTTATCAAGTACACAATCATGATAAATGTTATTGACAGTCATAAATGATACTGGATAATCATACATAACTGTTAACAATGTTGAAATGTGATGTTTGTGATAAGTCAATTAACCACATGATTCTTTGACAAAATAAAAGCACAAAAATAGAAAAATCTCTGGCATCAAATCTGAATGAAATACAATGTGTATAACTATTTTCATTTATCCCAGTTCGTGCTGAAAAGTTTTGATTTTAAAAACAGTTAATTTTTAGCTTGAAATTATCATCTCTTTTTTTTTTCTGCAGATCCTCGCAGTGTAAGATTGGAAGAATACACAGATCACGAAGTAGCAAATGCCCTCAAGAGATTTTTCCGTGGTTTAACTGCATCAGTATTCACACAAGATTACAAGGAATGGATAAAAACTTCAGGTATATATTTAGCGTCACTAAAATATTTGAAATATATATTTTTTTCTTTTTTTTTTTTAGGATTAATATCAATAATGATACTGAATATAAATTTAATAAATTGTTAAATCCTTTACTGCTTGTGAGAGTGGGTGTTGGGTGGTCAGGTGGTCTAATGCATGTGCTTTAGATCATAAGGTTTGTCATGGTTTTACTCTGAGTTCTCTGGTTTCCTCCCTGGGAGCCATGGTGGCACAGTGAGTAAGAAGCTGGCTCCCTAACCAAGAGGTCTCTGGTTCTCCCCCAGTGTTTGCCAAGAAAGTTCCTCAGGATTTTCCGGCCTGGTTTAATCATGTCAGTGTTTCAGGATGAAGGGTCTAGCAAGGACAGTGTCTAGTAATTCAGATGTGATGACAAACTGAGGTCCCATGTACACATTGATGTGCTCGTTAAAGAACCCTTGACAGATCCCTCATAGCACACTGCATGGTGCATGCTCATCTTGATTAGCCCAGTCAGTGCAGAAAAGTAGGACATTAAACCCTATTGTTTTTCATTTTACTTGTAGATTTCTCCCACTGCCAAAGATCCCTACGTGCAAGCTAATTATAGAAATAAAATTTTGCCATATATGTCTCGCAATGTTAAACCCAATTTATCTCTTTCTCTTTTATCGTTTGATGTTTGTTTTTTCAAATACTCTTTTCTGTACATATTTCAGTGATAAGTGATTTAAATAATAAATTAGCCTGGTATGGTTATCTGTTGGACCAAATGCCTGAAATAAATTATAGTACACTTAAAAAACTTGTACTACATTTACGAAAGTAAGTATTAAGTAGTATAATAAAATAGCAAAATTAAAACCATTTTACCATTATGATCCTGTACTCCACATTGACTTATACTGGTTTTCATGATTTTGAAAAATGTTGTTTGCTAACTCTGCCTTCAAATGGCAATAATTGGCCTGGTTGAGCAATGTAGAAACATTATAAAGAGAATATTAGTTTTCATGGTTTAATAAAATGGAAAATGTTTGCTAAGTCTTCCTTCAAATATGTGGGTTGAGTATATGAAATATGTCATATATATTTGCAGAATTGGACAGTATACAGCAGATAACGCCATGACTGTGGAGAATCTGGCTACATGTTTCGCTCCTTCTTTACTCATACCAGATGAAAATGAGGTAAGTTAGTTGATACATATAACAGGTATCACTTTGGCGGCGGGAACCTAGGAATCTTTCACACTCTAAAATATATTAAGCTGCCCTTTTGGATTTGTTAGATTTCAAATTGTTAAAAACTATTGGTATACCATATTGGGAATGTAAAAGTTAATAGGGTCTGATAAAAATTAAAAGGCAAAAATATGATTTTGGAATAATTTTTTGCGGTGATCTAGACAAAAGTCTAGATTAATTTGCTCAGATTAATTTGAATGAAATTTTCAATAATTTCATTTTTCCTTACCTATTTTTTAACTATTATAGCAATAATGGACATCTCTTTAACTAAATCTTACATAATACATCTTTAATGTATGATCTATGAAGATTGACTTTTGTTACATATTTGGATTATTTTTTATTTTTAGCCACGTATGAATATACAGACATCTCTGCCATGTCAGTTATCTATATTGATGGATATTATCACACATCACGACAATTTATTCAGGGTAAGTCACATCTCACTAATTAATTTATCTGTGTTTTAAACAATCATTGCATCAATAATCGTTTTCCATAAAAAATAAGTATTAAAAGTGTTCATTAGATATTAATCTAAACAATTGAAGTAAAATTGTAGGGTAGATGCCATCTTGAGCCAAATTTTCATGGATAGAATTAGACATGAAATATCGTACATGCATCGGCTAGCAATCTGTTAGAAAATAAAGATTGCAGCCTGAAATGTATAGAAAGTGTTAGAAACTTTAGATGATGTTAACTTCAATTAGATTTTGATCAATTTGAATAAGTTTGGAACTGATATGCTTCTTTTATTGTGTGTGGAGTGTGTTGGCAAGCACAAATCCAGAATATGGATATTACAATCTGTGGATATCAACTATATGTAGTGTTATCAAAGATTTTAAAGACAAAGAAATTTGTATATTGTACTAATAAACATGTAAATGGAGTATTGTCTTTTTTCAACAGTTAGATCAAGAAAAGTCAATTGAGGACAAAATGGAAGAAGCAGAAAAAAAGATAAATGAAATACAGTCAAGTCCGAGAATAGTGAGTTATCAGCTTAATTTGTACAAATACTTTGATTTCAAATTACTGGTTTGTCAAGTTGGTAAATTTGTTTAATTCTAAAATTGAAGTTTGAATTTGGGGCAATATTTGTAAATATGATAACTGTCTTTTATTTTTCAGTCAAAGACATTGATGTCATCTGATAGTTTATTAATACCTATTTCTATGTTTGATATTTCTGCCCAGTGTGAAATGGTTACAGTAAGTAAATCCTTGCATCTTTATAAATGAAATGAACTGGGGTTTCGCATCCTACATTTCTGCACCATCTACAATCTTGGCTAGCGATGACGGCATGCACCATGCAGTTTGCTATAAGGAATATTTTTCCAGGACTGTGGTGCTACACCCTACTCTTATTTTAAATTAAAACTGTCAAGAGTTCTTTTATTTGCACACCAACATGTAGACAGGAGGTCATATTGTTGTCCCATTGAAACTACCAGACACTGTTCCTCGCTAGTGCCTACATCCTGACATTTGGAAACCCTACTGGAAAATATCCTGGTGAACTTTCTCTGCCAATACCTGGATCAAACTCTGGACATCCTGGATAAGTGATCCAGTACCATATCTGCTGAGGCTCAATGTATCTGTTTATCATTATTAGACCCAAACAGAAGATTTATTGTAAAGTTCTAATAGACAACCAGGATAACTGCTCAACATAATAAAAACACAAGGAAATAGTACAATTAGATACATCATCGCAGAGAAGATACAAAATTTGAGGAAATGGTCACATGAATAGTGTAGTCAGTGGACTCTTAAATGAAAATAATAGTCAGAGACCTGATAAGATTATTTGTCATTATAGTTAAAAAGTCGTGATACACCACCTGATAAGATTATTTGTTATTATGGTTAACAAGTCCTGATACACCACTTGATAAGATTATTTGTTATTATAGTTAACAAGTCATGATACACCACCTGATAAGATTAGTTATTATTATAGTTAATAAATCATGATACACCACCTAATAAAATTATTTGTTATTATAGTTAACAAGTCATGATACACCACTTCATAAGATTATTTGTTATTATAGGTTACAAGTCGTAATACAGCATCTGAAGTTATTGATTATTTTCTCTCTAAAAGAAAAGTCAGTCAAAGACAAATTAATATACATGAAATATTGTTTAAAGGTCAATTAGGTGAGTTTATCTTATATTTAACTTATTCAAATAATTTTACAAAAGATTTTACAAAAAAATAAAAGAAATGGTCTTTAAAATCGTTACTTTTCTATACTTACCAGGCTAATTAAGAGGGGTATACACCATTCAGTGAGCTATGAGGGAAATTTTGCCTTGACAATTGAGCCACAGCCTACTTTTATTTTTTTAAGTCCCAAATGTCAGGGGATCTTTAACATGCTGCTACTGTGAAGAATCCTCCTTTGATTTTACCATGTACTTTGAAAAATTTAGAAGTTTTGATTATCTTTATAGAGAGGCCGTTACATTGGACAAATCCAGTTTATGAAGATGTATGTAGATGGGGAGACTGGTCAGAAGATGTGAGGAAAGGGGTGTGTCTTTGTTTAAAACCAACAGAATTAATAGAAAAAATAGCATCATATGTAAGTAGGGTTTGATATACAAAAAGTCTAGTTTACAAGAAAAGAAAATTCAAATGTTTTTTTTTTAAATTTTTGCAATCTTTGAAATATGTAGTCCTAACTGAAAACCCATAACTAAATATATAGATTCTTCAATTTCTTCCCATGGCTAAAGATCTATATTCGCAAGCGGATCAGTGAAATTAAATTGTAGCAATCCTGAAATGACCTAGTTTGTATTGTTTATAGGTTAAACATTATTTCTATCATTCTCATGTCAAAAGTGCTTTATATTAAACCTGTGTTTTGACTCAAAATGACCAAACTGACCAAAGTATTGTGTTTAAGAGAGATTAAACTCCATGTCATTCAGAATGAAAGAAATAAAGAATAATAGTAATTGATGTTTTGTTTTGTCTTTCAGTATGATCCAAGTAAATATTTGTTATCTGATCTAAAGTGTAGTGAAAAGAAAAGTTTTAAAAAATATACATTTGATTTTAAACAATCTAAGTTTTCGTGTTACAAAGATTCGAAGGCTTCTAACTGTTTATGGTGTTTTAACGCAGAAGATATGATTATATACTTAGGTGTTGACCCTAGACGTTCATCTATTCCATCCAAGTAAGTTCTAAATATGGCCTGTATGTATACTATTCAAAAAAAGTAGGGGATATTTGATTTTTAAGTGTTATTAAAGTCACCTAATGAAACTGACGAAGAAACAAATGACAAAATGAAATGAAGTTCACATTCATCGATTTATTCTAAATGATCGTTAGACTAAGTAAGGCACAGACTGACCATAATAAGGGTAAAATGATACCCGGGGTCAAACAGCAAAGTTACCACAGCATCACAACCAAGTCAGTAACGGGTAAATCCTCCTCTGTTTGCCAAACAAGCATTGATCCGACGTGGCATACTCCTAATGAGACGTCTAAGGTCATTTTGGTCCAGATTGTCCCATTCCTGTTGCAACGCAGCAGCAAGTTCTTGGACATTGGCAGGACGTTGTTGACGTTGACGTAACCTCTGTCCAAGCATGTCCCAGACATGCTCGATGGGGGAGAGGTCGGGACTCAGTGCTGGCCAAGGTAATGTGGTGATGTTCTGTTGTTGGAGGTAACCTGTAACGATCCTGGCCCTGTGACATCTTGCGTTGTCATCCTGGAAGATGAAACGGCGGCCATGACGTTGTGCGAACGGCACAACAAGGACTGCCAAGATGTTGTCCCGGTAGTACTGGCCTGTAACACGCCCTGCAACAACATGTAAAGCCGTTCTTCCAGCAACAGTGATGCCTCCCCACACCATAACAGAACCACCCCCAAATCGATCATGTCTGATGACGTTAACGTCTTGGAAGCGCTCGTTTCGACGACGCCACACCCTCCTACGTCTGTCCAAAAAATCAACAGTGAACCTTGACTCATCTGAAAACATCACAATGCTCCAGCGTCGATTATCCCAGTGTTGACGATCCCTACACCAACGACGTCTTGCCTGTATGTGATGATCTCTCAAACAAGGGATCACGCCAGGACGTCGGGCGCGAAGGTGGCCCCTTTGTAGTCGATTCCAAATCGTCTGGCCACTCACTCTCACTTTGCTGTGATGACACGATTTCTCAAGGCCAAGGTACGGATAAATCGATCCTGGGCTTGAGTTGTCGCCCTTGGTCGACCTGAGCGTGGTCTGTCCTGTACAGATTGTGTATCACGGTATCTGGACCATAGCCTGCTTATGACAGACTGAGAAACATTCATCGTCCGCGCCACAACCACCTGTGTTGTGGCGATCTGTAGCATGCCAAGGGCATGTAACCTTTCATTTTGGGTAAGCCGACGCATATCAAAATTTGTTTTCTGGTCACTAAAACAATTAAACTGATGTTTCCACCCTGGAATTCAATGCCACAATGACTGTAACATTCAAAGTCAGAGTCGTGCAAATCTTGGGTTGGACCCCCATGATGATCCCAAGCATCACCTGCATTCCATGCGGTAGCTATTGGTGCGTTTGGGCGTCACATGTAACTGGAAATGTTTCTTCTGTTAGGTTCTATAGTGACTTTTTTCGTAGTCATTTGCATATTTTAGTATTATGCCCCCAAAATCAAATATCCCCTACTTTTTTTGAATAGTATATAAAAATAATTTATACTGTGTTATGATATGTGCTTCACAATAGTTATACGCGAACACTATATGGACTACACTTTATATATATTGAATTTCTGGTAATAACTTCACGAGTTATTGCCCTTGAACACTTGTGAACAACAAAAGTTATCATCCAATCTGATTAAAACTTAAATGCAATATTCAGATTTGAGAAACATTCCAGTATAATTTTAAGTTCTCTGAAATACCCATTTGAGATATTGACAATAATTTCATTTTTTTTTTCAGATATGGTTTTACTTTTATAATAAGAGGTGAAAAACCAGCCAAGTAAGTACAACACATTATTACGAAATAGGAAAGGGGCTGTGGGGATCTTCAACACTCTCTGAAAAGTGTAGCAGAGGCTGGACAAGCTGGTAGATTTGTGTAGTTGCTGGATCCAATGTCAGGAACAGATTTAGACTGCCAAATTAAATGATTTGATCATGAATTAATCCTATGGAATAATCAACAGAAATAAAATAGAGTAGAGTGGTAATTTAATCATTTGAAAAAAAAGGGTCATGACTCGTAGGGATAATTTACCACACTATTCTACATAAAATCTGTTTTTACGTCTGATCTATTCTGGAAATCAATTTGGTTAATGAAACTTAAGAATTTTTTTATACAGTCATTAAATATTGTTAATTTTTTGATTATTTTAGGAAAGAAAGTGGATATTTTGGTAGAAGTGTTTGTTTCCCTTCTCAAAATGATTTATATACGTGGGTGGCAGCTTTACTTATGGCTAAGGTAAATATGTAATAATTAGGATTTTTCTCCTTTAGAGTCCGCTTGCTGAAGAGAATTTTTCCAGGGTAGTACCCATATCCAACTACTCATCATTAAATTTCAATTGCCAAGAATCATAAGGTCTGTCACTGAGACAACTGGCGTGGTTTCGATTCCCCAGTTGTACATGACAAGGAGTAGGGTCGCTTGTCCAATCTCGTAGGTTTTTTCCGGGTCCTCCGATTTCCTCCCACTACATGCAAATTATTGAAATATAATTAGTCCCGAAATTACCTGGATTGTGTCGAGTGGATGTTAAACCCCATTCTCTCTCTCTCCAATTGCCAAGAGTTCCTAATTCATGCTGTGAGCTACGGTGGCTAAGTGGGTAAGATGCTGGCTCGCTAATCTGGAGATCACATCACATTCTATCCCTGCATTGGTCAAGATTTTTCGATGTGGTTCCCCCTTGTCAGTGGTGCAGGATGGAGGACTTGGCAAGGACAGCTGTCTAGTGATTCAGAGGGGACAGAAAACTGAGGTCCTGTGTATACATTGTTGTGCACATTAAAGATCTCATGGCAGTTGGAATTCAACTTAAAGAGTAGGCCATAGTGCCGCTATCTGGGCAAAATATCCCTCATAGCACAGTGTATGGCATATGCCAGACTTCATTAGCCAGTCAGAGTAGAACAGTAGGACGTTAAACCCCATTTCATTTCCTAATGCCATTGAATAACTAGTCAACAGTTTAATTGTCAGCCCCATAGATGCTACTCCTGATGAATGAAAACTGGGCTTGAAAAATCCTGATATTTTTCACAGCCCGTGCCTATATTCAAACCCAGAACATTGTTGTCAAGAAGACAGTGCAACAGAATAGACTTCCATATATGTATATTTGATTGATAATTTGCAATATTTCAGTATCCTGAAGGTTTAGTGCCAGTATAAATATATATACAGGTTTATACAATAATATAGTAAGTAGCATTATATTATTACAAAAAGGAATTAAAGACTAGAGCCCCACCATTATATCATAACATGCTAAGGAACATACTTATCTTGGCTTCCAGCCTGTGGACCTGTCCACCACACTCATCTAGACTTCCACCCTGTGGACCTTAACACTACACTGCCACTTATTTAAGTGAATCAGATAGCTTTAACCCATTTTCTGGGTTAAGTGGGCGTCCATGATCATCAAATTGTTATTCTGTGGCTCAACAATAAAGGAAATTGTATCAAATGCCTACCGTAATACTATTAGTAAATTTCAGTCCATTAACTGTTTTGTTTGACAGATATTTTATTCCTTGGTTCCAAAAGGTCTTGAAAATGGGTTGGTTTCTTTTAAAAGATTTGTGACCCTTTAAAACATCTATAAATATTTTATTCTTCTGTTTTTACAGGTGATAAAGTTGATGCTGGTATTAAGGGTTTCCATTATTCATCACAGATTGCCCCTTGCTAAAAGATATGTATTGAAGGAGACTAAACATTTTTAAATATGATGATATTTATAACAACCGACATCTGGTCTAATTCAATATAATTTGGACAGTAGTTGCTGAAATGTTTACAATTGGTACATGAACATTATTTTGAGATTGTCTGCTAGCAATAAGATGGGTAGCGTTGTTTCTTAACCATCAGCACCAGCTGAACACCATAGTCAGGATATCTGCATACTTAATACTACAGGCCTAGAACAACTCAACTTCACCCAGATATGGAATCTTATAAGCCACCTATCACTAACATTGACATTTGCTTGTTTCTGTGTTTTTACTGGTGCAGTGTTAACAAATGTAGTGTATAACTTCAGTTGTGTCTATCTGTTGTAAGGTACAACCAAATACTAATTCTACCCCTGGCTGTAATATAATCTAGATTTGTGCAATGACATTCCTTTTATTATGGCATCCATTATTTTCTGAAAGTTCCTTGGTGCGTTTATCATTCCAAATGACTTAACTCAGAATTTTGACATGCTGTGCTGATCTTTATCTTTAGGGTTACCATGTTTTTTTTCAATTATTATGGTGTAGAAACTAAAGAGAATAGGCATAATGACATTGTTATATATAACTATTCATGTGTTGTGGCCTCCTTATTCAATCATTCCTGATTATATTTTTGGACCAAGAAATGGGCCCCAAGCGTTACTCCTTGTTGTTCTTATTGTTTAACAGTCTAAGTACAATCAATATGAAACTTGTGCATGCTTGTTCCTTGGACAAATGTGCATAGATAGTTGGACAGACTTTGATTCTATGTTGGTTGCAGTGAGGTCATACCTGGTCCATAGTACGCTTATATGTGTTGTTAATATTTCAACCCCACGGAAGAAAGGGATTTTATAACCACATAAAGTCTGTATATAACTTTTTATTTTATATTTGAAAAGAACCATTTCCTACATATCCTAGGATGACTCAAGAATATTTAAATTTGTTAAATTGAAATCATTCATGTGTAGATAGAAGACTCCGTTGAATTTATGTGTGTAAATCATGATGCTACTTAACTGATAAGATTTTCTCACCATCTTGCATATAACTTGCACTTCTATCACAGATAGATCTACCACGATTGATATTAAAAGAATTATGCAATGATTTATATTTTATAACTCACACCAGTTTTAGCCATCAAAATGAAGATCACAAAAGTTATTTGAAAGAGAATAGCTCCATTCCATGACAATTATGAAGTGCTGCAAATGTATTTAGTTTATTTATAAACTTTATAATACAAGTCTGATTTACCTAATATACTGTTATATCTTTATAATACAAGTCTGATTTACCTAATACACTGTTATATCTTTATAATACAAGTCTGATTTACCTAATATACTGTTACATCTATATTGAAATGATTATATTGGTAATATTTTATTTTGGATGAATTTATTCATATTTTATTTTTCAAAAATTATTTATTGAAGTGTAAATAAATTATTTCAAATTAAAATAGAGATGTGACATCATCCTTTTAGCAACGTGCCAAGAGTACATTATTTAAACTAGATTAAATATTGGTCTTGTGTGCGGGATAGTGTCTGTATTATAATTTGTTTAGTGATCGAGAGCAGTATCAATATATTATATGAATTCTTTCAATGGCATTTAGTAATTGAACTGGAAATACCCAGGTCACAATTCTATGAAATACAATTACTGTTTATTACTAAGCAACATTTCAACTAGAATTCTCTAGTTTTTATCGAACACTTATGAGAAATTTTGATTTATGAACTTAGAGAAACCGTAAATTAAAGGCATCCCAATTGAAAGATTACTTAGAACAATCTATTTTGTGATATTTTATTTGTAATAAATTTCTATAATACATTTTACTCTTGTTATGGAATGATTCTCTAGAATCTGTTTTAGTACTATAAATGTTTTTAAACGCTCCCATTGACATGTGGTCATATATTTCCCGTCCTTCACAATATCTTGTGAACACTGCAAAGACTACGTTTATCATCTGATTTTTGTTTAGTCTTTTATGTTATTCAAATTAATGAGACAAAGTAGGCTATTGAATTTCAGAAATGTCTGATAATAACTGTTGTAAGTGTTATTGTCTATTGTCAAAACTTGTAAACACTTTTAATGACAAAAGTTATTATCTGATCTGTTTGAAATTTATATGCATTGTTCAGATTAAACAAAGAAGTTGTTGAATTTCCATTAATGAATAGCTATACTTAAACCCCTTTGTCACTTCGTAAAATCTTGTGAAGGCTCTAGTGACCAAATTATCATCCGATTAATATTTATATGGATTGTTTGTGGCCCTTATTCACTTTGTAAAATCTTGTGAACACTCTTATAAAATTGATATACATTGTTCAGATTGGAGAAACTAAAAATCCTATCAAAAATATCTCTTTATTACATTTCGGGTTATATCCCTTGATCACTTTATATAAACTTAAAAACGCTTCAACAGCGTAAGTCATCATCTCACCTACTTCAAATCTGTTTTTGTTTCGTTTATTGCGATGAATAACAATTACAACAATTGATGATTATTTCTTACAGAGTTATTATCCTTGATTATATCATTGTATCCTGTCAATGAGCTAGTGATATTATATAGTATAAAGATGTTGTTTTGTATTTACTTAAAGATACACTGTGTGATAACCTTCATGGACTGCTTGGATGGGTTAACTGTTGTGGACGTATGTTTCGTTGCCTGGCAACATATCTGTTGTTATAATATAAACATGATTATTTTATTGGAATGTTTTTATTATTATAATATAAACATATTTATATTAATTGGAATGTTTATATGATGAAAATATAAACACAATTTATCATGATAAATATTTTTTTATTGATTGAAATAAAGTTCAAAATGTTAAAGGTTCAATCATTTAATACACAAATATTTATTTTTGGACTAACTGTAAACTAGAAGTAACCATTTTTATCTGATAATATTTAAAATGATCTTGAGTGTTTAAAATGTTTGCTCAACTCTGCTTTTACTCAATTTTCAATCCCTTGGCACTCAAGCCAAATTTACAATTAATAAAAAATTATCAATATTTCCTTTTGAACACAGCTTCAAAAAACGTAGGGCTGTTCCACATATTGTATTTTATATAAAGGGAAAGTTACAAATACATAAAGTCTTTAAGGGATTGAGGAATCCCTTGCAAATTACTCTGAAATTTGAACTCTTAAAATGATTCTATTCCATTCAGTATTTACAAAGATATGATGAATTAAAAATTTGTCAACGTTTGGCATCGTCTTTTTAATCTCATGGAAACCCAATCAGTATAATATCTATTTTTTAGCTTACTTATTATATTGTACTTGAAAGTTTGATTTATGTGTATGTTAGTTGTGCATGTGCTTTGTGAAACGGGACCCTGGACAGAAAAATGATTTGTATACATTACTTCAAAAATATTTGTTTTCTTTGCATTAATTTCATTTTTTAGTGACAGGTGGGGTGAGGGGTCAAATGTGGTCATTGGAGCACACCATTTCAATTCCCCAATGTGTGTGACCATGGACTTTATAAGGTCCATGGTGTGACAAGGAGTAGGGTCGTCCGTCCAACCTTATAGGTTTTGTACGGGTCCTCAGGTTTCCTCCTACTGCTAAAGACACCTCATGTTAAATAAATAATTCAAAGTGGTAGTGTATTGGGGATTCGACATGACCCACTTCGTCCCTCTCAAAATATTAACAAAATTTGCAATAAAACAAAGAACTTACAAAGAAATTATATCCCAAGTTTTACAGGCGTATATACAAATCATTCTAAATTCTAAGTTGTGTATCATTTATTAGTGATATAATATAAATGATATTTTCCTGACAGAAGGCCAACAAAATTCTTTTTTAGATGGTAATTTTGACAAAGCAAAATATGTAGGTATTGATGAATACAAATCAAATATATTTTAAAAGCTTAAAGTAATGTAAAGATGATGATATGGAATCAACCAGTGAATTTAATGCAAACCTCAAATGGCTGTTATTGATCTGGAACTCTATATTTGATTTTTATTCTGGCATTTTGTCCCTTTAATTACATTACATTGATTTTAGAATCATTAGTACTATATTGGTAATAACACAACAGTCATTATAGAATATAATGGTACTATATGTTACAGTTAATACATCTTTATAAAACATAGTTATAATGCATCTTGATGACTATGAGAAGCTAATTTGATTTCTTAATTATGATCATCCCCTGACAAACACAATATTATAACTATAAATGATATACCACAATAATAACATAATTACAGGTAATACGTCACTCTAGATTTTTAATCTAATGCAAATATGCACCATGTATGGATTGCATATAGAGACTAATTAATTACAAAATATTTATTTAATTGCTTTTGGATGAGTTTAGCCATTCTATTATTGTTTTATCATAATATTGTATAAAAATAATTGATTTAAAATGTGTGTATATATTTGTAATAAAATGATGTATATAGTATTAAACATTTAATATATATATTTTAAAATTAATGTATATAGTATGAAATATTTTAATATTTTCAAATTGGAATTCCATCTATCTTAGTTCTCTGTTTTTGTAGCCCTGTATTTTAATTTTCTTACTTTTGTTTAGTGAATTTTTTTTTTAGCATTTTTTGTTCATTTTGACAACATGTAGTATTTTAATTGTAATTGTATTGTTTTAGCATAAATCTTACAGGTTTCTCTGATTTCCTTTTTTTTTTTTTGCGATTTTGAATGATAAAGTTTAATATTATCAGTAGAAGTATAGAAATGCTTGAAAAAAAAAATGGTCTACAAAATAAAAAAAATTTATGGTAAGATTAAGAGAAACATGTGTATCAAGTGTTTATTACAATGATATGTATAATCAATGAAATAAATAAATCAGGTTGATTAAACTTAATAATTAATAGACTTGGGGTCATATTCATTTACGGTGGGCCTGGCAATGGACAATTTACAAGGTACCGTTTACACATTGTAAAAGATTCCTTAACAGTTGGAATTTGATATAAGAGTAGGCTGTATGGTTTATATCCATTTTCATTAACCCAGTCAGTGCAGAACAGGACTTAAACACCATTTCTTTTCATGTTCTTTTAAAGTCCATAGTAACTTAAAAGCATAATTGTAAGCTTATTGTAGCTCGGTATTGATTTTTTAAGAATGGAACCATTCTATCAGTGGTAACTATAGCTACAGCTTTTAAGAATGACAGCTCACTTTGTTAGCCACTTAAGAATGGCAGCTCACTATAGTAATCAGTTTGTTTCTAGAGAATGATTTTAAGAATGTCAGCTCCCAATGGCTATCAGTAGTATCTGGGTAAAGATTTTAAGAATGCCAGCTCCCAATGGTAATTGGTAGTATCTGGGTAATTCTTTTTAAGAATGGCGGCTCCGAGTGGTAATCGGTATTATCTGGGTAATGATTTTAAGAATGCCAGCTCCCAATGGTAATTGGTAGTATCTGGGTAATTCTTTTTAAGAATGCCAGCTCCGAGTGGTAATCGGTAGTATCTGGGTGCTGATTTTAAGAATGCCAGCTCTAAATGGCCAACTGTCGTGGGGTCCCTCATCTTCAATAGAAGGCTTAATCTCGCCTTAACTACGTACATCTTATGTTGTAAAACTCGCGATCGTTGCTTCAGGAACATGGGGGGTCCCTATCTTGTCACTATGTTCATTGCTACAGAACGATTTTCTGGGCTGAAAAACGCGTTTGCGGACGTCCAATTTTCAAAATTTTCCTTGGGAGGAGCAGCGAGGGCAACTAAGACAAATGCCTTGAAATGATGAAATAATAATAATTTATTTTTTAATACATGTATAGGGTTTTACATAAAACAGTTACGTAGTTAAAACAAGATAAAATAGTAAAAGGAATGGCACTATGGAAAATAACAATAACAATGGTGCTCAGTTAAAATACGCTTTTCTACTTTTCTAAAAAGATGTCTTTTAAGTGTACATTTAAAAGAATTTCTATGGCCCTTAAATCAACGGGCAGCCTATTCCGTAAAATGGGCGCATAGTAGACATTGAAAGCAGGTCACCATACGCCTTATTTGGCTTTGGTCGTAGAGTGGAGTGGCAGAGTCGAACTGAGTCAGGTGGATCAGTTTAAAAATTATGCACAGCATTTTAAACTCGACGAGCGACTCGACTGGGAGCCAGTGTAGCTCTTTGAGGATGGGTTTCAAGTCTGCATTAACCTCTAAGCATTGATGCACTACCAAACGAGCGCCGCGTTTTGAATATGCTGTAATTTCTTGAGTTGATACCCAAAAACCGAAAAACAAACTATTACAATATAGTCACAAATGCATGAACCAGTTTTTCGGTAGTAGGTTGATCGAGAAGTTTCCTAAATTTACATATTGTCCACAGTGAGTGTGAGGCCACCCGACACACACTAGTAATGTGTGCGTTCATGACTCCACTTCAGTCCATCACCACGCCGAGATTACGCACCGAGTCTGTCGCAGAGACACGAACATCACCAATCTGGACATCAGTTGCAGCTATCCGATTACCGACGTCCATGAAACGTGAAGAAAAACATAGTTCTTCTGTTTTTCCGTCATTCAATGTGAGTAAATATTCACGCATTCGGGAGTCACAAGCAATATACAGTTGTGTATTATCTGCATAGATCACTGAATCTAAATCATGGCGAGTGATGATGTCCTCAAGTGGAACCATGTACAAAGGAAATAAAACTGGTCCAATGACTGAACCCCGAGGAACACCGTCACGTAGTGGTTGTGCCTCAGGCAAAAAAACCCAGACCCAATAGACACTCTTTGCGTTCGACCTCGGGGGTAGCAATTTAGCCAATCGAGGGCTAACCCACAAATTCCAAAACTTTTAACAAGAATGTCGGGGTCTATGGTGTCGAAGGCAGCAGACAAGTCCAACAGGTTTAGAATGACGTCATTCTGTCTATAAAGAGCAAGCATAACGTCATTGTGCACTCATGCACTTTCCGTGCTATGGTTCTCTGGATAGACAGACTGAAATTTGCCATACAAATTGTTAACTTTAAAATAATAATGCAGTTGACAGAGTTGATTTTTCCAGACGGTAACTCTTAAAGACCGATTTTCTTTATCAAAGGACGAATTATAGCCTCTTCGATGTCATCTGACACAAATGAAGTATTTATAATAGATAATAAAATGGGAGCTAGTTGAGCTACAACATATTAACATCTATGCAGTCTTTGAATAGATACGAGCTCAGTTACTTCGTTCCCGTTGACAGATTTGAATAAATCGAAAATACAATCAGTTTTAATTTCTGACAAATTCAGAAAACTACATGTGGCAGATGATGAAGTCAAATTAGTTCAAATGTTGTACCGGCGAGTAAGTTCATTCACACCACAGTCTGTCACCTGATGTCGAAATGACGCTTAAAAAGAGGTTTAGAGTACAGGAACATCGCGATTCTTCAGGAAACAGTGTTGCTTATACTTAACCTCTACAGGAGGTAGTCGGTGAACCGTTGAGGTAAAATGCACTGCAGCTTGATCGGATGGCAGAGTTTATCAATAACAAAATTAGCAAGGCAAGAGTCCTCGGCACGTGTGAATACCAAATCAAGTCTGTGGCCCTTGTAATGAGTAGGCCTTACAAAATGTTGATCGAAACCACGAGACACGAATAGATCGGTAAACTGTCTTGCATCTGCAATGGTTTGCTCATCCACATGTATGTTTATGTCACCAGCTACAAAAGGATGACCTGGAGCTGTTAACGCCGACTCCATTTACGTACCAAATTCGGAAAGGAAACACTTTACGGTAACTTACTGACTGTCTGAATATGGAGGTCTGTATATCAGTACTAGGTTACAAACAGTTCTTACTACGGGGGTATTGTAAGGTAGTTTACTAGTTAAAAGACAAGTTGACAGGCCAGTTACTAAAAGTTGTCTCATCTACAGGGTAAAGTGTCAACATAATAACAACATGGGCTCTATAATCGGGTCCATGGTAAGAACACTCAACTATAGTCGTATACTTTCACTCTTTTGTATAAAACACCACTGACTCCAACAGAAGTGTCCAGTTGTTTCATCAATCGGCAGGCGCCGTCAACATAATGAATATACTTGCAGGTACACGACGATGCACAAAGAATGGAACACTCCAGGAAGCTCCGCACGTTAGTTGCTATTGCGTTGGATTGTGATGACTTGTTTATTAAAACCATTCTACCTCGTTCAAATATTTGTTCTGAAAGATTCATGGAAAAGCTATAGACATACTTTGCCCAGCATGAATGATTACAAATTGTAATAAACATTTTAAAAAATGAAGGCATACCACTTTATATTCAGTTATATTACATTATATGTTTTTTTAAAACCCATTTTTGTCCATTTTAAGGTTCCAAAGAAAAGATGGTTAGCTCGCCCTTAAAATCCACAATACTCATTTATACATATAGATACAAACCTCTTTGACACAAAGCAACATTTGATGTAGTGCAGTCCTGAGATCCCCATCGAAATGCCTCTCTAGGACCAGGGCCAGGACCAAGAGAGTTGCGTGTGTAATTGATGCTGACACAAGGTTTTGTTATAGGGCTATCCTTCCAACCATCTGTGGGAGCTATTGGATCTGAACTGTATGGTGCCCATTCTCCATATCTGTTCCAAATCCAGGAACTGTTGAGATCGTTATACTGTAATCCAATCCATACGTTCCTAGCTATCGAACTATTCAAATACAAAAATATATGTCATAATCATTGAAAAGAAATGGGATTTTATATCCTACTTTTTTGCGCTATCCGAACTAAAGGGAAATGTCGAATTCCAATTGTCAAGATAGTTTTTTTTACGTGCACGCTTCCCCACACGGGACCTCCGTGTTTCGTACCAACCGGGCGACTAGAGACTGTTACTTGCAAGGTCCACACCGTCCTGCACCAATGAAATGGGGAAAACCACGCTGGAAAATCCCGGTGAACTTTCTCGTCTGACCCCAAGACCGAACCACTGATATCAACTATATCATCAATAGCAGGTAAACCCGCTACGTTCCCACTATCGGTGATTTATTTGTGTCATCAATGTCATCTGGGGAATCTAAATTTTTCATCTTCAATCACGATATTGAATTGTGTTTCTGGCTCTGCACCTTCATACTTATTGTAACTCCTTTTTTTGCTCAAATACGGCATCCTGGAATTATTTTCAAAATCATGATTAAAATATCAAAACTGGATAAACTCTATATGTTTTCTTATCGTCAAAGATCTATTTTTGCAAACCACATAATTTGTTTTTCCGAGATTATGTTTTCGGGGTTTCAACGCCAAACCTCGTAAGACAAGTCATTGTGAAAATACATAGGGTGCTTAACTTTTTTATTTGTGTCATAATATATAACAATAATAACATCAAATCTTATTTTTACAAACATTGAACAAAAACAGGAGCCACGGTGGCTAGGTGGGTAAGGCGCTGGCTCGCTAGCCTGGAGGTCGGGTGTTCGATCCCTGCAAGGTGGTTTCCCCTTGTCAGTGATGCAGGGCGGAGGGCCTGATAAGGACAGCTGCCTAGTCCTTCGGCAAAATTTCCCTCATAGCACACTGTATGGCGTATGCCCGTCTTCATTAGCCCAGTATAGGAGCAGAACAGTAGGACGTTAAACCCCATTTCATTTCATTTCATGAACAAAAACAACAGAACAGTCAGTTTCAATAAAAACAAAAGAAGGGTCAAACACAGTCAGTTTCAATAAAAACAAATAAAAACTGTCAGTTTTAACAAAACAAAACTGTCAGTGTTAACAAAACAAAACTGTCAGTGTTAACAGAAACAAGTATGGTTATGATCAGCAGGAACCATGCGGGAAATAAAATGAAATGAAATGGGGTTTAACGTTATTTTGTCTTGCAACATCCCCGCTAATGAATACGGACCTACGTCATGCTGTGTGAAATTTTGTCCGAACAGTAGACCGGCGCTACGGCCTACCCTTGTTTCGAATTCCAACTGTTAATGGTTCTTTTATACAGAATAGATGGTGGATTTTTGAGGGCGATGCTCTGTTCACCTTACCTTTCATTTTTGACAAGGTTGTTAGCTCGACCTTTCTCGTCTGTTGTCAATAAAGCGGCTAACCCATCATAGCGTAGTTCCACACACCTGTTGTTAGCCGTCTGAAAGTCTAGCTCTTCGTCTAGATAGAACAATTCGTCTTCACAATCTTCGCCCACTGAAAAAAATATATTTTCTTTCAAAGCAAATTGATAAAAGCTATGAAGTTGTATCCAAAACTATAATTAATTTAAAGTAGATTGATCTGTAAACATAAATCACAGACTTTATATATTAGACATTTGTTTCATTTTCCCTCAAAACCCAAAATCACTGTCACCTTCCCTATAGCTATCCCCGGTACGCCTATGTTAATTCTTAATCCTTTTCGCTCTTTTGTTATGTCGTATAGATGATAATTTTATAGGTTTTGTTTTTTTTAAAAAAAAAAAAATAAAAACAATGATTATTTAGATCAGAAAATCCCTCCGTACCAGGATGATGTCGTTTTTGTCCTCCCGGGCGCTGTCTCATATGAGCAGGAGAAAAACACAAGCAGCTTAAGAAAATAAAACCAACAGCCAGCGTGGACATCGTTGGATGTTAAGAGCAATCTGTATAAGCTACACTCTGATACAAATGCGACCCAATTACTTGGCGAAAAAAAGGCAACTGATATGAATGATGTAAAAGCTTTTACCTATAGAATCATTATAATAATAATGGTGATTATAAACTCTTATATGATATTTTCGTTTGAAGAGACATTGTGTCGTACAATATCAATGTTCTTTGTAGTCCCGGTTCGATCAAAAATGAATTCCATCCTATACAATCCTATAGAAATGCGAACCAGCGCCTTACTCACTTAGCCGCCGAGAATCCTAAATCGGCTTGGGAATAGATCAGATTTCAAACGTCAACGAAGTAATGAAAAATCAAAAATTATTTATTTTACTAACGGCCCAAATCTCAAAAGCTGTATTGTCTCTTTAAATGACAGTGTTGGTGCTGTTCATTGTCTCATAATGAATTGAAGATGGGCATTAGTCATGCTATGGACGAAATTTTGCCCGAATTCCATCAGGAACGGCTTATTTTACGTGCGCGTTTTTCATTCCATCCGAATTCCGAACGATTAGACACTTAATTTTCATTTTAAAGTAACGTATATAAATATCAAGGCAAGCAGATGGCAGTTACATCATTATGAGGGGATTGGTGGTCGAATGGTCTAACGCGCGTGCTTTTTAGATCCAAATAATGTCTGCGTGGTTTCAATCAAAAACCTATATACTAACAAGAAGTATGGTCGCCTGTGTAACCTCGTGGGGTTTCTCCCACTGCTAAGGACCCCTACGCGAATTATTTTTTTGTTTATTTCGCGGGAAAAGTTTATCAAGAAAACGCATTAAAATCCTCTTTAGCGGCAACATTTTGGTTACAACTTGTTGCACTTCTAGGCGGTGAAATCAAAGTGTGCTTTGAATCCATTTATATTCGATTTTTTGACTCAGAATCTGTCAAAAATGTCATTATTAATCCCCGAACGTACTTTTATCTCTTTGTTGCCGGTGAATCGAAGAACGTTGGTGTCTAAATTCGTATTCTTCGATGTTTAGCACCAAGACGTCGGTCAGTGGTAAATAACGATGAGACCTAGCTGATGAACACTCTTGCCTATATGACGAATTTTGCAATGGTCTCTTCGACATTTACAATCCCCGCAAAAATACCCATCCTAGCCTGACCCAAATTTAAATGCGTAAGTAATGTTGTCTATACAGAAAGTATATATATTATACATAACACATTATCAAAAAATTATAATTTAAATTAGGTTTGATGTAGTTATATTCATATGTGTGGAATAATACTGCCCAAGTTCTGGTCACTTGTGTAGGGCTTTGGGAAAGTTTGGGCCCCAACATGATCAAGGCCCCAGGGTCCCCACCAGTGTTAATCCGGCGCTAAATGAACGTTACCTCCGCCTCAACTCCTTTGTGTGGAACACAATTTCTACCCCAAATAACCAAATTCAAATAAACACTCAGCTTTTTGAAATCTTTTAAATGGGAGAATCGTCGTAACCACATCATGACGCTAATGTAATCTAGCTTTCATCTTACGTACTGTACATTAATAACTAATTGTCCATATATTTACTAATAAACCTCAGAAAACACAGCTTAATTTTTTTTTCATACGAATGAGTTGATTATGTTGTTTACAAATCGATTTTGTCTGCTGTCTTTAATCTCTAATTAATATGTAAATATTGTCCACATCGATTTCTGTTGTGTTTGTATCTTTATTAAAATAATACAGTGTAATTTTGGTTTGTCATTTTTAATACCAATCCGGGGACGTGACAATAGAGGCGCTTCTGTAAGTAAGAGGGGAGATGTATGGATATATGGGTATTTACAATCTGTGTGGGCCATTTAATTATTGTGATCAAGTGTATGTCTAAATATGACAGGCTGTATCTATGACTACCCGATCATAGCACACGTGCTTGAGATTAATTTTATTACATAAAAACAGCCATAATGGGTAGCATTTTAATACAGAAAGTTTATAAAATCAAATAAAAATCCACTTTCCCTGGAGGCACGAGATACAAATAAAGCTATGTATTTTTCTTTTAGGTCATTGCACTTTTTACACTTAACAGAACACGGAGTTTGTTTTCAATTGTCGATAATGTGAATTATTGACATATTATTTCATTTAAATGCCCATTTTTATACATGCCTCTCTAATTTGTGAAATGAAATGCGGTTTAACGTCCATCTTTTCTGATCTAACCGGGATGCAGTGTACTATGGGTCACATTTTGCCCAGACAGTTGCATCTCCGCCTATATACTCTTCGTCAAATTCCATCCTTGAATTAAGTCCTCAGTTTTCCATAACATCCGAATGACTAGACGTTTTTCCTTGCAAGGATCCCCCGTCTTGCACCACAGGTGCAATTCTAATTTGCAAGCAGGTACATTATTTTTAATCTCAGTTAGATATCCTAATTTTTAAATTTGGCATAGTTTCTTAAAGCAACGAAACGTGATTTGCATTTTTTGTAAATTATCAAATTTCTCTCGGCTTAATCATTCATCTTTCACAGCATTGTAGTTTGCATGGGATTCCTACTGCGCTAACATCACGCCGAGAGTCTTTAATTTATGACTTTTGTACTTGTTTTCATTTTCTCTGCAAGATCCCCAAAATGTAGTTGAATTTCTCTTGTAAATCATGTTTAATATTTTGGGAGATGTTATTAAGAGAAGTCAACGATGTCTAAATTTTCCCTTTCAATGACAAAGAAATTTCTATTCCCGGAAAAAATGATGAAACAGATAATGATTGATGCCCGAAAACAAGGCACTTTATTTTCGCAAATAAAATGGAAAAAAGGGTTTTGTCCCCCCAAAATATTATATTAGTTTGTTTTTCTCTTTCCCTCGAAAATCTGATTGTCTGAATGTTTGGGGGCTGGACACTTTTAGGCAGAGTAATTTCATGTTGAATTTTTCAAATATTTTTAATTAGGTGTGTCAAGATGAAATTTATAGCATCAATGAATTGGAATATTGTAAAACAGTACACTTTGTTGATCTGAATGAAGATTGGGACATTTTATGTAGTTACAGCAAGAGTGACATTGTCCCTTTAATTAACACGCTTCGTTAATTTAAGACTCAACAATCAAGACTACAGAGGTACTAAAAGGGAGACTACTCCGAATTAATCCCAGTAACCCCTAACAAAACAGAAAAATGAGTGCTGTGCAAGAACCTTCAGCTTGTATGTTTGCATTTATATATATTTTAAATATTACTTTCTTTATATGATAATAAGTGTTAACACTTTTATTTAAATACCATCCCGCTTGTGGATGCATTATTTTAATTGTAGCAGCAGAAAGTTGGAAAGAAAGAAATACTTCCGCGAAAGACCACACCTGACCTGGGAGTGGGAGAGTGGGGTTTTGTTGACATTCTCAAATATAGTAACACTGTAAAAGCTATTTGTTGATATTTTATGATGTGTGTTAATGATAAGATCAGAATAAAAACAATATTGCAATATGTCACAAATAGATACATTAAATATTTTTTAGTAAAGTATCTGTCTGATCGAGTCATCATATCATGCCCTGTGGCAATCCTATCCCACCACCCTGACCCAGTAGTTTAAGAGAAAACAGAATGACAAATAATAGGCCTACTCTATCAAATAGAATATTTAAAATGGCATAATCTATCATTTAAAAAATTAAATGAAATGGGGTTTAATGTCCTACTTTCTTGCTGCTTTCGGGCTAATGAAGACGGGCATAAGTGGCATACGCAGTGTGACATGAAAGGAATTTTGTCTGACCTACTCTTTATTTTGAATTCCAACTGTGCACGCCAGTGGATCTAGAAGGTCTTTACTTGCCTGGCCCTGTGTCTTATCCCTGACAAGAGGGGAACCATAGAGACTTTCTTGGCCAACAGTACCGTTCATGTACATGTACAGTTTTGTATCTTATCAAAAGAACTAGGCAAGGAGGATACTTTTATGTAAAAGTAAAACGTTGATGTAAGAAAATTGAATTTGTTTTTCAAATTCTGTTCAAGTTAATTTTGTTTTGATTGAAATATATAACAGGGTTCCCGCGGTCCTTGAAAATCCTTGAATATCCTTAAATTTAAAATTTCATTTTCAAGGTCTTGAATATCCTTGAATTTCGCGGAAATAGGAAAATATCCTTGAATTTCAGTTGAGATCCTTAATTTTGTTTCAAATTGGTAATAATAGTAAGTTGATATGAAAATCCCGTTTAGATTAGAAGTTTTATAACAATAATTGGTAATGTTTTGGTTATTTTTAAGATGAAAAATTGTAACTTTAGGCTAAAAAATGTCCTTGAAAATCCTTGAATTTGACGTATATTTCTCCTTGAATATCCTTGAAAAAATGTTTGACGAAGCCGCGGGAACCCTGTATAAGTGTTTAATATATTTTTTTTATTTCAAATTTATTTGTAGTGACAACTTCAGAAGTTGATTTATCAACAGTACGGGTTGTGTTAGTTTTAAATGGCTTACAAGTTACATCTGGAATATTTAAAAAAACTAAACCTAAAAATGGATCGGTCAATGTAGAATTTGGAGAAAGGTAACTAGTTACGTTTTTTTGATTCAATAGAAACACTAAAAAATCATTGGCAGACAAAATTCAACTTGTGTTGTAAAGTATTCTAACATACTTCTGTAAATATAATCATGATTTATCTAGTGGCATTACAGCCTCTCAAAACCTAATTTTAAAGATACTTGTGGTCGTTAATACATGTACATGGAAATTACATTGTGAATACCAGTATCATAAATAATTAACTTATTCAATTTAATTTGGACTTATTATGCAACTGAGATTATGATTTTATTTTTCCTGGCAGTTAGAAATATCTTACCTTCACATAAAAATAATTTTAGTGAGTACAATAGTTGCCCTATTTGTTTTAGGATCCATTTCCTTTGTTCTTTATACAACCGCTTTAGGGTCTGTGATCGATGGCTATGATCAGAGGCACTACTCTTACGCCAATGATACTCAACTCATCGGTGTGTCTAGTCCTATGCTAATCAGAAATTCCTTACAAAAAACTACTGACTGTTCGCTGGCAGTTAAACAGTGGATGAAAGCGAACAAACTAAAATTGAACGACGATAAAACAGAGGCTCTTTTAGTAGGTTCATCACAACAACTCAAGTTACAACCTGATCTTAAAATCACCATTGGTAATTCAGAAATAAATTTCTCCAAAAATGTTCGAAACCTTGGAGTGATATTTGATCCTTCTCTGACAATGGACGCTCAGGTTGATATGGTATGCCGTACATGCTACTATCATCTACGCTGTATATGCAACATCAGAAACTATCTCACTGCTGACGCTTGTAAACTACTTGTGAGATCACTTATTTTATCAAGGATTGATTATTGTAATAGTTTACTCTATGGAATCCCACAAGCACTTCTAGCCAAGATCCAAAAGGTTCTTAATACTGCAGCCCGAATAGTAACAAGGACACATAAGTTTGATCACATCCAGAATGTGCTGGCTTCTTGACATTGGTTACCTGCTGAGGCACGAGTCAAATACAAAATACTAACATTAGTGTATAAATGTCGCAATAATGCAGCTCCTCAATACTTATCTGAACTCTTATATGACTACAACCCTATTAGATCACTTCGCTCTCAAAATAAACAGTCACTAGTTGTTCCAAGATATAATTTAAAGTCATATGGGTATAGGTCTTTCGGTTCAGCTGGTCCTAGATTATGGAACGAACTTCCACAACAGATCAAGAATCAACAAACTTTTAATCAATTTAAATCCGCACTAAAGACTTTCCTGTTTCGACAGTTTTACCAGTAGAGCCATTACAAAAAGCGTTTTGAGCATGTGTTAACATGGAGAAGACGCTATATAAAAGCTCATTATTATTATTATTATTATATAATAGGAGATATTTTTTAACAACCCCCCCCCCCCCATTTTATTTATAGTTTTATGGTTATTTGTTAAATTTCATTAAATCCAATTATTAAAGATGGGTTCCCGCGTACAAACTGGGTGATTTAATGGTATATATGGACCAAAAACATATTCAAACTAATTAATTTGTCATAATTATGCTTCAAATCCTTCTCAAACATTGTAATTGCGAAGGAATGCCCTGCTATTAAAATTCGATCAAACCAGGTCATGTTTACGTCACGTCTTGGGAGTCAGAGGAGAAATCATTGCATACATAAGACGATGTTGTCTTTAATCGCTTATTATTTATTACAAATATCGAATCCTAATTAAATTCTCAGATTATCCACTACCCGCGTCTTTTTCCGTCATTTTTATCTCAGAAAGTATTGTACGTCTAACTCTTCATAAAGGTTATCAACTTGTACATCAAGCGCTCAATGTTCGCTTGTGACCTTTGACATCGTGCGTGCAGAAGGTCATAATCGTCGGGCTGTTGATTTTGTCCTGGATACGCTCCATGAGTGTTTTTCGGGGAATCCAGTATTTTTCTAGTAAGATTGGATATCTCTACTTTCCATATATACCAAAATTGCCATACTTTTATTGGAAATAACCACCCGATAAATACTTTTCTGGGAACCCATCTTTAATATATGTGTTGTTCACCCCAAAAATTTCATCTGTATTTAAAAGTGACAGGAATTTGTTTATTTTTTTTTTTTTTTAATTTTAGATCTTTTACAATGACGGCAGAAATTAAAGATAAGAAAGGCATTCCCACAAATTATGTACAAAAAATTAAGAAATTACCAGGAGAAATAGATAAAGATGCTTGCAGTTTGGAGGTAAGAAAATAGCCTATTTAATTTTATAGAGTACACTAGTGCATGGACAATATTTTTAAAAAGTGTCCCCCCTCCCTATCTTTTTTAGGAAAACCTTCCACAGAACAATGCAAGTACAAGATTAACTTAACAAGGCATTCCGAACAAATTGTAATGGAGTTTCTCTGGTTTTTCTATAGTCACGATAAACCAGATTGTTTCTGTATGTCCCTTTTGGTCTAAAATTTAAACTCTTTTGGTGTTCAGACATTGGACATACCCTGTCTTCACGTATCCTGTCATCGAGCTATCAGAATATCTGTCTACATTTGTGACTGAAATGTAATGCGAAAATATGAATGTTATATATAAATCAGTAAATTCGGCTTCAGGAAAACGATACAATTATGTAATGTGTAGTTCAGTTTGATCCATTATGACAGAGAAATAGGGAGTTATGTTTTAGAGGTGTCACAAATTTTTATACATGTTGAGTTATTTCCCCTGAACATTCAGCTTAGGTGGACATTAGGGCTGCAAAGATTCACAACTACCTCGATTCGGTTCGATTATCGATTTTAACCATTCGATTCGATTATTTTCGATTCGATTATCAGCTACAATAGCTAGTAATTTTTCCTGTATATAATTCATTAAAAACGATAAAAACACAAGACTAAAATTCTCTTGACAACTTTTATTGGTTTGACAGGTTTGTTGTGTTTCCTGTTTTATGGGATATGTCAGTGTAGCATACTCTACAAGTTGCCACATCTTTAGAGTTTTTCCTTACACCAAAATGATCCCAAACTTTAGATTTCAAATGACCAGGTGGTCGAGAAAGTACGTCGTCTGCCATAATTATACCTTCCAGTCATGTTTGCTTGACTACAGGTAATAATCGCTAAACACGAATATATCCGAAGATAATGAACGGAATTATCAGTTAATGAGATCGTTTAGAATTTATATAACAATGACCGAAGCTATTGACCTAAATCAACACCCAATGAACATTCGGTACGTCACCAATTTTAAATAAATTAACATTCGTCAGCATACGGAAATTGTTTTAAAGGGAGGTCACTCTGTTTTAGTTATGTTTTCGAGTGACATTCGTGTCTTGTTAAATAACGTAAATTAAAAGTTACGTAAAAACAAAGTTTTTTTAAAATTTTAAGTGGACTTAATTGCTACAGGTCTTTCATTTTTTTTCATATGGTAAGGTGTACGTTGTTTTTATTTGAAATTTAATTTGCAATTGAACCGAATCGAAATTTGAACGTTGCAGATCGTGGATCGAACCGAGACGGCTAGTGTCGTTTATCGGTGCACCGAACTTGATTTGTTGCAGCTCTAGTGGACATTAGGTTGAAACTTGCATGTATTGTTAACATGGGTAACAGAGGCTGTTCTTAGAAGTTTATTTGGGTTCTATTTAAGACCAAATCTATTTGCACTTTTGATTTAAGGAACATTTTTCTTTTTCAACTCAATAGATATTGATTTGGGCCAAAAAATAAATCTGTCAATATAAATAATTTTGGATTATTTGGTGAAATGGGCATACACTATATTTAAAATTTCAACAAAAATAACACTGAAATTAGTAAATTTATGACATGTAGTTTAAAACAATAACTTACTGTATAGATCTTGTCCCGATCATTAAAGGAAATAACATACCACATCTAAAAACTTTAATGTACCCCACAATTTAAAGAAAGCCAACTACTATTGAAATGGATTGTCTGTCCGTGGCACTTTTTGTGACATAATAACTCTGCTTCTAATTGAGGTACAATGTTCAATCTTTGAGAAAATGTTGACTGATATCAGTGATGATCATTTTCTGCTTAGGCAAACAGTTTGATTCGTTGTTGCTTTGATTGAGTGAGCGTGATGTATAGTTTCATTAGATCCATACCTAAACTAATTTTGAAAATCAGCATTTTCTGCTCAGACTGATAAGTAATTTGATGATGTATGTGCAAGTAATTAATGAATGTTATCCACTTATTTTCGGATTAAGGCAAGAAAATCAGCCTCACTTTTGTTTGGTTTGTTTTACCTAAATCAAAGGGTTTAGCTCCTTAAAATAAAAAAAAAAGCTCAATTCGTTTATTTCAGTATAAGAAAGATCAAGTAATTATTATATTAAAGAAGAAAGAGGAAATATCGTGGGCTGTACAGTTATCAACATCAGGATTAGAACAAGATGAAGACGAGTAATAATAGATAGGACAGTCATCAAACTTAAACAGATCGGAGATATATCATAAGCACCAACTTGACTTATAAACACTGACTTATGTCACCTTTGCGATTGTGACAACTGAATGCAACTGTGAGTTACATAAAAAAGCAACATAATCTGTCTTGTGATGCAATGTGAATGTGAAAAAAGCCAGTTGCAGTTAGTTGCACATATTAGTTTCACTCAATCACATCAGATGACAAGGGTGACGTAAGTGGGGCGTTAGACCATGTGTTCGGTGACTAAAACATTCCAAACAGCTTAAAACAACAGAACATTGTAGTGGGATAAATTATTTCAATGGCACAGAACACAATGAAATACAATTACTGTTTATTATATTGTGTGATGTGAGTATTGCTTGATAACGACTAGACAAGACTAGTCAGAATGTTGCTCAGTAATAAACAATAATTGTATTCCATCAATCTGATTAAAACACAGATCCCATTTCGTTTCGTTTTTATAGTTCAAAATTTTGTTTTACTTGTCTTTACTACACTAGGATCTGGAAGAGTTGTTATCATTGACGTGTTCTGAAAGATGTGAGCTATTAGCAAATGAAACAGTCTGTTACCGCGAGCTTTAGGCGTGTTTTGCATGGAACTGAGGGTAATCCACTAGTAACAGCAATGCTGATTGGTTAATCAAATGTCGCTTGTATGATCTCGGATGAGACCTATCCTACAACCGGTCAGATCTTCATGTAGTGTAGGCCATCGAAAGTATAAAAAAATGAAACGAAATATTGATCTGTATTTTAATCAGATTGGTATTCCATAGAATTGTGACATATGTTTTGTCGTTAGATTTTATAATTCAGATTCCTGAATGAATGAAATAAAGATTATTAATATTAGTTTTCCAAGTCTAACTGTATGATGACTATTTTGAAAAGTTTTTTGAATGAGACCAATCATTTATTTTAGTCACTGTACACATATCTGTACATAAACAAACAATGAGGCAATATAACTATTATCTTTTTATTTTACTTGTAAATATAGATTTTGAGATACATTTTATTTTAATGCAAAATGATATGCAACAATAGTTTCTTTTTTAAAAACACAAAAACGTAATATGGAACACAATTACTATTTCAATTAAAGTGACATTTCAGTGATGGTTCTCTTAATTATCATTTACTTGATAACATTGAGAAAACCCTCAAGGAAACGTTGTCGCTTTAATTGAAATAGTAATTGTGTTCCATATTATGTTTTGTGCTAAATGTCGCTCAAAGAAGTTTTTTTTGTTTTATTGAAGAAAGGGGGGTTGGGTAGCCAAATGGTTAAATGCATGTTTTGATTCTCCGCTTGTACATAACAAGGAGTAGGGTTGCCTTTCAACCTCGTGGTTATTTTCTGGTTTTCTCCCACTGCTAAAGACCCCTAGGTGCAAGTGAGTTATTGAATGTTAAACCCTATTTCTCTCTCTCTCTCTAATGAAGAAAAGTGTGAGGAAAAAAGTAATCTTTAAATGATACTTTCATGATGGACAGTCTGAGGACCAGACCAGATGTAGGTTTATTGATGTGGGGACATATTGCAAGGCAATCAGATTAACACACTATTTGGTTGGATAAGTTATATACAGTTGTCACCATAATCAGATGGAATAACAGATTTATCTCAAACTTTACTTACAATCTAATTTAACCATCTCCCATTTAACTGTCTAGTCAAATTACTTTAAATAAACATATTTTCTTTATTATCAATTCCAAAGCACTAATGCTTCTTTATTAATATCATTGTAGAGAACACACTGTGTGGATGTTTTTATTATTGATATAATCTTGGAAACGTTTTATATAATGGGAGATTTATAATGTAGATAAAATGGGGCTTTTATTGTATTTTTTTTAAAACTTTCTTTACAAGGATATTCATTTTCTATGCATTGTATTTAAAACAAAATACTTATAATGAATTCAACAGGTGTCCAGTTTATTTGTTATTTATTATTTTGATATATTCATTTATTATTTTAATTTTCCTTTCTTTTTTAAAAAACACTCAATAATTTATTTTTTACAGTTATAAATCATGTATTTAATGTTTCAAAATATATTTCAATGTCTAATTAAGAAAATCTATATATTATCCCAGTTTTCTGTTATTTCACTTTTTTCCTACGTATTATATAAAAAAGGAAATTCTATAAGTTATTTTTACATTTGTGTATATATAATGTTTCTTAGTTAGTTTAAATGTTCGTTAAAGAATAATCTATAATCCTTTTTAAATAAATACAGTACTTAAGTAATATTTTAATTGTTTATTACTGGCATGAATGATATAAGTACAAAATCATCTGTTAAAGTCTTTGTCCGTCATTTTGTCTGATATTTCCCATGGCTTAATGGCGGCTTAGTTAAGAAAATTAAATCAAAATATCAATGTTAAATAGTCTCAGGACTTGGATTCACAGGCATTGATAAGAGGCCCATCAAAATATTTTAATGAAGATTACAGATGACACTGGATTTTGACAGATTTTCTTTAAACTGTGGCCTCTATTGCGTTCATAAGGTTTTCGCGAGCAGGAGTAACTTCGGAAAGGAATGTCACGGATCGCTGGGTTCAGAAGCGGGTTATAGCGGAGGCGGCAGCCTACGGCCTACATAGAAAATGCCGAATCTGGGGATAAAACTTGATATGGATCCCCTGAGGCAGGACCACTGTCCGATTAGAATCCCCCATGTATATCGAAAATTCTAATTGCTCAGTCATCGTGGTTTGAATAAGCTTCCCATATTCTTATTGTCACATGTTTCACCTCTGTATACACCTTTGCCACCGCGAAAATATCCGAGGAACTTTCTCTGCCAACACCGCGATCGAACACAAGATCTCAGAGAGGAATAGGCGAATACGGCACAGTTCGGACAAATTTTGCCTCACACACGGCTTCTTTATTAGACCAGTTGGTGGAAAAATGCAGAACGTTAAACCCAATTTAGTTTCTTTTTTGTGAGATTTGTGCAACGAAATCATCGTTTCCAGTTTGTATCTAAACCAACAGAAAAGTGCTCTAAATTTCATGTACAAAGGCTATTCTCTTAATCCGCCCATGACTGGGTTCCTCCTCTCATGACCCCAATGGTACGCACTAAAATTGAGCCGTTAAAAACTGTAGCCTCTATCGTGTACGCAAGGTTTTCGCAAACGGGGGGGGGGGGGGATTTTGGAACGGAATGTCATTGATCGCTGAATAACGATATAAGGTTTCTCCTCTCATGGACCCAACGGTACACACAAAATTTGGAATAGGTTCGTAAATAGCCTCTATTACATTCAGGAGGGTTTTTGGTAAAGGGCCAAAGGGTGAGTTACTTAAAAATGGAAGGTTGCCAGAATGCTGAATATCGATAGGGTTTATCATTCCATAACCCCAATGCTACTCAATGAATTTGAAATAAATCCGTTAAAAATAGTAGCCACTATCGCATTCACAAGGTTTTCGGCTGTTGGGCATAACGCTGGAACGAAAAGTCGCGGAACCCTGATTATAAATAGGGCTCGACCTCTTCCGATATCAATGTTTCAAACAAAATTAGAAAAAAAATGGTACAGAACACAGCCTTTATCGCATTCACAGGTTTTCGGAAAGGCGGGCATAACTCCAAATGCGCACTCTTTTAACGGTCTTGAGCGTCCATACACTTTGTACATATTTGACATTTTACGGCCTCTAGACGGTCCACACACTTTGTACATATTTCACATTTTGTGGCCTTTAGACGGTCCACATAACTTTGTACATATTTCACATTTTGCGTGCGGGCTCTATACGGTCAATATACATGTACATTATACGTATTTTGCGTAAAAGGCAGAACAGAATGTCCGATGCGCACCAAAATCCTTTACAGAAATCTTGGCCTCGTTGATATATGCTGTACACGCTTTGCCACTATTTGTTTAAAAGGTAGTGGCCATTTTGACGGGAAGTGTCGATCCGATTTTCACGAATTCATCCGCGAATGTTGTGTAGTGAAGATATTATACTTGAACGTGTTTTAAAATCGAATATCAATTATCGGAGAGATTTCTACCCCATCATCCCTACCCCCAACAATATAAATATTGAGTCGAGGTAATCCTTATGCAAAGTCAGCGGTCACTACAACCCTGAATTATCGGTGAATAAAACACTGAAATATAAACAATAACTCAATTTTTATTCTGTAAGAAAACAATAATATAGCCACTGAAAGTACAACAAACATAAGGTTTTACCTACTAACAAATTCATTTCCTTTTCCACGTAAGCACCAAATTTGTCCGTCAGCACTCAAGGGATTTGTCAATCTTCACGAGAGCGTTTTCACGTAATCTAACAAATTGTTCAATACCAAATCTAAAATGACATGTACCCTCTAGCTGCCATTTTACACATTTATTTTCAATGATATAATTTTTATTATTATTATCATCTCTATATTTCTTTAATATATCACTGAAATCACCTTCAATAGATTGAACGAATGAATTATTGTCTTTAAGATTTGTTACAACAACTAAAACACGTCCTTTAATATTGACGTTCATATTGAAACTAGCGTTCAATTCTTGTTCACGTACTACAAGTTCAGCAGTTGTCGTGTGTTTTGGTGGCACTTTGATGGTGCTATTAATCGACCACGTCATAGATTCCTCTCTCGTGCTTTCCTCCGTCGATCCCATATTAACCTCGCGACCGAAACCTGCCGTTGCCGCAGCAACTTCTTCAGGAAGACCCAACTTAACCTCCAGGTTAAAACCTTTAGTGAAACCCTTGGATACTTCTGTAGTACAACTAGAGACTGTGGTTCTCTCAGTCTGGAAGGAATGTTCTTGATCATTATCTGTCCAGTTCTCATAAGTTGATCTGAATACAACCTGAAAATACCAAACACTGAATTAGTTGCCTGAGAAGCCAAAGATACTCAATCCAACACCAGCCTTCAGAATAGTCAATGATTTCACAGAATAGAGGAGCGTTAACTCCATCTCAAAAACGTTGACCAAGTTTTCAGTGCCAGCGTAAAAGTGTTGTGACAAAATGGTTTGTGATTTGGTGTTCTCCTTTATTATCAAATAAACTATTCCGATCTGTAGAACGGTTTTTATGAGAATTAATTTAGATACAATATCTTATGGCAATACTGCTAAATAACCTCAACAACCTTTCAAAAACAAATACGGATTGACGACGACGACAAACTAAAGGTTGCTACAATTTTTATTTCAATAATAAGGCGCGGATCCAGAAGGGGGGTTTGTGGGGATCGCCCCCCCCCCCCCCCCCGCTCAGGTACATAATTTTTTTTGTAAATCAACACTTTTTATGAGAAAAATTTCTCGGCCGTGTGCTTTATCATTTATCGTCAGATGTGGGACAGGATGGGCACTCAAAGCACGAGACAATGATATAGACATTATGTGATATCACAATGAATGCTTTGCATCCATAAAGTTTAATCACAATGTCATTGTATTAATTCATAATAAAAATTGACGTCAAACGAGATGTTGAATTTCTCTGTTTACAAAGCTCAATGTGTATGTATATACGCCAAAATGACCATATAGACCATGCGGGAGGGGGGATACATCGTCTCAGGAACCGGGCACCCCCCTCCCCTGCAAAAATTCCTGGATCCGCCCCTGAAATTTGTTTGCGTTTAGGGATCTTTAGCAATTGGAGGAAACGCCTGAGGCGACCCTATTCTTGCTTGTCATGTACAAGTGTGGGATGGAAACCATGCTACTTGACTCAATGAGCGACCTTATGATAGAAATCACAAGCATTCTACTATTTGAACACACAATTGTTCCGATTTCTTTGAAAAGGTTTGCAACTATACAAGTAATTTCTACTCCTAGTTTTAGCAATCCTACCTGTGAATTAGGTTTATATAATTTTCTTTGTTCTTTATAATCAGGTCGTCCATGTAAAAATCTGACTTTATCCCATTTTACATCCAATACAACATCATCTAGTTTTAAATTCTTTAGATCTTTACTTCTAGTAGCAACAAATACATTCCATGCCCAGATTTTAACAACTTCTTCTATATCAGTAATACTCGTGGTAGACATCCTATAATATAACAATATATCAATATAAATAAAATATCCATAAAAATACCAGATTGTCTCCCTTTACTAGACTACCCAAATTATTACATCAGAAATTCTCTAATATACAAACATATTATCAATGTAGATAAAATATCTTTACATACCAAATAATCTTCTTATTTTTACTATAAAATATGTTTCGCTCAGAATGTGCTAAATTAATTTATTCTGGGCTACATTTAATCAAACACATTAAAAAGCGCTGAGAAGATGTGCAGAATTAACCCCCTTTATTCAGATATCTCTCTCTGGTTCTCTGAAACTTCTGACACCAGTTAAATTTATATTTTCAATTTAACTTTATATCATATACTTTCCAGCATCAAGTTTATTATTTATATACAACTTTCTATCATTAAATCACGTCTTCAAGTTTGTTATTTAAATAGTTTTAGGGTAAAATATACAAAACACATTTTACTCCTTTTAAATTAAATCATTATCAAACATGATAGACCAGTGATTCGGTATAAATACATAGCGCGGTCATTTTCTATAATATAAAGAATATTTTATTTAAAACTGAAAATAATTGTTTTACTTACATATACGTTATCGTTTCTTCCTTTTTACAGAAGCCCTGGGGATCAGATAATTCTATATTAAACAGATGGTAAGATGAATTGATGATCCAAGTGAAACATGTATCTTATATATATATACAGCTACAGGTTGATAATTATTCAAAATACATTTTAATTACTACTAACAGTTATATTGTTCTTTTAGTTGTCTCCCCCTTGATCTCTTTCTATATTAACACCCTATAACAGCTACTAATGGTTAAATTGTTTTAATTGAGTTATCATCTTTTAATCTCCCCTCATTTGACTCCGCTACTAATGGCTATAATATTGTTCTTTCTACGTATCCTTGATTAACCAGTGGTTTTATCTTTACTACAGATTAACCACTTAACTTACATGTAAACAATAACATTTAGACACCTGATCATTGAGTAATCTATTAAAATACTTGACAATGTTTACATCACTCACTAGCTAGACTAAATTAATTAGATATGACAGTTTGAATATAGCTTCAGTTTTGACTGAGTGTGAAAACAAATTTAGACAAATTACATGTTTAATGCTCGTTTAAAAGTAAAAAACAACATTGAACATTTCATACAATATTTCTGAAAACGAAATTTAATATAGAAACCACATCGTGTCCTTTAAAAGTGAAAAGAAAACCCAATACTGAATATTTTATACAATATTTCTGAAAACGAAATTTAATATAGAAACCACATCGTGTCCTTTAAAAGTCATGACTTTTCATATGTTTTTATATTTTAGTATAAACAATGTGAAGAAACCTTGTAGAGATCAAAGAAGAGATCAGTCAATTGTTATTAAATGTTATTGTTTACATGTGATGAACTAAGAGGTTAATCTATATTAAGACAATAACGCATGATAGGCAGAACGAGCAATAGTAGCCGTTATAGGCGGTTAATATACAAAGAGATCAAGGCGGAGACAACTAAAAGAACAATATAACTATTAGTAGTAATTAACCTGTATTATTAACCTGTCTAATTGTTTGTATTTAGAGTAATTATCAATCATCTACCTGTAGTTGTATATAAACCACTGGTTTCACTTGGATCATCATTTCACGCTGTACACATCTACTCCGATAATATAGAATTCTTTATTTCGTGGGTTTTCTCCAAGTAAAGAAAATAATTCCGTCTTCCTCTTTATAGTATCGTACATGTAAGTTAAATTTTACCGTTTTCAATTTAATACAAAATTTATCAATATTGTGTAACATGGCTAAATTAAGGAATTCGATGTTTGATTTGGGGATCGGCGTCAGAAGTGAGATAATTCTCCGCAAATACTTGATTAAAGATACATTATGGGAGATAAGATAAAGAGATGGCAGTTCTCGCTATAATAGTTAAAAACTAGATAGTGTAAAGGTAATTTGCTAAAAATTTCAGTCAAATTGATCCACTATGAGCCAAGAAAGAAGCGGGTGAAATTTTTGCATAGTCTCGGTCATCATTACTAAAATCATTAATATAAACAGCATAGTCTCGATTATCCACTTTTCTTGATTTAATTATCAATAGCCGTTAGCGGCATATAGGAATCTAATCCAGCCAACATCGAAGGCTAGCCTTGACATCGAGAGTTTATTATGGTCTGGATAAGTTAATCAATGTCTAATTGATAATAAAGATAACATTTCAGGCCTAAAGAAAGACTTGTTATAAGCAGATTTTGCTCTTGCATAATGCATGTTTAAAGGGGGATAATTTGGTACGTCGTCTCCACCCTCAAACAGATAATTATTCAATCTATTTCGTTTCTTTTATATAGTTCAAAATTTCGTTTATTTGTCACGAAATATAGATCTGTATTTTAATCAGATTCTGATTAGTATTTTTTGTTTTTTAAAATGTTAATACCGCCGTAAGGTCAAATTTTGCTCAGGTGATTACATAATCCAATTTGAACCTATTGGCTTATTAAGGGTAGCGTTTTAAGGGATTTGATATATAGTTTAAAATAGGAAGATTATTTGGTATGTTAAGGTTTTTGTATATTATAGAATTTTTGATGTAATAATTTGGGTAGCCCAGTAAAGAGAGACAATTGGGTATTTTTATGGATATTTTATTTATATTGATATATTGTTATATTATAGAATGTCTACCACGAGTATTACTGATATAGAAGAAGTTGTTAAAATCTGGGCATGGAATGTATTTGTTGCTACTAGAAGTAAAGATCTGAAGAATTTAAAACTAGATGATGTTGTATTGGATGTAAAATGGGATAAAGTCAGATTTTTACATGGACGACCAGATTATAAAGAACAAAGAAAATTAGATAAACCCAATTCACAGGTAGGATAGATCTCTTATATTTTCTATATTAAATGTACTTAAAAATTTACAAATAAAAAAATAAAATAAAGATGCGTTATGTAAGACTCAGGTAAAGCGTTGACCGTTGGCTATAATAGTTAAAAAAATAAATAATAGTTTTTTAAAAAAGAGAATGCAAAATAAATATATTGAAAATGTTAGTCAAATTAATTTGTTCTGAGCGAATTTATGAATATTTGAAGTTTTGACAAGAAATAGTCTTGATTATCAAGTATCGTTTTTACGATAAACGAAGCCCTGGTATTCCATTTTAACGAAGATATGGCAGATATTGTATTAGTCCGGGTTATAATTTAGGGAGGTGCCACCTGGAGAGGTAGAAATTCTCATGTGTTTTTTCTAGACCAGATTTTTATTTTGAACAAGGTAAACAGGCCATATCCTAAAACTTGCTGGAATAGTTTATTTGATAATAAAGGAGAATACGAAATTAAAAATTTCATTTTGTCACAACAGTTTTACGCTCTCACTGAAAACTTAATAAACGTTTTTGGGATGGAGTTAACGCTAAAATCATTGACTGTTCTGAAGGCTGCTGTTGGATTGAGTATCTTTGGTTTGCCAGGCAACTAATTCAGTGTTTTGTATTTTCAGGTTGTATTCAGATCAACTTATGAGAACTGGACAGATAATGATCAAAAACATTCCTTCCAGACTGAGAGAACTACAGTCTCTAGTTGTACTACAGAAGTATCCAAGGGTTTCACTAAAGGTTTTCATCTAGAGGTCAAATTGGGTCTTCCCGAAGAAGTTGCTGGAGCAACGGCAGGTTTCGGTCGCGAGGTTAATATGGGATCGACGGAGGAAAGCACGAGAGAGGAATCTATGACGTGGTCGATTAATAGCACCATCAAAGTGCCACCAAAACACACGACAACTGCTGAACTTGTAGTACGTGAACAAGAATTGAACGCTAGTTTTAATATGAACGTCAATATTAAAGGACGCGTTTTAGTTGTTGTAACAAATCTTAAAGACAATAATTCATTCGTTCAATCTATTGAAGGTGATTTCAGTGATATATTAAAGAAATATAGAGATGATAATAATAATAAAAATTATATCATTGAAAATAAATGTGTAAAATGGCAGCTGGAGGGTACATGTCATTTTAGATTTGGTATTGAACAATTTGTCAGATTACGCGAAAACCCTCTAGTGAAGATTGACAAATCCCTTGAGTGTTGCCTGACAAATTTGGCGCTTACGTGAAAAAGTAAATGAATTTGTTAGTAGGTAAAATCTTATGTTTTTTGTACTTCCCGTGGCTATATTTTTGTTTTCTTACAGAATAAAAATTTAGTTATTGTTTATATTTCCGTGTTTATATATTCACCGATAATTCAGGGTTGTGGTAACCGCTGACTTTTGTAGCACCATGGGCCTTTCTGTCAGACGTGGAGAGCGGGAGATGTCAGACCGGTCGCCACATCCTACATACGACCCATGTATCTTTTCTTACTACATATTTCTGTTATCCTTGTGATCGTCTAGAATTTGTCTCTAGCTGTCTTTACTTCTGCTTCACGTTGTGTGTTTGCTTCTTACTGGTTTTTTAAGACGTTTGTCTTACCAGGAATAACAATGCAACAGTTCGCTTCTACATTTTATATAGCATAGCCGAATACATGTATACAAGCATGGCACAGATTACAATGCTAGCTAAAACAATTTCTGCACCCTAGCCAGCCTCGCGGCTGTCTAGGAACTCAGGTGGAACCTCTCTGGAATCTAATGGAAGTCTATCTTAAAAGTTTACTATAAACAGAAAGCCTGTTCATGGCCCTGAACCTGTGCAATTTCTGATATGATTGGTTAAATTAAGCCAAATGATGCAATTAGAATAATTCCACTCACGTGTAATCTGGTGGTATTTTATTGACACATGTTTTGGCTAAATAACTCTTTTTATGTATCAACTGTCAATTACACACTAAGTTGATTTTGTACACACTATATATAATATATATGTGAATATGTGTGAAACTATTAATTTGCCAAATATATTAATTAATGAAATATAAAGTCATCTTATTTCTCTATTCTTTGT